CAACCCGGAATTCGTCGGAAATCGACGGAACTGATGGGAATCGATCGGAAATGGCCCGACGAAATCTGGACCGGAATCCGTTAGTTAGGAAATCGTCGGGATTCAACGGAACTGATCGGTTCCGACCGATTCCGACTTACCCTGATTCTCCTGGGTCAACTTGTGTTGTACACGGCTGTTTGACCACAATTTACGGCCGCTTGGTATACGCCGTATTACGGTCGTTTTGCATCGTGCCATAAACGATCGTATACGGTCGGATACTGAAATATCCGACTACACTACGGCCGTTAGCAACCGTTTACGACACGGCGAAATACGACCGTAATACGGCACATGCCAAAACGTCGAATTACGGTCGGAAACGTTATAAAACGGTAGTAAACGTTACCGTATACGGCCGTTTACGATCGTATCAGGTCACCGTGATGTTCGATCTGGGTCACTATGACCGTTGTCGGAGAACTATTAATCAGGACAGCAACGGCATAGAAACTGTGTGCATGAGGATTATAAATAGTCGTTACGTTAATCACATTTCACCGTATTTCTCCGCATGCGATTGTTCAAAATCGCAACTATGTGACTCAAGTACGGCTTCAACAAACCAGAATTCCTGCATCCAATGGAGTAGCTGCCTAATTCGATTTCGAATATAAATGAAAAAAAAAGCCACTTTCATGTTTTCACGCCACCGTAAGACGAAGATTTAGCTTTTATAAATTATAAAATTTATAAATTGACTTGGGTGTGTGTGTGTGTAGATGCGTATGTCCGACTTTCCTCACACCCACACCCACACCCACACCCACACCCACATCCTCAGTATTCCGACCAAAAATACGGTTGGTTTTTCTGGCGAATTCCTGCCAAGTTCCGGTGCTTTCCGGCAGGAATTGATCGGAAATCACCGGAAAAATGCGAAAAATTTCCAACCGGAATACTGGTTCCACAAAATCAACGAAACTACCGGAACCGGTCGTTTCCAGGCCGCACTGTCTGACCTGGGTGCCAGTTAGATGATCTTGTTCTTTTGCTTTGGAATGGTTTTTAAATGGTCGCGATTTTTTTCATTTATTTTCTAATTGTGAATAGTTATTCAGGTGTCAATTTATATTCGAAGTCGAACTAGGCATCTCATGCGAATTTCACATTTTTCCAGCTAAAATTGTCACTTCATTTTTCAGTTAGTGATTTGATGAATATTTTCACCGGAAAATATTTTCTCATTGTTTAACTTCAAAAAGGTTTTATTTTTTGTAGATACTTTCATTTACAAATAATTGAGAGTCGCTTCAATCCAATCGACATAAAAACTAATACGTGTGTAAACACCCGATGAAATCGATGCATCGCATTGTTTATTTCCATAACTAACAATACCTGCAGCAACAAAGTATTGTTCATCACCATCGTGTTGAACAACGAGTAATGGAGCTCCACTATCACCTGAACATGAATCAATAGCAAGTGTATCATAACCAGCACATATTTGTCGAGATTTATCAGCGATGGAATGATAACATCTCGTGTTTTTATGATCAACAATAGGTACGACAACGTGTTGAAGAACCGGAGAATTTCGACTAGTTGGTTTCGTTAACACTGCTCCCCAACCGCTAATGACTGCTTGTGTTTTTGGTCGAGGGAAAACATTAGATTTTTTTCTTGGTAGACAACAAGGTTGAAGATCTGTTGCAAAATCTTGTTGTACTTTAACAAGAGCTATATCATTCAGATGCATACTATCATTGTTTCGATATTCCGAATGAATTATCCATTGATCAATATCATGTCGATCACCTTTGAAATCTCGTAGATCATGAATTTTCGATAATATTTGTATTCGATCAGGATTTCGATTATTTAAACAATGAGCAGCCGTCAGAATAACATTAGGAGATATAATAAATCCAGCACAAAATGGATCTACCCGATAACGATCAGTTAATGACACAAGCCACGGATAAATATAAGCTGGTGCTTGTTGGCCACCAACTATTCTAGGAATAAAAGATATTCCATTCTCAGAATTAGGACACCCACATGAACGCTGATAACAGACAATATTAGGATAAGGTAAAAGTGGTGAAACAGCATTTCTATGACGAGTAAAATACATAATAAGCAACGACCCAATACAAGCAATGGCCATGAAGCCAGTCAAACTGCTAATAACAGGTATTGCATATCGACGAAAATAATAAAGTCGATTTGTTTGTAACGATGGTGTGGCCGCCACAGTAGACTCTTGTTGTTGCATGATTGTTTTTCATATGACCTATGTTCTATTTTGTAGAGCAGCAAAAATAACATTATATGCAAAGAGATTAATTTTAACCTTATAGGAGATTAACAGGGGATGGACCATTATTTTCTTTCTTTGACAAATTTTTTTTGTTTTGATTTATTAATACATTTAAAAAAAAACAGTCTCTACAAAAAAAAATTTTTAATTATTCAGTGTAATAACATCATCATCATCATCATCTTCTTCTTCTTTAGTGTTCTCTTTCGAAGATATGGTTCTATTGTCTTTACTAAATGAATTTCTATTTTTCGTATTTTCAAAATAATGTTCTACTCCAGGAAATATCTTATGTGGTAATTGACTGCAGCACGTGCAGTTGTCCCTACGATTGATGTTCTCTGTTAATTTTGCTAATAATTTTTTATGGTTTTTACACAAAATTGTGATGTTGTCGTTTTCTTTGTATTTATGATTGATATCTGGTACTGGTTCATCGGCGTTTATACCAACAATGACTAAAATTACATTGTTGGACATGTAACAAAAAGAAATAACAATGAATATACATATGTATATGTAATCATTACCAGGCAAATTTGATGGAGGTAAGTCGTCGGATACAGTGATAAATTCAACATCATCATTACCAATGAGTTCTTTATTAGGTACGATGAAGTGTAAAGGATCTGATCGATATGTTTCTTTACGATCTTTAAGCAATGGAAGACATGGAATCATATGTTAAACAACAAAAAAATATATCAATATACTATTAAGTCGTGCTGCTAGCTGAAGAGTATGTTCATCGCCACATTCGAAACCACTAATACTGATATTGAATACATCTTCGATTTCCTTTTGACGTATCTAAATAGTTTTTTTCAAAATTTAACCTTATTTCTTATAAATCAGCATACATGTCGAACTTCTAAATCATCCAAACAGATAACATATCGTTGAGCAACTTTATCTCCAATATGATACCACTTAATAGTAAGATTTGGTTTCAGATTTTGCTTATCATCTGACAAACTGAAACCTATGGTAGGATTTAATGCAAATACTTCACCAGTAAAATGAAAGCTCTAGTAAAAAAAAGCCCGAAGATATATATATATATATATATTTATTTATTTGAATACAAGAGAACATACACAAGTATTTGATTTTTTAACTTGTTCTGGCCATTTTGAATTGTTTGGTATCGCTTCAATATAAGCCCATGGGTGTTTTTTCTTTGTATTGAAACCTGAGGCTGCTAGATGTTCAATGTGAGGTTCAAAGTCAATTCGATTTATTTCATCATTCACAACTAACTAGAATAGGAGAAAACAATTTTCATCAGGATTGCCAAGTGAGGTACGCAAGAGAAGGTTTTGAGAACATGATCAGACGAACTGCATCTGGAAGACTCAGAGACACTCTAGTAAACAAGTAATATGATCGAAATCGACTCAAGGCTTTCTAACTATTATTCATGCTGAGGGAAATTACTCAATTGTTTCTCAATATTTTTGCTTCATATGTCTTTTTCGATTGAAACTATTCTTCTATGAATAACATAATTTATTGCTTTTGCAGGATTTTGCCTACCCCACCTCAGAATAGAAGCCCATTGGGCTTCTAATCTGTTTGGAAAATTGTAAGTTTAAAGGTGGGCTTCTATCCAGTACAACTTTGTCACCTTGTAGAGTAAGATTTATGCAAATTTAAAAGCAATAATAGATAGAATTTCATCACTTTCAAGATTTCTGTTATTTGTACTGCTGTATGTTCCAATGACCTCGAAATCAGTGCACATGTGGCGATTAATCACGATGTTAACCGAAATGGCACATAAATCGCAAATTTTCCAGGAAAAATCAAGAAAAGTCGCAAATTTCAGAAGTTTTATTACGATTTAGCAGTTCGATTAATCGTAATAAAATCATCGATTTTGTCGCGATTTTAAGAACATACGTTGCTACTACAAAATGTTTCAGAACAATTTCACAAAGACAAACTCTATACATTTCATCATTTTATTGCTTAACAAAAAGGCACAATATAGTATAACGAAACAATATGTACGAAAGAAATAGACTAACGTATGTGAGCATTTAATCAAAAGAATTGACTATTATCAATAAAGTGCTTTCTTTTCTTCATGTCTCTATACGAACATGTTTCGAATTAAGTGCCAACTGAAAAATGGGCGATTATACTAGATTCTAATCTGACTTTTGTGCAATAAAATCAAAATTATGGTAGATTGAACATCAGATTGTGCTTGCTTCTAAAGATTTCAATCTACTATAATTTTGATTTTGTTACACTAAAATCCGATTAACAAGCTAATATAATTTCATAGAGTCTAGTATTTTTTACGGGGTGGGCTTCTATTATATTGGAAAGTTATAAAGTCAAGACGGGGCCTCTATTCTGTGGGGGGAATAGCTCTTTTGAACATGACTTACCACAAATTTTTGTATAAGCTTACGAGATGATGCTGGTATAATATTAATTCTCCCATAGATTTTGTTGTCTGGAAATTTCAAACCTTCAAGGTGAAAATCTATTTGTAAGTCTCGCCATAATTTTGCATACTTTTAAGGACAAAAAAGAAAAGAACGCATTTTATCAGTAAAACTATTTTTTATTATCAACTTACATCAACTTCTCTTTTTTCATTCGATACACTAGTTTTAATAATCAACGATACTAATTTATAATCGATCTATTTAAACCATATTACCTTGGTCGTCCGTCATTGGCCATGATGTTTCATTCAAGTCAATATTCTGTCGAATTTCTTTTCCACAATTGTAAATTAAACTGATGGTTTTATCTTACACTATCACATCAATTCTTGATAAAGAAGTGTATGCGTATAAAACAGAACATAAAAGAAAAAAACTAATTCTTTATCGTCAGTGTGTCAGTTTATTATTATAGGATTTTTTCCTTCACATTCGTTGTCAAAATAAAATAGCTTAATATTACATAGTTACTATATCACTCACAATTATGATGATTCAAACAATGTCATATATGTTATAGTTCTTTTTACATTGCTGACATACTATAAAAAGTTTATTTGAATGAAATTTTGACTCGACAATGACTCGAAGATTGGAAATTGGACTGAATCCGGTAAAAATAAAAGACAAAAATCTATGAAAAAATACGAATGGAGTTCGATTTCTTCTAGATAACCAGAGATCCAACTCCGGAAGATATTTTTAATGAATTAAATATTCGTTATCGTGTTTGTTTCAAGCCTGTTAAGAAAAGGTAAACATATTGAATTAACCATTTTATTCATGCATCATTGTTGTTTTTGTCTCTATTTTTATTAGCTGTGACGCAGAAGAATGTATCTGTGTATGTAACCGACGAGTGGAAGATCACACTGATCGAGTTACAGAATCGGGTGCCAAAAACTGGGATATGTTACGTAATACCTACGAGAAATTAAATCCTGTTCATGGCCAACTTCTAGATGGTGGATTCGTAAGTTTGAAAGTTGTCTAGATCTAGTTTTTATTTACAAAAAAAATGGACAATTTTAGTTTACACGATTAGCTTTGGATACATCTGAAGGGAAAGTAGAAAAAATTCTACTTGATGTCTGGAAAATTCCCAAACCCAGATTAATTATGTCGATTATTGGTGGTGCAAAATATTTTACATTGAGTGATCGACTTGAAACAAATTTTATTAATGGTATTATCAATGTTGCTCTTAAATCAGGTAAATCTTCAATTCAATATCGAGTTCAATCATTTAGAATTTATTGAAAAGGTGCGTGGCTAATTACCAATGGCTATAATGTTGGTATTGTCCAACTTGTTGGACAAGCAATCCACAAAGTTAAATTAACAAATCCAAAACGACAAATAACAGCTATCGGAGTTTGTAAATGGGGAAGCGTAAAAGATGTTGAAAAACTAACAGAACCTCCTCATACAAGGAAACAGGTTGATTTTTTTGCTTTCAGATTTACGTATTTATCTCTTTTTTTTCTGGATTTTTAAGCGAGCGAACGATAGACACTGCTATAATGACGGTGACGAAAAACTGAAAAAACGTGAAAGTGGTGAACGCGACCTTGAAATGAACCATAGCCATTATCTTATGTTAGATGATGGAAGACTTCGATATTATGATATAGGAGATTATCGAACACGATTATGTGCTCATCTCGGAAAATTAGAGCATGACTATGATTTTCCCGGTAACTATATTAATTTCATTCTATGATAAAATATTCTAATCACGATTTATCTGAAAGGGAATTTTACTAAAAATCATAGAAAAGTCGATTTTAGAAATATATCTAGTAATTAAAAACCTTTTAGTATTGATTTCGGACAATCAAAAGTGTTAAGCTGTATGATTTATACGTATCGATGGCATACATTCACAGTAGGTAGAAACCGCAGAGGTTCTACTAATAGCTTTTCACTTATTATTACTATTAAAAGTCCATTAAGGATTTATTTGTACACATAATCATATATTTTTCAATGATCTGATATTGATTTTTCAGTCCAATCCATTATAAATCTCAGGAGATATGTAATGGGGAGAAACTCGAATGGATCGATTGACTATAAAAACCAAGGAAAAAAAGAAGAGAAATGCGTGACATCGAACTGTATCAGAACTGGGCAAGTACGGACTTTCTCGAGTACGAGTACGAGTCCCAATACTAATTATTGTATCAGTAAGACTAAAAGTTTTCAAGCTAGCTTGTAAAAAAATATACACTTAATCAGGGGTGTCGCGAGTAAGCGAATACTGGGGGGTGGGCGTAACTTATAAAATCCTACTTTCCAAAAATTTTGGAGGGGGAGTAACCAATGTTGCCAAATCTTTCGGATTCTGAAAGTTTTTTGAACTTTTGAGGATTTTTTCCATTTTTACTGGATTTTTCGGATTCTGAAAGTTTTTTGAACTTTTGAGGATTTTTTCCATTTTTACTGGATTTTTCGGATTCTTTTCTCAATTTTTCGATTTAAATTCCGGATTTTCGAGTTTAACATCTGACAACATTGGAAGTAGGTTAGCAGATCGTATTTGGTGTAGTATAAGTTTCATTTTGTGAAATACAATGCAAGACAATTTTTCGAATACTGGAGAGGGGCTCATGTCTCCATCCTCCCGCTGCCGCGGTACCCCTGGGCTTAATGCTCTGCAGCGACTAAATATATTTATATGAACCGAAAAAAGAAAATAGACTGGTGTATGGCGATTACTACATGACTATATGTTGTACAAATCTTCAAACATATTTGCACTGATCGGCAAGAGAAGACATCATCGGTGTGCTTCTTTGTTCAACCAACTTTGTTGAAAAATACAAAGAGATATTCGTGCCATAAAAGATGCTTCATCCCAAATTCGGAAAATAAAATTTCCAAGCACGAGTACCAGACCCCTCGAGTACGAGTACGCGTACTTCGAGTATTTTGCCCACCTCTGAACTGTATCAAAGTAATGTCAATATTTTTCTAATATAAAACTTTGAAATTTAGTTCCTGTTATTACAATTGTGGTCGAAGGTGGTCGAGATACTATAACAAATATGTACAATGATTTGCGAGCTAATATTCCTGTGGTTATTATCGATGTAAGTAAATCAAACAGCAAAATGATTCCTTCATGAAACTAGTATATGAAAAACAGGGTAGTGGTCGTGTGGCTGATTTTTTCAAACATTGGCTATTATACACAAAAGAATTTGATGATGCTAGTAAAGATGCTGACATAACATATGAAATAAATGAAATTGATAAAGTGAAACGAGTGAGCTCTGCAACTTCAAATCAAGAAGGTCTACCAGGTTCAAGAACAAGGTAAAGTTTTACTTTAGAAGTCATCAAAACACTAATCAAATTTTCATATAGCTATACGAATGTTAGACTTCGACTTGATAAATCCAGAAATGTGTAAATAATAATATATAAATCATTTCGTTCCTATAAATCTAACATGTTCTTTTAAATTTTACTTGAAAGACTTCGAGAAATGTTTCAAAAATATGAAGCACAACTACAAGCAGATCTTAATCCTATTATAAATCATGATGAGGATTCGAATAAGAAAAAACGAAAGCCTCCAACACCAACTGACTCAAAGGATGAACCATCAATTATAATAGATAAAACACTCAGTCAAGTTATGTATTGTCTTCAGCCTGCTGTACGTTCTGGTATATCTGTGTTTAATTTAAATTCTGAGAATAATTTTTCGGAAACAATTTTCCGAAGTATTTGTAAATGTATGTTTTGTTCAGCTAATTTCTTTGTATGGATTCATAATTTTATTTATTTATAGCACGTAAAAAATATTTCGAAAAAAAAGAAACTGATCAAAACGATGCAATTGAATCAAATCTACGAAAACTTAAACCATTACCTAGCTCACAAGATAGAAAGCGTCAATCAAATGCACGTCATAATATTAATAGAAAAGATCAGATTGCACAACGAACACAATTGCTACAGTTAGCAATGGACTGGAATTGTATCGATGTGGCAAAAGAATTAATACTAGAAAATTCATTAGATAATATATTGGTATGAACGATCAGTATTTTTATCGAATATTTAGAGTTAGAGATTAAAATAACTCGATCCTTTAGATTATGTAAGAAGTGGTTGAAGGTCGAGCTTTGCTTTGAGTACATTTTAATCGAAAGATTTACGAGTATTGACATAAAATACAGATTTTTACTGCTTCTGCTATCTGTTTATTTCTTTATTCTTCACAGTTTAAGCAAGTTTCTTCGTTCCATTCGCCAGTTGTACATATGTTACAGTGGAGATTAAAATGCCTATATGATCAATTTACACATTATTTGTATCATATTGAAGAGTACTTTATTAAATAGTCCCTTTTTCTCTTTTAGAACAAAGAATATACGTTTATATATGCTTTAACAAAGAATTTACCAACCTTTGTCTATGAATTTCTTAAACTGGGTATTGATCCAAGTAAAATATTTTTTCCGAACGATGAATTTTTCAAAGGAACGAGTCGATATAAAAAATTTATTGAAGATTTATATACAGATGCAGCAGTGGTATGTTTTGATATTTTTAAGTACAACAAAAACAAAATCTACTCTTCATACGCATCTAGAATAGTGACACAACGCATTTACGTTGGTTTGTTGAATCAGATTCAGATATTTTTGAAAAACATATTCAAAGAACGGATGATCTTAATGCTGTTATTTCTGTACTTATTGGTGATTATATGAGTAAACTCTACTTTGATAGCGATAGAAAGGAGATGACATATCGATCGTTGTGGGGTTTAAACAAAGAAGATGCCGAACAAAATACAATCACTGTTCAGGTTGGTGCAGACGACGAGGATCCTATCGATAAAGAAAATAGACAAAAAATTGAAGATTATACGATGCGAGATTTATTTTTATGGTCGATACTTATGTATCATATGGATTTGGCTAAAGTTTTGCTAAGCTATTTAAAATATCGAATATGTGCTGCATTGATAGCTACAAAAATTTTAAAAGAATATCATAGAAAAGCTACTCATGGTGAATTAAAAGATAGTTATATGAAGAATGCTGATTATTTTCAACAATATGCTATTGATTGTGTAACTCAATGTGAAAAAAATGATCCAGAACAAGCATGCCAAATTATTTTACAACGAATAGAACTCTATGGCAATGTTACCTGCCTTCAAGTATGATAGACATGAATTGTTTTTTCTTCATATTTCTATTTACAAAAGGTTGCTGCTGATGCACACGATAAATTATTTATTGCAATACCATGCTGTGTTCAAGCTATGAATAATATTTGGTTTGATAAAATTTATCCGGAACAATCACGCAAACGGAATAATATTTCTATGGGACTTGGCTTTATATCACTTGGTCTGTTGGCTCCATGCCTAGTCAACTACCGCAATGCTGGAGGGGTTAGAATTTATTTTCATAGAGAAACTAATTATAAGTCTATTAATAATGAGAAGTTCGGCTCATTCTCAAAAGAGATACTTTTTTTTAATATAATCTGCTGCATTCTCTTAAGCATAACTACTTAGTGCTTTCGTATAGCTACTGAATGAATATCATTATATTGTTTTTAAGGCAAAATTCAAACAAAACATTTTGTATTCACAATGGGAATGTATATAGAGTTCATGAGAATAATCAAATATTTACGATACCAACATTATTAATGATATAAAGGAGCACGGGGGGCTGAAAAGGGATGTACTAAAGAGAAAGTGAAACATGTACCCAGGACGAACAACCCTATACCTGGATCCAACCGGACTCGATCGGATTTCGATTGGTTCCTGCAGAATTCTAAGCAAATCCTGGTTGCGGATCCACTCGCGGGTCTCTAGTGTTGGAATCCCGTCGATTCTAGCAGGAACCAGTCAAAACCCGATAGGTTTCTTTAGGACCTCGTTGGAATCCGACTTCTAAAATTCCTATCGAGTTCGGTTGTTGAATTTGGTAAGATGTTCACCGGATTCTAACACTAGGGATCCGATCGGATTCGGTATCGGATTCATTCACCTGGGTAAGTCTTCATATTTAGTTGACGATGAAAGAATCGAAATGCTTGAGATTTGAATTTCTATTATATGTCGGGTTACTTTCAAATGTTCATGAGTTGATGTTGTTTTTATTATTATTATTATTGAGGTTCATCATACTGTTTCTCAGATAAATTCAAGTAAAGCAATTTATATTCATAATGTGAATCTGTATTTGATTCATTAGAATATTCAAATATTTATGATATTGGGGGCATTAATGATATAAAAGAGGAAGAGATACGTAATAGGATTTTTTTGGAAAAATACGTGAAATTATATTAATAAAGTTTGTCTTTTGTTTGTAATACGGCTAGGATGCTTTTTTTAAAATTGATGTAGAATCTTTAAAGAGGTACATGAACTTTCAATAAATACGTGATCTTTGAATAATTACAGTAAAGTTGGAAGCAGCTATACAATAATCAAGTAGCTATGAAATCATTCAGTAGATATGGACATTTTTTTAAAAGCATCTCTTTTGAGAAGCTACGGAGAAGTTCATCCCTCTGATAAAAACACTTGTTCCTAATCAATAGATAGTGTTTGAAATTCTGTACAAAATGATGTATTTCATGCCGTAAATATAGTTTCGTTTATTTTTTCGATAGAGTATGATCGGTTCCAAAATGGGAATAGAAAGTTTATGTTTTTTAACCAATACCTACATTCAGTCTATTGATGGTCTCTTTTTTTTAACATAATCCATCAACATAATAAAATTTAGAAAGTTTCTCTTTACGCTGACCAAGAAACAATCAGTTAACAATATAAAAATCAACTTTCTGTGTAAGGCCATTGTGTAGTTATATGTAAGTAAATTATAACTGAGAATCTGGGCTGCGATTCGACCTATATTTCCTATAATTCCTATTTTTCCTATAGTTTATCGAAAAAAGTAGAAAATTTCCGAAAACTTCTTCATTTGGCTATTGTCTTCAGACGAAATAAAAAGTTTTAATGTGAATAATCATGTGTTTTGGACGAATTCTTGTATTATAGTGACATTTGTTTTAAACAGTATTTTTCCTTTCGCCTATTTAGTGGGCTGACTGAGAAATTGTTTAGTACTAAGTACAAAATACAAAATAGTTCAAAAGAAAAAAACATTCACAAAGTGATCATGCACTAGTTTATGGTTTTTAGCGAAGTTTTAGTTAGATATAAAAGCTGTATATATATATCTATATATACCCTGGAAAAAATAAGTTTCACTCTGTATTTTGAGTATATTGTTACCAAAAGAACATAGTTTTTTAAAAGTAACGACATATTCTGAAAGCCCATGAAATTTTACATCACCCTGTATAGATGCATTTTCATTTACACTTACTTATTACCAGAAAAAAATAAGTTATGATTAAATACAAAATAGATTTGTGGAAAATAATAAGCGATGAATGCTAATTATCAGGACACTAAAATTAGGTTGAGATTTTTCGGAAGTCATGTGCGTAATCTGAAACGTCTCCTTTGATTATGAGAAATAGTATTTGTTTTTTCAAAACTTATGATCTACTTTATTGTTATTTATCGATTTGTGAAAATTTTTTATAATAATCCTCGAATTAGCGACTTATTTCATTAGAAAAAATTACGTAAGGATCTTGGCTACGGTTGAACTGTTTATAACAGCTTCATTAAAACGATTTTCGAGCAGAGAAGTTAAAAAACACCAAAAAATTGCACAGACACGGTGTATGAAGCGTCCTCTCTTTTTGCCATTTTCTTATCGAAAATCCTATATTTTGGACAGCCTTGATCCTCTAAGAATTCCTGTATTTTTAAAAAAGTGCAATCGGAGGCCAGCTGAGAATGTAACACTGAAATCAGGTAGTGCACAGTACGAAACGAAATGAATTATCGGCAACATGCTGCAAGATCATTTTCATGGATTTATTTTGAAGACACTTTCTCCACCTTTTGAGATCAAAGATCAAATACTTTTGATAAACTAATAATATCTTCTTTTGATTAGGAATCCAAAGATGAATCTCTCACTCGACGGTAAGTAGTTTTGAGTGAAACTCTAATAATAAGTGTTATGAAAAATAATTTCGAATTTAGTTTACAACCGTATGGTATAAATTATTCGGATGCCTACACACTTGAATATCCACGTTATACAAAGATTGTACCATTGAATCGATACATGCATCGTGTAAAAAATTTTCATCAAGCTTTACGAATGAAATATTTTTATCATTGTGTATGTCTTAGAAGTGAACTTCAAAGTTCTTTTTTCAATATTATTTATTTTAGTTATCTTATATTGTTTTCCTGTTCATTTTTTCTTACATGATTCTATTTAATTTTCAATTGCCAACAGATAAAATTCCTTCAATCCATTGGACTGAAATTGTAACAATTATTCTAGTTTCGTCCATGTTAATTGAAGAAATTCATTATGTAAATATTTCTTATGTAATCAAATTAAGGCAAAACAGATTTTATTAAAAATTTTAGTTCGTCAGCCTGGATAACTTAAGTTTTCCGGGGAAATGTTTTAATTATTTTCGTAATTTATTTAAAATTATGACGATTGTTGGTTTTATTCTATTCTACGTTGGACTAGTTCTAAGGTTTACTCATGCGACTACAGACGAAGAATTTTTTGCAGCAAGGTAAGACTTTCTCTCCCTCAAAATATTGAATACTTGTAAAAAAATTGGCTAAATTTTACTTATTTAGGATAGTCATGGCGATCGATCTAGAGATTTGGTGGCTTCGTTCTCTCTCATTTATTCTTGTTGTACGATTCCTTGGTCCACATATTGTAGCTATTGGGAAAATGGTAACTGTCCTACTTGATTTATATTTAGACAGCAATTATTTGTTTTTGCATTGTCTTTTCCTATAGCTTAAGGATCTGGCATTTTTTATGTGTATTATTGCTATTGTGATGACTGGCTATGGCGTAGCTTCACGCGCAATGGTATATTATCCAAATGCTAATAGATTTAATGAAACTGGCATTAGCATTGCATTTAATGGTAGAGATATTTTCCGTCAAATTGCATATCCGGTGTATTATTTAATGTACGGGGAATTCGGCACTGAATTAGATGACCTTGATAGTAAGTTGACAATATCCATGCATGGGGTCAAAGTTCGCCTTTTTTTACAAACATTATTTTTTCAAAAATTAAATTTTTTTCTAAATAGACAATCGTGATGAAGCTTGGTCAATATCAACACATGTATTACTTGCCGTTCATATGCTTTTTGTGAATATTCTACTTACTAATTTACTCATTGCCATGTTTAGGTAAATATTAAATGCAATAGTAAATCATAAGAATAAACCTATATTTTAAAGTAAACGATTCGATCAAGTGTACGAAGATACACAAAACATTTGGCATACACAACAATATATATTTACACGCGAATATTATACACGTGCACCCTTTTTTCCACCAATAAGTCTTATCTATGATATGTATTATCTATGTCGTTTGACATTTTTTAATATAAGACGAGTTTGCTTTAAAAAGTCAGCTGATCCGCGAGCCAAAACGTTTAGTAAGTTAAAGGCAATTGGGTTTTGGTGGCATTAAAATTTTAGAATTCATTTCTTATAGAGATGATACCCATCGACAAAAGTTGTGTTAAAGATTGGTACCAATTTGAGGCTGCATCGACATATGAATATGCTCATCAAGAAGTCAAAGCATTAAAAGCTGTGTTAATGACGTTAGTGAATAAGAAGTAGAAGAATATTGATTAATGTTGTTTTTTGATTGATCTAGATCGTCGAATGGCTCCGATTTGCATTGCATTGAAAAAAGAGAAGATAACAATGATAGTATGAATGATTCAAACAATTCAAATAGTAATATACGACAAATACAGGATGATCTAGCAAAATTAAATCAATCATTTGAAGATATTAAAGGACAATTAAAAACATTAATTGAAGTAAATTTATTCGTTCGTGAAAAATCATATCAAACATTCATATATTTTTTTCTTTCCTACTTTAGAAATCTTAGGATCATCATAGTATGCCTAGATTCAACAAAATTAATCGAATTTCTTGTTTTCTTTTCATTCATATACAATTAATGTTCCTCGATTGAAAGTAAAAAATGAAAACGTTTTTTTTTCAGTTGGTGATTGATTTTGAACTAGATGCTTGTTAATAATCGATACATTTTGAACTACTTGTTGAACTTGATACAAATAAATTGCATGAATTATTTGATGAAAACTGGAACAGAACGATGCTAAAGTATATTTAGACAGGCGATCGTATTGAACATAGTATATATTACAATAGATATTCAGGTTTTTGTTCTATTTTATTTCTACTGTTCGATTACAAGAAATATATTAGCAATGTAAAGGGATTGGATTTCAAAAGTGAACTAGTGAAAAATACATGATTGTTAAAAAAAACAATTTCTTATAAATCAGTTAAGCATTTTTCATCTACAGCATCTAGTTTTTGTTTAATGGTTTGTAAACAGTGAAAAATTCGATCAATATCAACTCTAAGTTGAACATCGTAGGCATCATTCGTTCCATAGTGACAACGTCGAAATTCACGGCGTAGTCGAGCATATAGAAGACGAGCAATAAATTGTTTGCATTTTCCGTTAACTTGCTGTTTACCACATGTGGTTCGAGATTGATTCTTGATAGTCTGCAAACGCCACCAAGCAAGTATGAGTCGTGCTGCAGGTCGAAGAAGACGTTCAGATTCACGACGCTTTTCGTCAATGGATGTTAAACCAGCTGAAATAATACCAGCAGGCAATGTCCAAAGTACAAGACCTATGCAACATAAACTTGCTGTAAGAGTACGACCTTTAAGCAAAGACAGAGAAAAAAAATCATAATAAATTTCAGAATCAGTCATAGTATGACATTTTATGAATACCAGTCAATGTTTGAGGCCAAGTATCGCCATAGCCAATCTAGATCAAAGATAAAAGTCATGGCTATTGAGAATAATCCTAAGCATAATTTCACTTACTGTAGCCATTGAATTGATAGTAAACCATACCGAGTCTGTGTATGTTTTAAAAAAGAATTGCCCATTGGTTTCTATATGTCGTTCAACAAGCCACAAAAAGTAAGCTGTTGGCAGTAGAAGTAAAATACATATGTAGACAGCTGCCAAAATAACTCGACGATATTGCCAAATGATAAAACTAATTAAAGGAATTGATTTAATGTATCGATCCAATGAAATAAAACGAAGCAATTGAAGAAAGCGAAGACCATGTAAGAAATATTTCGGTGTATCATAAAATTTGATTAAATATGAAGTAAAAACAGTAGCATATGAAATTAATAACACCAAATCAACGATTACATAATGTTCATAGAAAAATTGAATTTTGCCGTGTAACCCTTGATAACGTGACCTTGATTCAGATGCATACGTTCGCAGTATAAACTCAATCAAACAATACACACACAATGTTAATTCGATATAAAACAGTATTGATACGCTTGATTCATGATATTCTTCATATGTTGTTCGTGTACCTACAACTACGGCAACCGAGAAAGCTAAGAATAGAAAACAGCCATAGAGAGAAGATTGTTCAAATAGATGAAATAAACGAGAAGACAACCAAGGAGCACGATGAAACCGTCGTTGTCGTGTCTTGTCTAATCGCGATGGTAAAAATAATTCAGATTCGTTCTGCATTTGTCTTCAATAGAACTAGAAATGATGTTAACTCTTGACTTTTATCAGCTTTTCTACTTGAATTAATAGAAAGTGATTGTATCGAATTTCTATTCATGTTAATAGGCAACAATCTTAAGATTCGCTACGAAGATGTTTTGACTTTTCTATCGACGATTGTCTATTATTCACCTTTACATTTAACTAGAAATGAAAATTACTCTCGTAAAAGGTTACACTTGTTAGGGTGCGAGTCTATAACTTCACTGACAACATAGATGGGATCGGCTTGACTAGAGAGATTCGATATTGTTTAAAAATTTGAGTTCAAAGACTGTTACAATAAAATAGAATTAAAAATTGATGAGGAAATCACTTAAGAAAATCGATTTTTGGAAAAGCACATTCTTGTGATCCTGAATGTCGCCTCTTCCAGAGTATTATATGAAATAAGTCTCGATTTTGACGAAAGTCCCATGAAGAGATAGAAATTTTGAAGCACTTCCCAATGATGTATAACATTTCACAAATATTTGCACTAGAAGAACATCAACTACTCAGTAATTTTGCTGTAGAGATTTCATAACAGAAAGAGTTTTCAAAAATATTGTTTGAATTTGAAGAGCCTGTAAATACAAACATGTGCAGTGTATAGTTATTTCGTTGTTTTGACTCCTTATATTAGCTAAAAGCAATTTCATTTTCCATTTTCATGTCACTAATGAATCGACATTGTTCACATCATTGGGTGTGGGTGTAAGTGAAGATACACGGCCTACTTCACGCCCACAAGATTTTTTATGTAGAATATATTTATTAATTGTGATGCTATTTAAGAACATCCATACATCTACACCCTTCATTTGCTTTCTGCTCGGTATTTGTGACATTGTTTTTCTTTTTAAACTTATGATAGTAAGAATGATTTTCGATAAGCGTTGTGCACTTTATCATATTCTTGTGAGAAGAACAGCTGCTCTAAATAACTTCAAACACTTTTTGAAATAGGTAGCCCAATTTGTTTTGAATTCGAAAACAAAGTATGTTTTATTTGCATTTTTATTTGTTCGTTTAGAAAAATCTAATCATGCTCACTACAATTTTATATTGTCTATTATTATCAACTTTGTCTGTTGTTGTATCAGCTACATATTTTAATAGCGAGCATGGTAAATATTTGTCTATTTTAAACGAGAAACAATTGTGGGTTTGGTCATGTTATAGTTAGAACACTTATTCCTGTACATATACGGCTGCTTAGCCACTACATCAATTGAGCTGCCAAGTGCCTGCTATCGGTTGGTTGAGACTAGGATGCCAACATAAGTCTCTTATTCAATCCATTAAATACAGTGAAACCAATAAAAAAAAAGACTTTGTCTTACACTCTTAGATTGATTTCACCAAATGATCTGCTGCTAATCTATCCAAAAAAGGTGTCGACAACTGGACCTGAATGCGAAAGAAGTTTGCCATAGAAATAGTTGCTTTTCACAACAATAATAGAATGATTATATCTACTCTTGAGTCGTCAAACTTGGAGGAGAGGGTGTAACTAATTTAAAAAGTAGCGATTAATCCGAGTTTGACAGGTCAATCGACTTTGATAAATCGTCGATTTACTATGTTTATCATATACCTATTACATGATTACATTAGTATTATAGTTGATAGCCGGCTAAGTGTGTATTGAAGTGACTCAAGTCAAGAGTAATATTACTTACAAATGGAGATTTCGAGTTTCTTGGCACTCACACATTTTCAGCATTTTCTAGAAGAAAAATAGTTTTTCTTCGTAGTTTTTCCTTTAAGAACCAATAGTTTTAGAATCCAACGACAATTTAAAGTAATCTCATTTTTGCTTGTATTGGAATCGATAACAGTCAAAGTCACAGAACTTTACTGTCCCAAGTTTCATCTACACAAGATCAAAGCAAATACCTGCCACAGCTTCATTCGTATGAGTCCTTTCTTATCTTTATTTCATATTACTTTGTTTCTTCATCCTCTCGTTGTCTGTCTCTCTATCATGGTTCTCTTTTGTCGACTTGAACTCTCAATACCTTTCGTTTTTCTGTGTCTTCAAAACAACGAGAAAGCACGAATAAATACGTGTATTATTTTCTATTTCAGGCCTTGTTAAATTTGGTTTGGGTCAAAAAGCAAACTCTCAAGATTATAATGGACCGTGGGGAGAAGGAGTCAAATGTCCTTATAGCAATCCTCGTAAATAACTCTTTGTTCGGCTATCATGTTGTCAGCTAATTTCGTTTTTATTTTTCCGTATTTTAGCGTTTCCCGATGGTACTACTGTGTATACAGGCTCAGTCCCATCTGCTATGACTACGGATGCTGTGAATTATCTTCGTGATGTAAACATTAAACTTTTTCAAGTCAGCGAGACCAGAACATATTCTAGTTTACCTAATGTCTATTTTGTGATGAGAAAAGAATTTCACACTTGGCATTATTCTGGTGGTAAACTCTTAACCGGTTGTTGGACAGGTGTTACTGTTTATCAATATATCAATCATCCATAAGTGAACAGTCAAGAGTCAAAAGATTCCTCAAAATTGATCTTAATTTTTTTTTCTGTAATACACTTGTTAATACAGACAATTACATATCATATGACCAAAGAAAAAAGGTCAAAGGGATTCTAAATGCGATTTTTTGGAAACTATGAAGAGAAATGTGTGTGTGTGTGTGTGTGTGTGTATGCATATGTGTCAATGAGAAATAATGGAAATACAATACTAGGAACCAAACCACATACATATCCTCTTAGTTGTTCTGGCTATGATTGTACTAATCATGATAAAACTGGATTGATGTAGGTGTGGTTATTAATATTAATATTCTCGACTCGTACCCACATTATGATTCTCAATTTTGTATATTTTTCTTTCCCAATCTGAACAGTGTTTTGTATCGTTCTTCTTCGTTTCAATGATACTCATTATTTTTCCTTTCTGTCTGCAAGTAAACACGAGAAAAAAATCTTGGTTTTTCTTCTTCTCTCTTCGTCAGTCATACTGAGAAATGTAACATTATTGTGAATATAATTTATGATTCATTTATTCGTCCAACAGTTTGGTTCTATTACGAAGCGTAAGTGATTCACTCCGCACCATTTTTTTATTTTTATTTGCACGAGTACTTCAATGCATAACATTGTAGCAAATTTTAGCGAGAAGAAATTCAAATTAAACGATATTTATCGAATGATTTCCAATGACAACACTGATATTGGAGAACCCTTTTCATGCGAAGCTTGACATATCATGACAATGGTCACACTTCATGAATGTACTTACACATTTCCAATGAAATGCTCATAGTATCGTGCCAGAAATGAGGGGGACTAGATGTATACTCCTCGTGTTTCATATATATATGTGAAGTAAAAAAAAGACTTATTGTTTAAGAGTGAGGCACATGACCTTGTGAATGACACAGCACGTAGCAACTAAATTATTCATCTTTTCAAGTATGTTGTGCCATTCATTTGTTTTTCTCTCGAATTTTAACTGAAGGATGTATTCGATAAGCAGATGAATTCGACCTCGTTCTTTTTGCGCGAGTTTACTATTTTTTTTACCGCTAATTCTGTTCTCCGATTTTTATGCTTATCCCTATCGAATAACAATGATTGAATGAATTCTTTCTGTACATAGTCTTTATAGGCGAAAACATACTTTGCAATGACAATTTTTAACTACGTGATCGTAGGCAGTGGACCAGCTGGTTTATCGGCTAGTTACGGATTGAATGCACATCATGAAACTAATTATTTGTTGATTGATAGTGGCGATGGCCTATCGGAACGTGTACAATCCAATGATAAAACACATATTGGAGGTATTGGTGGTGCCGGTCTCTTCTCCGATGGTTATTTTGTATTTTATCCAGCCGGTAACAGATTGTGGTTGCTTGATCAAGAATGTTTACGAGAAAGCTACAATCAATTAGCAAAAATGTTTCAAGGCATTCTTGATATACCAGCTTTTCCACGTGATCTCAGTATAAAATCTGCTGGCCAAGTCACAACAGTCAACACCATTTTGGGTTGCCATGCTGATATGGTATTGGATGTTGCAACATCCCTGGCAGCTTGGTTTGGCAACATTCAAAACAGCGATGAACAAACTATTATTAATACTGAAAAACGAAAACAAAAAAAGCAATCCACGTTCCGTTTAACACTTGAACAACGTACTGCTCTCATTGCTTCAATTCTGCATGGTCTAAAACCGAATCAATTATCTCTGAACACTAAACTGTGTCAGATAGAATCTACAACAGATAATACTTACATTTTGCACTGTAAGAAAAATGGTAATGATGTTGAATTTCGCTGTAAGAATATCATTCTCAGTGGTGGTCGATTTTTTCCAATCGTTTCTCAGTCATTTCCTATGATAAAACATGTTTTTAAGCAAGTGGAAATTGGCGTACGTCTCTGCGGTCCAGCAAATAATAGTTTATTCTCGGATGCAACACAAGCCAATTCAAAAATTATTCCAACAGCCGATGCCAATCTTGAGTATCGAACATTTTTTTGGTGTCGTAACGGAGGATGTTCATGGGCCGAACAAGACGGTATAGCTGCCTATTATGGCTCTTCGGAATGTCCAGCAACATCTGAAAGTAATTTCGGCTTCAATGTGTGTTACAAGAGCGACGATGCTCAGAAACTTTTAGAAAAAGTGAAGGGTACACGTCCATTTGAACTATCACTTGCTGAATTGGACAAGTTACATGACATATATGATGATGTCGGTACTCATATTGCTACAGGGATTGAATTATTTTTCACAAAGTTCAGTAAAGATACAAATTTAGATCGGCAAAGTTTTATGCTCAAAGGACCCACACTAGAAGCCGTTGGAAACTATCCACTACTCGACCAAAATATGAAAGTACCAGGAGAAAATATTTGGTATGCTGGAGATGCTACAGGTGTATTCCGTGGCATTATACCTTCGATGTTAAGTGGCTTATTTGTTGTGAATCAAACGAAGAAACTTGTCTAAATCAGTGACTGAACTTTTGTATTCTATAGAACTAACAATACTCTAGCTTTTTCCCGACGTACTTAGTGACATCCAATGATTGTTTGATTTAAGTTATTGAATTATATTTTACTTCAGAAATTCGATAAAAAGATGCTCTTCAATAAAAATGCTTAGTGTAGTATTCATGTCAAATAAAAGAAGCGTGAGTCTTTTTGGAATCATTTTTCCTAGGAACTAAAGAGAGAAATCGGCATTTTTTGAGGGGTGTCCAAGGACTGAGGATTAGGAATTCCTCATCAGTTTCCATACATTTTCTTGCATAATAAAGGTAAAAATATAGAATATTCACGATAGTTTTTGTTCTTACACTCATTTTCACTTGAAAAATTGTGAGAATCAATGATTTCATGCAAAAATTATTTTGAAAACAGCAATATCGCAACTTTCGTGAATGATGGAACGGTGAGGGAACCTATAGTTGATTCCCATTTCCTCCAGGAATTATCAAAGCGGTACTGACAATTCCTCGACACATTAGGAATTCCTATTTCTCAGTCCTTGGGCACTGCTGACAATTTCATAATCAATAAATGCACTTTTTGAAAGTTCAAAATATTAATTTACAAACAAAAGCATAAAAAAAAAGGTAAATAGAAGTAAGTCCATTGGTACCCTCAGTTTTCATAAAAAATTCGATGTAATTGGTTCTCACATAATGTATTTTTTCGCTCAAGCTGTCCGAAAAGGATGAGAATAAAGAAGCGTCTCAACGTATCTAATAGTGTACAAAAGTGATCGTCATTTACTCTATAACAAGAAGGGCATGGGTGTGGGATGTCATTTTAGAGAAGTGCACCCACATTCACACCCATAGTTTCAAGCATGCTATTTTATTGTGCTTATGAGAGTCATGTTAAAATATAGCTTCGTTGTGTCACTCATCCTTTGCCAATAGAATGATATTGGATGGGTATTTGTTTTCCTAGGGTTTATATTCTTGCTTTCGAAAATATGCACACATTTCTATTCTTGTAGTCAGGCTGTCTAGTAAGATCCCTGAATGAAGTATTGAATGGCCATTTTTAGTGTTTCCTTGACTGATATTTATTGACGCTTCTTGTTCTGCAATATGCAACTAATCAGCAACAGTTAAGTCGGATCTTTTTGTACAATCGCTATATTCTCCCAGCTTTTTCATCATTCATGTATTGTAAGAAAAAAACACGCCTGATGCAAATATTTACCGATGTTTTGATGTCCGCATGGATCCTCTATTGTACAATATCCAGAGTAAATTAATTTTTTTCTACCGACGAAAATATATTATATTGATAATATCATTGTAAAAGAAAACACTCACAAGCACAGTTGAATCTAACCATTGACTGAGTGTCCACACGTCGGCATCATTTCAAAAATATGGTGAGACTTGATACTTATAAAAAAAGCAAAAATCGTGATATTTTATATCGACAGTAGCTCTTATCAAAACAATTTGCAACAAAATGTTATTCGATTAGAACAATACCTAATATTATCCTCTGTCTGTACATCGGTAAAAGAACTAAAATGACTCAGAAACTAAATCAGTATCTAAAATGTGTTTGCAGTATTCACGTGAGTCACAGTAATCCTACTCAGAAAACAAGAAACAGATTTACATTTACATATCGAAACTGATATAGAAATGAATATTTATCCACCATATAATTTCTCAAAGCTCAGATATTCTTGATTTTTCAAATGGAATCCTTTTTGGCTATTGTAACGTGATGTACAGTAAAATGATCGTAAATATTGAACAGGTATGCATTTCGAAATTCTGTTTGACAATGACTTAGACACTACTTGCTAGATTCAATTTAAAACGGTTATCAGTCCCTCATCTCCTCGAATAACGAAATTGTACTGTAGATTGTATAAAATTACTATTCCAATTCCCAGGTTATACCTAGCCGTGTTTGTATGTGCCATATGCTTATTATTTGCATTATATGGTACAAATTATGTCAGTTTGAGTGAGCTGCTGTTGCTTAAGTAACAGTGTGATATGGATGAATGCTGGACAGAAAGAAAGTGACATCGAATTCCATCCCTAATCAACTCTCCCTAGAAGAATCCTCAGGGAGTCCCTAGGGATTTCGTTATTTTGCGGAGACTCCCCGGGGAGTCGTCGGGGGAGAGTGGATTAGGGATGTCAGTATCTAAAATAATATCCATTTTTTGTTTCGCATACTGTATATTAGCGCTGTTTAGGTCTGCAAATCAGTATATTATATCGGAAGAGTATAGCATACAGTCGAGTACTCAACGAATCTAGTAGACGAGTATTACTTGTTATAGCTTTCCTGTCAAAATCAGCAAGTTCCAGTTGTACAGAGGTTTAGTTTCATATTAGCAATACCATCAGTTTTATTAAAGTTGGGGCAAAACTTCTCTATTGATTTTCAGATTTCTGTGAAACAGCAGAGAACAGGATATAATCATAAAGTAAAAATATACGAGCAAAATAGCCTTTTCAACTACAAAAAAAATAAAGGAAAACTAATGACCAAATAGTTTTTATATCTAATAATTAAATAATAATAATAACTTATGATGATCTTTCAAAGTGATTGAAGGCAACTTCACATGGAACAGACAATGCAGGCATAATACAGATACGCTGTATAACGGAGTTCATTAGCAGAAGTCATTTTTCCTGATTGCTCCAAAAACTAGAAAATTTCAACTGCGGATCCACATTGATCGTATAGATGTAATAGTCAATTTCTTCATCAGTGAGCCAGACTTTCTTGATCAATAATGTAAGTACTGGCGATAGTTCAATTCCACAAAGACAGAAAAGACTATCAGTTTAATTTTGATTCCATTTTTTGAAGATAAATTTATGGAATTTAAAGCATAAGTGGTCACATTTGAGTTATTCACTTAACTTCCTGTTCTATTTTAACTTTTTATAAAGTTATTGCTGCTTCTAACTCAATTGGTCGTTGCTGAAGATGATAATATTCAGTAGAATCCGAAAACACGGAACATGCAGTAAAAAACGGAGACACACGTCAAAATTTAGTTTTTCAATTTGACGTATTCAATCTGAAAGAACAACGTTTGAAACCACTAAATCTAAGTATTTAATTCATCTGTATATTGTATAGTAAAATTATCGGGGATCGACGTTTAACACTGTCCACCTATACTCATACAAAAAACAAGCTAATGAATTATCTCATCAATATTTCGAATATTATTGAAAAATATCATTGATGAATATATACAAATCGTTTCTCTAGGATTTCAATCAGTTGTGGTACAAGTTCAAGTGGATGTTCATGTCCTTTTTTTCCACAAACCGAGCATAGATCATAATTATCACACGTAGCACAATGATATCTTTGACCATTAATACAACTGACGCTACATCCATGACATGTGACATCTTCCCGTAGAAAATCCTCTTCTGTAGGAGGAGGCAACGTTTCTCGCTGTGTCCATGTTTTCAAAGATTGTACTCCTTTACGTGAAACATCATCAACACCACGACGTGATAAAGTTTTTCCATCTGATGGAAGAATGAACAATCTTGGAATGCCTTCAAAACAAAACAATAATTACTATTTAACATCAACAAATCAAATAAACATTTACAAGAAGATTGAAAATATGTATTGATAAGATGAACTGAATGAAACGGAACAGCAGGCCAAGACATTTTTGAACGATATTCATTGACTGATGGATCATCGAAATCAGATGATACAAAAACTATACTAATATGCAGAGCATTTTCTTGTGCTTTCTTCATAAGCTTCTGCTAATTTTGGTGTAAAACAACGACAAGACTGGCACCAATGAGCAGAAAAATAGAATCCAATTCTTTTAACACCATTTTCCCATATTGTTGTTGTTTTAATCTTTTCTTCACTGTTAGGATTAAGTAAATGTGAGGAACTAATTTGACAAGTTGCTCAAATGAATATTGTAGTGTAGGTACTAAATATTCAACGAGAGGATGCTCATGTTTAATTTTTGGAAGGCATGTTTCACATAGATCTACGTAACACATTTCATCTATACAAACATGTCTTGAACCAATGACTGGACATATATAGCATTCATGATAAATAACACCATGCCAAACATATTCACTTTCGCATGCTTCACGTGACCAAAATAAAGATTTTCGTTTACATCATTGGCGTGCAGCCCCATGATATGCACCACGTACTAAATCGACACCATCCAAAGAAGTTAGCTGACATGTAGAAGAAAGCAAAACTACAGCTGGAAGGTGTTCAATATGAAAATGTTCACATCATGCTATTGCACGATCTTGATCTAAATAAATCGAAACTTATTGAAACTTTCTGTTTGATTAAAAATGTTGTTTACAATGTCAATTTCAGTTATTCAACATACCAGAGAAAGGTAATGATTTCGATGGCATTTCTTTGAAATAGTGATCAAAAGTAGCTTGATCTTCGTCATTTGAAATAAAAACAATGTCTAATTCATCTTCCAATTCACTATTATGTCCTTTAAAAAAACAGCTAATTTTGGTGTAAAGTTTTGACATAATCGAGATGAATGAGCTCTAGAAAAACATAATACTGGTATATCTGTTTCAATAGTTTTATTATAAACAGACGCGAAATATAGTCCAACATTTATCCATTCAGTTGATTAGTTGATATTCTATCGGATTAATTCTTACATTCGTTGTATACAAGGAGTTGTTCACTTAACAATTAATAAAACATTTTTTGCCATGCGCAGTCAATTACTAGATCTATTATAGATCGGTATGCAGCATTTCTTCTTGAATAATAAATAATGACGAAAACTGAAGATGAAGGCCGCAATAACCTAATACGCTGATTAGCTCTTTTATGTATGTATAATGGACATATTAAAAATGCCATTAATCATATAAGAATTGTTGAAACTGTCAAAAAAAAATTGGGGCCGACAAAGTTTCAAGTTGATACACAAATTATTTAAAAGAAATATAGAGAAAACAATCAAAATATAAATAAAAGCTTGAATGATGAACAACTATAGTAATACTAACGGAACGTAATAAGTTAGGTATAGCAAAATTTGAAGCACTCTGTAAGATGAGATAGTGTATTATAATTTGTACAATTTATATTGATTTCAAATGATTTTAGAAGTGGAATTGATGATTATCAAAAGTGAATCATTGAAGGAGGGCATACTCGTATGCTAATTATAGATTCAATTTGTTACATTTAATGTATAATGTTATTTATAACTTCTCATTGCTTTATTTTTTGTGTCAGTATTTTGAGTATTATTCATGTAGTTGTTTGAGCAATGAATTTTGCTTGATGAATAAGTTCGGATAGAATTGTGGCTACCATGTCTCATATAAGAAAATAATAATAATAATAATAATAAGTAATGCAATTATATGAAAAAATATAGATAGCAACATAATTGTTATATGTAATGATTATATATATTTACTAAAACTCTATTCAAATTGTGAATAATAATAAATTTGACTGCTTTTGGAATAAATCATAACTATATTTTCTCTTTTATTGGAAAGAGTATAGATGTAGTTGTAGATTCAGATCTATAGGATATCAACATCCACCCAACTTCTCTCAGCGCTTTTCTTTTAACGATAGTGTAAAAATATCAGTTGTTAGCTTCGGCTCTCAATATAAAATGCCTCACTGAATAAGAATAACACCTTTGTGAGATTTTACATTATGATACGAAAATTTCTGATTAACAAATGCCGTTCGTTACATATATGTCTTTTTCATACAGTTTATGATTCATACTACTCTCGATTAATGTTATTTTCTTTACAATATGTCGATTAGTTGGGCAATACCATGATGGAGGGTATGAATAGATTCATTCAGTTATATGCGTTCTCTCTCTATGTCAACAAAAATTATGAGTTATTCATCAATATTCATTTACTGGTACCAATAAATATTCTTACATAGAGAAAAAATCAATGTATTACATCTTTTAAGATTTATTACACTCATACCTGCAAGCCAAAAGCTTCGTCAACAATCATCATGTCGAAAATTCTCGTGCTAACTTTTATCACATTGATTTGTTTCAGTAGCTCGTCTGCCTTACTCTGTATGGTTGGACAAAAATCATGTGGTACACAGTGTTATTTCCCAATAGCTCATAAATGCATCGATGGACAACTCTGCAAGATTGGTCAGACAGCGTGTGGTACTCAATGTTATTATGATGTTGGATTTTACGAATGTCTTGAAGGACACTTGTGTAAACTTGGACAGAAACTCTGCAATGGTCAATGTTATTATCCCGTCACTCAACACTGCATTAAGCGGGAATTCTTAATCTAAATCAGTGACATTTCCTGCGAATAACTTTCTAACAATACTAAATACTCTCATTTGTTCTTTTCTCTGCATCGTTTCTAATAAAATAAAGAATCATATCCAGTAATAAACTGAAGAAAGAGTCGAATGAAACCTACCAAGAAATTTCAATCCCAATATAACTATTTGATGAAGTGATAAAGGAAACTGCATGCTCATCAACAACAAATAAGACTATATTAAAAAGCAGAACAGTCTCAATTTACAAAATTAATTGTCTCCAATTGAAAAAGAAAAATGTTGAATAATTATGTTTTAAAACGACTTAACATAAAATGATTGATAAAAAGTTATATTGGCACATTCGATTTATTTATTCCTCTCCTGTTACAATATACGGGCAACCAAAAATTCATTTAGTTTAATTACTCTCTCAGGCCTATATATGAAGCTATTAATATAACATTTTACATCATGATGACGTTTTATTTCACAATCCAGTCGATCACGAAACGAGTCAGACCTACTTGTGAAACTTTCTTTCAGCAAAAGCTTCCACGTGTACACCTCATTCCCACTGATTGAAACGGTTAGGATTTTCTATGAGTGATGACGGCTCCATCTACGAATTACTTAACAAAGAATAGTACCATTGGTAAAAAGGAATTATGGAGAAAAAATTCAGGCAATAAAACATAAGCCGTGTTTTTAAAACCGCCTAAGTTTTGATGATACATCGCGATTAATCGTCGATTTCTTAAGTAGTGCAGATGTATCGCCATAAATCGTTGACTATTTTTAAATTTGTGATTGGCCGAAACTAACTGCGAATTTTCAGATATTTTCACCAAAAACATATTTTAAAGTTTTATAACATACTAGAAGACAATTATCTAACTCATTAATTCTTGATTTATTAGCTTAGATAAATAAAATGATGAACTTGTTAATCTCTTCTTGTTTAGTCGAACTGTATCATACTGAATTACGTAATCGATTACAATAATTGGCTTATATCACTAATCGTTGATTAGTTTCAACAGAAATTTTTATTGCTTCCTATACAAACGAAGATTAGTTTTCGATCATTATAATTACATAGGTATAGGTTCTTTCAATCATTCCAACTAATTGAAGAACATTATTAAACATATTAGCGTAATCAGTTAACAAAGAAGAAGAGTATTCTCAACTTTTTTCTCTTCTCTTTCATATAAATTTTCACTTCAGAATAAATTTTATTCATTTTTTTTTGTTCATAGAAATTTATAAATTACTCTTCTGTTGTAGTCTACATTAAACACCAGATGCAAAAAACAAAACACATCAGCTGAATTAGATTCGATTTGGTCTGATTGGGTTCGAATAGGTGTAGGTGTGGAAAATGTTTCGACAATGAAAGCCAGTCTTTTATCATCCACATCAAGAGTATATCAGTCACTCTCAGGGAATTCAAACGGATAAGTAAAAGGCGCGTTCTATAGATATCAAAAGTCTTGAAAACACTTACTTTTTATACCTTTTTTCATCAGAAATCTAAACTGATTACGCAACCGTAAATTAGTCTCAAATTTTCTTAAAAATTGAAAAACAAATCGGCAATTTGAACGATTTTATCGTGATAAGATCTCACGGTAAATCGCCCTAATATCCCGCGATATAATCATCGATTTTTTTAGCGATTTTGAGGACATGAGAATGAGAATACATTTTATCTTTTCTTTCAAACGAGGCAATTCTGTATCAACAAAAGAAAGAAAAAGTTGGCATGCAACGTCGTATCTTTTTCTTTGTCTATCGGCAAAAAGAGTACCGCGGTATCATATTAAGTGATTTACTCTCAACAAGTGTACGTGTACCATATAATGATATTTCTTCTATCCGTATACACAAGCTGTGCTATCGTCCTGCCGATTGTGCTTATCGTGTACTGGAAATTAATTCGCCCAGCGAAGCGTTTACACGATGCATTTCGTAGTCAAGGTGTTCCAGGTGAACCATTTGTGCCTATCATTGGTCAACTGCTTGAAATGAATCGCTCTCGAGCAAACGATCAGTACATGGGTTATTACGAAGAACTTGTTAAAAAGCATGGAAATATCTTTCTTCATGGCTTTGGTCCACTCGCACGCCTCATCGTACTTGAACCTGACATGCTCACTGACGTTCTCGGTCGATCACACGCACAAGACTATTCTAAAACAGCTCTGAATAGTAACGTGTTCAAGCCAATAATTGGTACACACAATCTGTTCGTGAGTGAAGGAATCGAACATGAACGAGCTCGAAAAATGCTTAATCCAGCTTTTCATGCTATCAATCTTCAATCAATGGTCTCGATCATGGTTGATCAAACACGAAAAGCCATTGATGAACTATTTGCATCGACCAACAGTCCGCTTGTCAATTTGCAGACAGACCTAAATGCACTGACATTATCAATCATTGCATCGTGTGCTTTTGGAAAAGGTTTCGAAACAATTGGCAATGCCAAAGACATAGTCAATCAAGCATTCACTGTAGTGCTTCAAGCTGTCGAATATCGAACAATGCGTATGGTCAATAAAATTCCTGTGCTAGCACTATTACCGTTCTGGCACAAGCATATTGTAGACGAAGGTACTCGGGAAACGACTCAATTTGTCGAACAAATTATTGTTGATAGGCGGCAGAATCGTTCGAAAAGTTTATGTTCGGGCTCTGACATTCTCGACCTACTATTATCGGCTGTTGATGCAGAAGGCAAACCATTCACCGATCAAGAGATCAAGGACGAAGCTTTGACCTTTGTGTTTGCCGGTCATGAAACGACAGGAAATCTCATTGTATGGACCTTGTATATGCTAATGACTGACGAACCAGTGTTACGTGCCTGTCGTGATGAAGTTGATCGTGTGCTTTCAGACAACATCGATCTTACCTATGAAAATATGAGCGATCTGGTTGTATGTGAGGCTATTTTACAGGAAACCCTTCGTCTCTATCCTCCAGCACCTATATTCGCGTGACACTGTATACGTGAACATACCATCGGTAGTAAAGATAATCATCAGTTACATATACCTCTTAACGCGATTATCGTGATTAACACTTATCTACTTCATCGACGGGCCGAATTTTGGCCTCGACCACTCGAATTCGACTATATGCGATGGATGCGTGATCCTATTACAGGTCTCAAACCAAAATTAGCTCATCTATTCTGCTATTTACCATTCGCAGCTGGGCCACGTAACTGTATTGGACAAAATTTTGCGTTGCTCGAAGCTAAAGTGATGTTAGCGATGCTAATAAAACGATGTACCTTTGAACTTGTACCCGGTCAAAAAGTGACACCCGATGTTCGCATCACTATGGGACCCAAGTATGGTTTGTGGGCAAAAGTCACCAAACGATAATCAATCATTGACATAAGTGATCGTTCAAATGTTCTATGATCAGTCGAATTGTGTGAATACTTCATTTTTGAAAGCTTTTGACAACTCAGCCTTTTGTTGTAGCTTGAATTTTTCTGATGATTGCTTTCTTCACTTTTGGTCTACCAACGAACTGATCAATAAAATGCAAAAAAGAAACAGATGGAAAATTTGTACGAATTGGATTCATTCACAGTCGCTTGTTGGTTCTAATTCACACTTGAAGGAAAGAAGCGATGCATTATAGGCGTCGATTCGCGTCGATTTGAAACTCAATTTCTATAAAAAAAAAAGAAATAGATTTTAGTTTCGTGTAAAACACTCCTAGCTATGAACTTTTCTCTCGATATATCTTATCCTCGCTCGTTGGTTCCAGTCTGTTTCAAACGATGCTTGTGATTCAACCATATTGATGAACGAACAGATACGTGCACTAAACTTTTTCCATTTCATGTTCAGTTTGAATAGACATCCATCTTAGGTTCAGGTAGTTGGAGTAGCAGCATCCGAGCGTATTCAACGTCGATTATCGTTTACGGGATTCTGGTGAAGCCATTTGATGCAAAATCCTGAGTGTAATACTACGTGAAGCAGCAAATGCCTTGCAATGTTTGAAGAGTCTTTGTTTTTTATATATTTTACAATTATTCGATTTATTAGTGCTAAAAACCATGAAATGTACAATTAAATAGAAAGATACTTCAAGAACATAATCCAGTGGTGAAAGAAAGAAGACTGAGTTTACTGTGTTGCTAGTGTATGAACTCGTCTTTGTATTAATTGAAGCTGTTTATCACTATGTCTGTTGAACTGAATGAACGTGTATGAAGGAATGTGGTCATTGAAATCTTGGCATTTACTCAAAGATCCTTTTATGGCAGTGATTAAGTAATAGTTTTGTTGTTTCCATTTGATAAGCCTTCGACTTGAAATAAAATGATCACATTCAGCTGATATGTTTCTCGCTTCGTTATCACCATTGTCATAATTGATTCAGTCAGGCTCAAAGAACGATTTATCCTCACTCTCATGCATCTAGCGCTATTGTTTCAATCCACTTATAGTTTATTTGACAAAGAACACTAGTCGACGATCTTATCTTTTTTTTGTCCAGATTCTTGTTTTTTTGAATATCAGACAAGATTCTTGGTAATCATAATATTCAGGCAAGATTCTTACCTTTTATTCAAGAAAAACACAATCTTGTTTGATTGATCAGATAAATAAGAATCAGGCAAGAATGGCAAGATATTCAAGATTTTTTGAAATACAGGCAAGAATCTTGTTTCTTTCCTCTCACAAAGAATTTTGTCTGATTCATCAGGAAAATACGAATCTGGAATGAAGTGCAAGACATTTCAAATTTCTTGAAATTCAGATAAGTTTCTTTTTTCTTGTTCTTTCAACGATTTTTATTACATCTTAAGGAAAAATATCACGTGATGTTTTCTGTATATATAATTTAGAAACATACAGAAGTTTGAACATTATATCTTCTTTTTCTAGATGACGTTGACGAACTATAACAAATGTATTTTATAAATAGATAGTTTTGTTCAATTGTTTTTCGTTTCTTTTTTTTAATTGTTTTTACACACGATATGAATTTATTGTATATTTCCTTGCACATATAATGTACTTTTTTGTATTTTTTTAAATTCAAAATTCAAATATAATAAGATCGAAAGGAGGTAATCGTATGGATGCCTAAATGAAATTCATTTGTATTACAAGGATTTTGTCAAAATGGCAAGAAACAAACATCAGACAAGAATCTGCACAGATCGAAGGCAAGATCGTCGACTAGTGAGGCGCGATCGAATCCATCGAATCAGCCACTTCTAATATGTCAATTATCGTTGAAATAGCTTTGTCTAGTTTGAGTCTCATGACCAATGAAATCAACGAACATTGCACTTGACTTCAATCCATGATTCATCGCTGCAAGACAACTGATATTTCTCTAAGTTATTTTGGCATCGAATCTTATTTCATAATGTCAGTATATTTTTTAAATATTCTAATCTGTTGAAACCACACTATCGTTTTCAAAATCGACGCTGCGCAACCAAATCATTCATATAGGTATATATATATATAGATATAATCAAAATAAACGCATATGGTTTTGTTTCTCATTACATTCTAAAGCGCGTGCGTGTTTCTTTCTTTATATTCATTCTTATTATTTGTTCGTTTGTACGCCAGATTCTCATGACAATAATGCTGGTACTATTCGCTTTTTTTCTGCTATCTTCATCCAGTGATGGTCATCCTACCGATGGTCTTGCTCGTACGTTTCGAGAAACCTTTGATTCACCTCCGCTCAACACTACTATTTGGAATTATGGATATCCATGGGGTTCCTACTCAAACCATCGAGCCAACACCATTCCTCGTCAAGTCAAAGTTACGCCAGATGGTCTACTGAATATTACTGCTATACCCGAACGATCAATCAATCTCGGCATATCCACTGAATTCGGCCCAATTGACATAGACTTCACTTCGGGTGCACTGAATACAAACGGAAAATTTTGTATAAAAAACGGCTATGTTGAAGTACAGTTGCGAGCACCCGACCTGCAAAGTACTTGGCCATCGGTATTCCTTGTGGCACAAGATCAGAACACAGTACCAATGATCACAGTAATGGAAGTAGTTGATGCGCGATCACGTTATAACTATGGATTCAAATATACGAATGATCAAGGTGGTGTAGAAGAGGTAAGTGAAAGAGCAGAAAATAGACCAACAAGCAATGGTTTACATCGATTTGGAGTGGATTGGGGTTATGATCAAATGACATGGTACTATGACGATGGATGGGTGAAAACAATTATCAAATCGAAAGAATTACGACAAGTTGATAATATGTGTTTGGTAATTGGATTGGGCGTAGGTGGCAAATCAAAAGAAACTCCTGTCAATCCACGAGCGTATCCTTCGATTATGAGCATCGATTGGATTGACATGTGGCAACCAAAGTACGATGGTTTTTATAAAATTCAGAATGTTCAAACGGGTCTCTTGATGGAGATCGACAGTGCATCCAATGCTCCTGGAGCACGAATTTTACAGTGGTATGACATTGATGGAGACTGGCAAGTGAGTTGATTCTAATGAAACACTGATTAAACAACGAAAAACCATATGTCAGCATCCAAAGTAGAGTTGTAAAAAAAGAAATCTTTTGAATTTCTAAAATTTCCAAACATTGGCTCAAACTTCTCCTTTACTATTCTATTTTCGTTGAGAATTTCTACTTTATTGTTTCTATGTTTTAGAAATGGCATGTTCAATATGCGGGTCACGGGCAATATCGCATAATAGTAGCTCATAGTCGTCAAGCACTAGACGCTAACTACTGGCCTATTGATGGAACTCTCTTGATTCAACGACCCTATAATTCTGGCAATAGTCAGCTGTGGAAAATAAATGAAGCAGTAGGTGAAACTCCTGATGTAGTGCAACTCGTCAGTGTTCAGTCATTTAATGTACCAGGTAGTAGCGGCAGGTTAGTATCAGTTCCTGCAAATTCAATCAATGCCGGTGTGCAGTTACAATTGTGGCAAGATGTAAAAACTCCTAATCAAAAATGGAAAATGATTCGACTTTGAACATAGAAGAAAGAAAGCGCACATGAGCTCGATTTATGCTATTCCGATAGTTCAATAATAAAAAGACCTAATCCGATCGGAAATAAAAACAAAAAATTTTTTTCTAACATCGTTATTTGATAACATCGGAGATATAATGTGGGTAAGAGCGCAGTAATACCACATCCGCACCCCAATTTTAATGTAAATGTCAAGATCCTACGCGGATCTCTATAGCCCAAAAAATCGGCTTATCACTAAGATTCTAAATAATGACTTAGAAAAGACACTATAATCTTGTTTTGATCGAATTTTCTATAGCCAAAACTGGGCAAAAGAACTATTTGCTCAATCCTCTTACGCAATAGATGAAAAGGCATTTAATTGTTCTGAATTTGATTTGGAAGTCCATACGAAAACGCGTCTTATCTAGAGCGTCGATCAATTTAAAGATTCTATCTTTATATGATTCTTCAGAGAATGTTAAAGAAATGGATTTGATTATTATAGAATCTCATCTTTAAACCTTCAAAAAAAAAGAAACCATTCAACACTTAAAAGAATAAATAAAAGTAGCTCAAAGCAAGTCAACTAAATTATAAAACAAAACAATAGGATGACGCTTCATATTAGCAAGTTTGTCAGAAAACATATAAATTGTCAGTGCCATCATTTGCTACGACTAAATTCAATTTTGTATCAGCGTTAAAATCACCAGCCACAGCGGAGAATGCTCGGGATCCGTAACCCATAGAAAATAGTATCATAATTGAGAATGTGCCACTACCATATCCGAGGAATACACCAACATTATTGGTGTCTTCATTAACGACAACAATGTCCAGTGCAGTGTCATTGTTAAAGTCACTAACAACAACAGAATATGGATAAGAACCCGTACCCGTTGGATATGTCATTTGATTAGTGAACGAGTCGTAGCTATATCTTAGAAAAACACCCACACTTTCATATTCATAATTGCCGGCGACAATATTCAGTCTGTTGTAGTTATTGAAATCACCTATGACTATGCACACTAGCTTGAAGCTAATTGAATAGGTTGTTGTATTACCAAAAAAGAAATTATCATATCCAAGAAAAATTCCAATGTTGTCAGAGCCCGAAGTGATGCACCCTTTGGTATACCCATGCCACAAAATACGGTCAGTATACGGCCGTTTACGGTGAAAAACGGTATCGAAACGGCCCGTATACGGTCATGATACTGGATGCAGGAATACGGCCGTTTCGTAATGAGAATCCGGCGTATATACGACCGTATACAGCGAAAATACGGTATCGTTTACAGTGCCGTATTACTGCATCCAGTACTACGGGAAAATGCGGACAGTTTACTGCCGTAAAGATGTCGTTTTGCTACCGTTTACTAGAGTCCTGCAGGAACGACTTTTTCGGTTCCAGTTTTCCGTTCCCACAAGAGCTTCATGCCTTCTATTAATATTTCATTTTCTTCATCCAAATTTGACAGATATGTTGAAGACCAGAAAAACTAGACAAAGACATGAATGTTTTAATATATTGGAATAATAATAAATTAGTTTACCCTACATTGGCTACAATAGCTCAACGTGTACTGTGTATTCCGGTAACTAATACATCTGTAGAACGTCTTTTTTCTGACAGTGGAAATACAATAACAATTCGTCGTACACGTTTGCAAACAACTTAAGTAAATCAATTATTATTTATACGTCAAAACTTATCAACATTACGAGAATTGTTTCCACCCTCAGTTGAACAGTTAAGAAAAAGAGTAACTAGTTGCACATCGGCAACATCAACAAAAAAAGCAAAAGATTCAAAAGAAGAAGATGATATTACTATGCTGAAGGATGATCTTGATGATTGCACTTTCGATGATGATAATGTGAAAGAAAATGGTGACTATCATAATGTATGATCTAATGAACAACGAATGAATTTGTGTAATTTTTGTTGATAGGTATTTGTTATTATTTTTTGTTAATGATATACTTAAATAATTGTTGAAGATAAAACGCTGTTACATGAATAAATTTTAGTGCATATAGAAATAGAACAAACAGCTTTTCGGGAACGGAAATTTTTAGGATCGTTCCCGTTCCCGTGATTCTGTTCCTGAAGTCTCACAGGGATTCCCGTTGCCGATTCCCGCGGAAAACGGACCGTAAACGATATCCCTTTTGGTCGACCTGGGTAGTATAGAAATGACTGAATATTTTTTACGGCTATTCAAACCGGCAGAATCGTGTTGAATTCGGTGCAGTCTGATAATGTCGATGTACCTGACCCATATGCAGGATGCTGCAGGAGCCACAGATCTAAAATCAGTCCCATTTATGAGAAAAATATTTTATTAAAGATTTCGCTGTGAAAATAATAATTCGGAAAATATATTCTAATATAGTTTTGTTTTCGATTAATTCGAATTATTTTTACGAACTAAATTGGGATTTGACAAAACCGATTTCTGGAAGCCTTTTTCGCTGGAACTGGAGCTTATAAGCGCTACCGCCGGTTATTATGAGTACCGCGGTACATCGGTGATAGTGACAAGAAATGTGCGAAATGGGTGCAGATTCCGTTTTATAACCAATATTGATATATCCTTTACGAGTGGGAGTCCTATTTTTACTCATGAATAACGTTTTCTTTAATAGACATGCCTTTTTATAACTGTTTAACTATAAAATTTTTATTTTCATGGAGTGAATACATACTAACATTAGATTCTTGTAAACAACATTTTCTATTATTCTTCAATCTGACAATTATTTCTGTTACTATTAAGGCTAAGAGAATTTTTTTCATGAGATATTGATTCCAAAAAGCAAATAAGAAAAAAGATACAGCTATCTTTATTACCATACAATTCTGTAATTAGAACAACATTGAAATGAGAGTACACTGTTGAAAGTGATAATCTGTACAAAGTAAGAATTTTATTTCGAAATAAAAACGAAATTAATTACGAAAATTAGTTCTGTCATCTTTTTGTTCAACATTATTATGGCCATAGTATGTATCATAGTCATTTTGACTGCTATTTCCTCCAGCTATAGCGAAGTCATATTCAGATAATAGATGTAAATCAGAATACGGTGCTGGATAACCATGACGCGTTGGTGAAAGCATCATAGGTGGATATACATTGGGAGGCATATCATCAGTGTATAAGCCCCAATGTGGGCGAACTGCACGTGATGATGATTGACGATTGCTAGTTATGGTTGAACGTATTGCTTGTTGACCATCTTGTAAAACAGATGATGGTAACATGTCTTTATTCGATGACGATGGCGCTGTTGATAGAATAGCTTGTTGAGTTGCTGATGAATTTTGATTCGAATTTGATGTTGTTGTCACTGTCGCTCCTGGCGGTGCTTTGAGACCTTTTGGTGGTGGTGATTTAGGTCGAAGTTGTTCAATACGTTCAATAAGATTTTCAACTTGTATTACTGGTGTTTCGAAATATGATTTATATATACGTTTATCAAATTTTGATGTACAAATTTCAGAACCAATCGATAACCAACCACGTCTGATTGTTGCTTCACGTGCAAACAAATGAAGGCGACGACGACCCAAACAAAAATGTTCAATGATATGATATAATTCAAGGGGCTTAGTTGGATCGCCCCATTCTGGTTCTTCAGTAATGATTAAATCAATATCAACATTTGCATGTATGAAGTCAGAATCCACTGATCGACGGACTGTACCACGAATGCCCATTAGACAGTGTTCCTTTGAATTGAAAAAACAAACATGAGGTTTTCTTATACAATGTTCATAGCTATAGAAACATAAATGTATCAAACTCTACACTAGTAAAACACGTGATTTACTAAATTCGCAAAACTTACTTTTGTTCGTTGAAAAATCGAACCAGATTCAAATGTTAAAGCTGATCGTGGGTTTTTTCTATTTGTTTTAACCCAACAAATATCTTCACATCGTCGAAAACCCCATTTTTTCAAACACTAAATTATATTTTTAATTCATAAGTTTGTTTTTTCTTATTCCATTCTTACTGCTCTTCCTTGATCTAAACCTTCGGCTGAGCCACACCATAGAAAAACAAATGATCGCTGTGCAGCTACTGATTCGACGTTCAAGTTTATTACCTATTATTTAATGAAAAATAATTCATTCATAGCTTATAGAGCATGATTCTATTTACTTCATCCCATGTAACATAACGATCAAAATGAATTCCACTTTTTCGTTTATATTCTTCTAATGGTGGTTCAACAAGAATAACATCGAATTCACATTCCAATGATGGTAAAGTCAAATTATTTGCTAATAAATCACAACTTATATACATTGGTGGACAATTTGTTTTCTCAATATATTCATCTTTAAGACGAATTAATTCTCGTAATTTTGGATATTCTTCAAAACGATTTTGAAGACCTATTTAAACAATAATGAAACAGAGAAATTCATTGAACAAAATAAAGAATCAAACCAGCATCACGAATATAATTTTGCGGTCTTTGGCCAATATTTACAAATTGTTGACTATAATCATTATTGGGTGCCTTTGGTAGACGAAAACATTTTGTATAGTAATTTATCAAGTTACTTTATTACATACTTCATCAAGTTCATCATTATCTAATCGAGATATTTCATCACATAAATGAACCTATTAAGAAAAATCATTTACTTTCAATAAAACAAAACTGTATTTTCTACTTCATCAGTGACAACACGTGATGTTTGAATTGGTTCAGTGTCGTCAGTTAATTTACGTTCGAATTCTGTTCTAAAATAGAGAATATAGCATGTTCTATCTTAGAATACGAATATTGACAACAGACTATTTGCATTGAAATATATCAATTAGAGGATTTCAACGTACTTCGATTTTGATAAAATTGAATCTCGTATAGCTTCATCACATTGATCGACTAATAATTTTGACAGACTAGATGTACTTAGACCAAACTAAAATAAATATAATCCTATTAACTATATGTAAGTGATTAAAAATACATACTGATTTTGCTAATGTTTTTTTAATGATAGCATTTTGTCTTTTTAATGTTAAACGAAATTTTTTATCTGGATCATTTTCTTCTTTTAATAAATCATTATATTCTTCATCGCTATCTACTATTCGTCGTTTTTTACTTGCCGATGATTTCGAATAAGAACGTCGAGTATCATCTCGTCGTCTTTGATCAGATCGAGAATTGCTACGTCGTTTTTTCTATAAGTTCATACAAAAAAAAACATTAGTTTCATTTTCTTTTTATTATTATATAATTATAGTCATACTTCATAACGATTGTCACGTCGAGGTCGATCATCAAAACGCATATGCGATCGATAATCTCGGCCACTTCCATATCGATTTATTGATTGAGAAAAATGACGAGCCCCGACGGGTGCCATCTGAAATATAACAAGACTATTTTGAATTTTAATCCACTAGTTTTTTTCTACAACAAAACAGAGAGTTGGATTGGCAAATGAGAAGATGACCAATGACAAGACATGATTCATCATTCAATCAGATGAGTACGCATAAAATAAATAGAACAATTAAAGTAGAATCATTTTTGTTATCTGTTATGTTTCAGAGTTCGCAATTTTCTAAATAAAAACTGCTTGTATGAAACAGACAATAACAAATCAAATTGTCGCTAGCAACAATGTACATCGGTAAATAGTTCAAATATAACATCAGAATAAGATAAAGATCTTGTGAAGATAGTGATACAAACTATTTACATTTCAATCATAGATCATTGTGGGCCAGCCGTAGCAAATTTCGGTACTACTTATTTGAAGTTCGATGATTATTTAGCAATGATATATAACACACCTGTCAGAGCATATCCACATTCTGGTTAAAACATATGATAGAGAGAAGAAGAAAGTGTGTACAATATTCAAAATTATGATAAGAATTATATTTAACTTCAATGTAAAATAACTTTGAAGTGAGATAAAAATCTGCAACGCCATCTTTTTCTAGTTTTTCTATTTGGCTTATAGATAAACATGTAGCTTGGAAATGATTGGACGTGTGATTGGTTCGTGTATTTGATAAGTTTCTGTTTTTTTCTCATGTGAATTGCATTTGTATTTATTGATAAGAGTACTTTTATCCATTCGCTTATCAGACAGAGAGTGGTACCAAATAGTGTATTATTGACGTATTTATGGTTTTTATAGCTTCGTTATTCATTTAAAGCAAATAATTCAACAAGAAAAATGACAAGTACCGTCTACCGGTTCTATGATAATTTAACACGAAAGAAAACTTATGCAACCGATGAATTACATGTTTCTGAATTAAAACGATGTTTAACTGTATTCGACCTTATTATTTTGGGTTAGAATTTTTTTTTAAATTGTTCTTTGAATCCATGATTGATTTTCATTTAGGTATTGGGTCAACACTTGGAACAGGTACTTATATTCTTACGGGTCAAGTAGCTCATGAAACTGCTGGACCATCGGTTATTCTTAGTTTTCTTATTGCGGCTATTGCTTCGGTTCTTGCCGGACTGTGTTATGCTGAATTCGGTGCACGAGCACCACGAGCTGGAAGTGCATATACATATACATATGTTAGTGTAGGAGAAATTATGGCATTTATTATTGGTAGGAAATTTCATTCAATTTCGATTGTATGATTAGATTTTTACGTTTCTTTATTTAGGTTGGAACATGATTTTAGAATATGTTATAGGTATGTTAGTATGAAAACATATTCATTAATAGGGCAGAAGCATTACTACTTCATAGATTAAGATCATTCATTTTCATTGTTATACTTTTGCCATTGACTCATGAGTCATAATTAACTAGATTTTCAGTTTTAAGTCTTTTCTATAAGTTTCCTGTGAGTCTTGCCTTCATTTACTACACTTGTAATAGATTCGTTTCTTATGATCATTATCTTTTAAACATAGATTTTCTCCTTCGAATTTAGTATTCGTTCCTACAGAACGAAAAAAGATAATGTATCGATAAAGTAGGTCAATAATAAAAAAGAACAGCTATATATTAGATTCTGCTATATAGTATTTTTACCTCTTACTGAAGGTATCAGATTGATCGCTTAGTAGCAGATTGTTTTGCTCTTATACTATTTTTGTAAACAGAAGAAGTTGATTAACACTCTTTTTAGGTGCCGCAAGTACATCACGAGCATTAAGTGGTTATTTGGATTCTCTTATTGGTTTTCAAATGAAAACATTTTTTATAAAATATTTACCATTACATGCGGGAACATTTTCTGAATATGCTGATTTGTTTGCCATGAGTTTATGTCTTCTTATAACCGGTAAGTGAAAACAAAAAGAAAATCAAAATTTCTAACTAATACTAATTGCATCTGTTGTAGTTCTATTGGTCATCGGTATTAAAGAATCAGCGTTATTAAATAATGTTTTCACCGGTATTAATCTTACTGTTATTGCGATTGTTGTTATTGCTGGTTTAACTAAAGCTCATTTACATAATTGGGATATTTCGCCAGCTGAAGTATGTCTTGTTCTAAAATAGAAACTGATTTTGGAACTCACTTTATTTTAAATATTTACCAGATAAAGAATATAACCAATACTACAGGAACCATCGGTAGTGGTGGTTTTTTTCCATTTGGTATTGAAGGAACATTAGCTGGTGCTGCAACCTGTTTCTATGCATTTGTTGGTTTTGATCTTGTTGCAACAACTGGTAAATTTCATTTAATTTCGATTACAATAGTTCTTTTCTTTTGTATATCATAGGTGAAGAGACTAAAAATCCACAACGAGCTATTCCAATGTCTATTTGTTTTACATTACTTATTTGCTCAATAGTTTATTGTTCAGTATCGATTGTTATTACTTTAATGGTAAGATGCTTCACTTTAATTTTGAAGCCTGCAAAATATGTGGACAGATCACAATACTAAAATAAATTCACTCGATTTTCTTTATTCAGGTTCCATATTATCTAATCAATCCTGATGCTGTTTTACCTGAAGCTTTTCAGTATGTTCATTTGTCAGCATTGAAATATGTCGTCGGCGTTGGTGCATTAACAGGTTTGTTCAAATTATTTTAACAATCTTTTGGTTTTTGCAGCTGTTATAATTAATTTCTAGGCATTTTTGCGTCATTACTTGGTTCACTTTTACCGTTACCACGTGTATTATATGCAATAGCATCGGATGGTTTAATATTTCGTTTTATAGCTTGGATACATCCACGTTTACAAACACCAATGATAGCAACAATTCTTGGCGGTATTGTATCAGGTATAGTAGAAGAAAAAGCATCAAACCAATTATTTTGATATTTATGCAACTTGTTTTCTTCTAGCAATAATGGCGTTAATATTTGATTTAAAGAAATTAGTTGAAATGATGTCAATTGGAACTTTACTTGCTTATTCACTCGTATCAATATCTGTTCTATTTTTACGGTAAACAAAAAAAGAACTCCAGCGTAAAATACTCCCTTTTTTTAGTTTCAGTAGTATGAGCTAAATCCCTGCTGTTGTTACTGTTGGAATATAAAAATAAATCATATATCTTTTTAGAATGTGTACATTTGAATAACGATCGTTTGTCAAGGGATAAAAGTAGCTTGATGCTACCAGTATTGATGACTAAAACTTAGGAATTTTTACTGCTATGTTAGAAAAATAATTAACACGATAGCTTTTACGTAGAATAACCAATACTCGAAAGTATATCTTTTGATTTTGGCTATTACAGCCAGAAATATTAGTCGTTTTCCCTTGGTATTGCATATAAACCATGATCCTATTTCAACGATATTGTTAAGAACACTGAAGAAGACCTCATTTCTTCTTTTATTTCAAAGTTATCAACCAGTTGACGATCCATTATTACCAAATGATGAATTCGCTTCTCTATCAGTGTATAGGCAATTGTTTAAACCGTCCGGACGTCGTCCAACATTCTTATCAGCAAAATTAACTAAATATCTTATAACTTGTTTAAGTAAGTTCTTTTTTGTAACTCATTAAATTATTCTCTTATAATTACAGCTATTAATGGTTTTATTCTTTGTGCAATACAAATATTTGCTGGACATCATATCGCTAATAAAGATCCAACGGCGATAATTGTTTTAATAATTTTTCTTATAACAGAAATTTTGTTTATTATTGCGATTGCAGCGCAACCAAAAAATCAAAAATCAATTTATTTTCAAGTTCGTTATCAATTTGAATTTATATCGCCTAATTGATATTTTTTTAATAGACTCCTTGTGTACCATATGTACCTATATTGAGTATACTTATTAATACTTATTTAATTCTCAAATTATCACCAGCAACATGGATCCGATTTGGTGTATGGATGTTTCTGGGTATGATATTTAACGAAAATTTTTCATTCGAGACTAAAAAAATCTATTTCCGTTTAATTAGGTTTTCTCATCTATGGTTTTTATGGTTTCTGGCATAGTTCACAACGATTTATTAATGATACACAACGTCTTCTATCTGGTAGTACATCATCATTTAACGATTCTTGAAAAAAGTTTCTTATAGAATTTTTTTCTTTAAATTCTTGATAATAATTCATTAATTATTCTCGTTTTGTATATTTCAAAGTGTTTAAAAGAAGTCGATTATATACATTCACATACTATTTTTTGCTTTTTGCTTATCATATTCCACATAATAAAATTCCTATTTTTTTTGTTACGTATGTATAGTTTAAACTCAAGTGAAATTAATTATCATGATTGCTATTTCATTAAATAGAAAAACAACTCTATTCTATGCATATATTAATACAGCTATCTCTCATCTTTTTTTTCTCTATCATTAGTAATTGAAAGTGTAGGATGATGAAAGTGAAAAAATATCTCAAAACGACACATCGTCATAGATGAATGATTTTGTGCGTTGTCACTTACTTTCGATTCATTTTTATTAACCTTCTATCGAAAAGAACACAGATATTATTTATTAGACAACAAGAATAATTATCTTATAACGAAAGACTATTTTAACATATATATATATATATATATATAATGATTAATTTCTCTGAATTTATTTGATGTGTATGTCTTATATTAAAAAAGACAGTATCGAGCAAACCTATTTCATTAAAAAATCCAAATATAAACTATTCATCATTCTAAAGACGTAGACTAGAATTTGATTTATTATGTTGATTCAAGGATAAAAATTTCGAACTCAATTAATTAGACTTTTCTTTCAAAACAAGCTTTAAGTATTCAGCATAGAAAAAAATATCATCATGAATGTACCCAATAACGATATATTGAAAGTCGTAACATGAAAATTCCTAAATCTACTAAAGCGCTAATATTGTACAGAAAAACATTTAGTCTTTTGTCTATGTTTCAGATGCCACATAAAAAACGTGAAAATAAAAATCATATCCAAGTTCAAAGAATTCTCGCTGAAAGTGAATTATCATTAGTTGATAAAAAGAAACCTAAACGAATTTTCGAACGTGTACCTCGTCATGACTATAATCCGGGTGATCGTAAACGCGAACAACAAATATTAAATGGAGATTCCGATGATGATGATGATGATAATAATAACAACAAAAAAAAACGATCAGCATTAAAGAAACATATTAACAAAGAACTTCAACAGCCTAAAGAATCTGTTATACCAAAAAAAAGTCGTAAAAATAAATATTATCTTTTAAATCATCCAGAATTAAAAGACACTATACAAATTGCGCCTAAACCAAATAAACGTAAACATGAAGAAGTCAATGAGCAAGAAAATGAACCATCGCCGAAAAAACCCGCTCCAGAAGCGAAACCATCAGTTTGTGATAAACTTGTTTCTCATATGGTAACATCACGTTTTCGTTATCTAAACGAAAAACTTTATACAACAACAAGTAAAGAAGCTCAAAAAATGTTTGAACAAGATCCTCAATCTTTCTTTGCTTACCATCAAGGTTATGCCGTAAGTTTAATTTTAGCACAAACAACACGTCTGTATCTTCTATTTTTAGACAAGTATGTCAAAATGGCCTGATCAACCTATCGATGAAATCATGGGTTATGTTCGTAAACGTTCAGCAAATCTTGTCATTGTTGATATGGGTTGTGGTGATGCACGTCTTGCTCGTACACTTAAATCTACTCATCCGAATATTCATAGCTTTGATTTAGTTGCATTGAATGATCATGTTCAAGTATGTGATATAGCACATACACCATTGAATAATGATTCTGTTGATATTGTAATATTTTGTTTATCTTTAATGGGTACAAATTTAACTGATTTTATTCATGAAGCTCATCGTATTCTTCGTTTACGCGGTACAATGAAAATCATTGAAATAGCGTCACGATTCGAAAATCAACCACAAAAATTTATACGCAAAATTGAATCGATGGGTTTTCAATGTTCAAAAACGAATTCATTAGAAGAGAAAAGTAAATCATCACCATCACAATATTTCTATGCATTTGATTTCGCCAAAACATCAGCACAAATCAAGTCGAAATCAATTCTAACACTTGCTCCATGTTTACATAAAAAACGTTAAATTTTAATGTTTATCAACATATAATTGTTTTTTTTTGTTGAAATAAGAAGCAAAAAGTTTCAATAAAAAGTTTTTTGAAATTGTTACAAAAAAAACTTTTTTCCTTTTTTTTTTTCATCATGAAAAAAAGAAATCTAGACAGATAAAGTGCAACATTAGCAATAAAACATTTTAAATAAAATTTATTAAGAGAAATGAAGTTAATCGATTAGAGTTCTCAACAAAATCTATGCTATTTTGGCATTACGACAAGATGAAAAGCATCGTTCTCTTAGCGGAATCCTGGATAGACGCCACCAAAACCTCCCATACCGCCACCGTAACCTCCCATACCACCACCGTAACCTCCCATACCGCCACCGAAACCTCCCATACCACCTCCGAAACCAGAATTGAAGCCTCCACCAAAACCTCCAAATTGATTTGCAGCAGGCATAGGAGCTGCAACATAAATGACAGGTCGTTTTCCACCACCACCACCACGGACTGTTGGAACATATGTAAAACCCCAATCCATTTCTTCGTAAGGTTCTGTAATATAACTTGTTTCCTCATAATAACCTATATAAAAGACAAAAGAAGTTGAAAACATGATGGAAACTTATCCTACCTCCATTTCCCGCGTTATTACGTCGACCTCTAAAAGCATCATTTGCGTATCTATTTGAAAGAGAAAAAGGATAATTAAACATTAAGTAGAACTATAATTACTGCTTTGATTGAGCATTTTTATAGTTTTTGGCTTGACGCTTTTGACTTGTTTGATTACCCATTTTAAGCTAGAAAAGAAAAGTGAAACTTTGTTTTCTAGAAAAAAACAAAGTTTTCTTGTAGAATTCAAACCAACCTTTATTAGATTTTATTTTATGAACGATGATTGTGGGCCTGGTAAAGAGAAGTGATTGTATCTGAAAATAAGCCAGGAAGTGTCGAAAAATGGTGGAACATGAGAGAAAGTACGACTTTTATAGGCTATGACATTATAGAATAGATAAAAAAAGGAGTGATGCATCTTGCGTGCGCACGACTATCTCGTTGAAAATTTGACGAATGCTTTATTCAATGTGGGATTTTTTTGAATATGAAATAAAATATGTACGTTCGAAGAGGAAAAAAAAGAATGACGCAAATTTGTATAATTTCGAAGTTGCTCAAGCAATGTATAAAATGATGATGACAGCGAGAAGTGGTTATGTGACACTTGCATACACACCTATAACGCGTATGATGCAATCAAGCGTAAAGTCACCTTCATATTTCTTTTGATTATTTATCATTAACAATTACAACAAACAAGGTACTACGTTGTTATATTGATAATATAAGTGAGAAAAATTTTGTCTCTTTGTGATAGGTATTAAGATATAAATGAAACAAAAAATAAAACAACGGAGAAACAATCGAGAAAAATATTCTATAGACTAATCATGAAGCTATTCATAATAATAATAAAAAACATGAATATAGTATCTCATATTATAGGTAATATCAATGATGCACAAATGCATTATAAAGCCTACAGTTGAAAAAATGAATGTTATTTGAAGTCGTGATGAGAAATTTTTAGTGAAATGTTCCAAACTTATCTTATGCACATATAGATATGTAAATGTATGATGATAGATTAATAAATAGATATCGTTCGGTTGTCAATATTCATACGTTGTTCGTCCTCGAAAAATCTATTCACTCCATTTGAACAGAAAATTTTCAAAAGTATTTGATTGACAAGAAAATTTCAACCATAAACAATGTACAGATTGAATTGTAAATTAGAAAAACTATTCTTAAAATGAAAATGAAAAAATATATCTATATTTATTGCTCATTATAATTTGTCTCCTTGGGAAATACATCGAAAACATAATATTACATTCATTTACGGTGATAGCATCTGTAAAAAGCAATTTCCCTTCTCATGCTCATTACAATTTTCTCGTTTTCATGTATGAAATGCAAACTGTTGCATTTGTATGTATATATCAGTCCGACTGGTATTTGTTGATCAATTTATACTGTTGCTGCAGCCTTGAAATCATAATAAATAGTTATTACAGTTAGGTACCAAGCGAAACCACAAAAAATTGATGATCAATCAAATTGATTACAAAAACGGCAATTCTTTGCTGTCTCTCTATTTCTCCCGCTTTCTCTCTATCTTTGATGTAATGACAAGCACCCTTTTCAACTCATCAAAAATGACAAGGTTATCAAAAAAAATACATCTGTATGTCGAATAAATGATAACTTGTCATTTTTTTCGCGTTTTGCTTAATTTATATTTATTTTCGCATGCCTTTATGTACATGTATATTTGTGGTCTGACTCTAACTAGTCATTTTTTTTGACAGTAGCGGCTACGTGCAGGTAAACTATACGCGGTTTTCGACCCTGAATATTCGTGTGGTAAATAGATTCACTCTCGTCAGTCATTTTCTCTCTCTCCCTCTCTCTCTTCCACAGGCAAAACGGCCGACGACGACGAAAAAACATACTTCAATTTTTTTAACATGCCATCGCCGGCAACCTTCTCGTTTACGCGTCATTGATTGATACATGGACGATTCAAAGGCAGATATGATAAACCAATTGTATTGTGAGAGAGTCGTCTTCAAAGTTAGGGACGAATGTCTCGTCAGGTTTCTTTTTGACTGAAAAATACTTCTTCTCTCTCTCTCTCTCTCTCTCTCTCGTTTTTTTCTCTTTTTTCGTCCTGTAGTGAACAACGAAACAAACTGAAATCGCTTACCTATAAAATCAGAAACATTTGTATTAGACCGATTACTTCAGATCGACAACCGTCAGCATCATTTGAAGAAGAGTTGGTAGAGTATGCTACGGCAAAATGATGACTTGAATATTATTTTTTTTAAATTTCTATGAGAAACTTTCGTTCTAGTTTTCATTTGATAGATCTAATATAAAATTTTCTTTATTAGCTTTAGGTAATAGATTAGTCACATATCCACATATCCACATATTCATATATCAAAAGAAATGGGAAGTCGAAGCTCTCGTAACGCACAACCTGGTCTTGCTGGTTACGGTGAAGGACCTGATCCAAACTATGGAATGGATTATTATGGCGGTGCTTATGAACCATCTGGACTTACTTGTAAGTATTCCGTCGTTTTTTCCCCCCATTTATGTGTGGCAATATCAAAGCATGAAATTTTCTTTAGATGGTGGTTATCCAACTGCTGGATATTCTGGTGGTAGTGGTTATGGCGGAGCATATCCACCAACAAGTTTCGGTGCCGGAGTAAATCCTTACGGATCTCTGGGTGGTCCACTTAGCGCCAATAATGCATATCCTATTGGATCTCTGGGTGGCCCAGCAGCTTTAGGTGGTTCTAATGCTCTTGGTCTTGGCGGTATGAGTGGTCTTCCTCCTAAAGTTCGTGTGATTTTCGTTCCTCAAGGTGGTGCTTCTCAGTAAGTGTATAACTTGAACACTGATCAAGTGACTATCGGTGTGCTATATTCTTTCTCATTTTCTAGGTTTGCACCTCAAATGCAAATGCCAATGCCACAGATGTCCATGCCACAAATGTGTGCACCTCAAATGCCAATGCCAATGCCAATGCCACTGCCACAGATGCCCATGCCACAAATGTGTGCACCTCAAATGCCAATGCCACAAATGCAAATGCCAATGCCTCAGATGCAAATGCAAATGCCTCAGATGCAAATGCCAATGCCTCAGATGCAAATGCCAATGGCTCAACCAATGTGTCAACCTTCGCCAATGGGTGGTAAGTTTTCAGTAGAGTCATAAATATCTGTTATTAAGATACCATGTTTTTTCATATACTCAGGTCTTGCAAGCTACGGTGGCGGTTTTGGAATGGGTGGTGGTTCACCATTTTCTGGCGGTTTTGGAATGGGTGTTGCTCAACCAGTTGGTGGATTTAGCGGTGGTAAGTGGTTTTCTTTGATCAGAACAAAAATATAGTTTTAAACGTACTTTCAGGTTTCGGAAGCGCACTCCCGATGTGGGACCGTTCATTTTTCTCATAGGCATTACTTGAAAGTGAAAATGAATTTAATTTTGATCTGACGATGAATATGCGTGCATTTTATATGCGTGATTTTTATTGCAATCAACGATGCATGACTGACTTCTTGATTTATGAATATTTTTTGGGTGGCGGTTTCGGTGGTTTAGCTTCGTATGGTGGTGCTAGTGGTGAGTACATTTGTAAATGTAATGAATAAATTATTTATGTGCCTTTTTTCGCATGTAGGTTTCGGTGGTGGATTTGGTGGCGCTCCAGCATTCGGTGGTGGATTCGGTGGTGCTCCAGCATTTGGTGGAGGATTCGGTAGTGGCCTTCCAGCTAACTGCCCATTCAGTGGCGGTTTCGGTACGTACGATTAGACTCTCAACTATTCTTCATTGTTATGAACTTCTAAAATTTATTTCTACTTTTCTTTGAAATCTTATTTTAGGCGGTATGCCTCAACTACAGAATATGGCTCCACCAATGGGTATGATGCGTTCATTACAAGCAGTTGGTGCACCAATGATGCAACCCTATCAACAATTACAAGCTGCACCTATGCCACAAAGCTTCCAAGTTCCTCAACCAGTTTCAGTTCCACAACAAGTGATCTCAGCTCCACCACCAGTTTATATCCCACCTCAACCTCAACCACAACAACCAGCACCACAATCATATGGTCCTCCACCACCAGCATTTCAACCATCTGGTGGTAGTGTCTCTTCTTTTGGTCAATCATTTCAAGTTGCGCCACAATCATATGGCCCTCCACCACAATCATATGCCCCTCCACCACAATCATATGGCCCTCCGCCACAATCATATGGCCCTCCGCCACCTCAACAACAATTCGGTGGATTTCAACAACCTCAAATGGGCGCACCAAGTGCTGGTGGTCGCATGATTTGCTGTTGCTTCCCAGCTCCACAATAAAAGTACTATCAATACCATCAGTTAGACTTTTGTTTTCTTTTTTTTTTTCAATTTTTTCATGGCTGTGTAGACACATATTGCTTTCTTTTTCCTTTTGTGCGTCTGGGCTCATAAAACATCCGCAGAAAAATTGTCATTTAATAATAGTCCAAATCAAAACAACACTTTCTATTATTATTATTATTATTATTATTATTATTATTATTATTATTATTATTAAACGAACGAACAAACAAACAAATAACAATCGACACAATTAAATAATGAACAAGCAAACTTGTTCAATATCATTAGAAGACACTCTTTATTTGAACAATAAACTAGAATGCTTTTTTATGTTTTCTCAAGCATTTTATGCTCATATTTCATCGCAGATTTCGCATGTTATGGGTGAAATTGTTTTTGTTTTTTCCTACATTCGTTTTTATATTTCTCTGTGTGTGTTTGTTATATTGCTGCATAAATTAATGTGTTTTAGAGGAGAAAATAAAACAAAATAATAAATACATTGACATCTCATTAAACTTCATCTCTTACTTTGTCTTCCACTCAGATGCATCCAACTATATAGGTAATATTATCACAGAAATGCAATCTATGTATAATGATTTTCTTATTTAAATATAAAAAGCACTGCTAATTATCATCGTAATCACACTCTCGTTATAGGCATTCATACATACCTTTCAGTAATGTGTTCTAGTTAATGTAATGAGAAAAACGCTGATTGCTTCGTTTTTGATGGCTGTCGTTCTGATTAGTATATGTCGTTAAGACAGATAGTAATAGATAAAGAGATACTTTCTTGTCGCTAAAGATTCGCGATATGTAATGCTGACTTCAATCTTGTTCATAATTTAAAGGAAATGAATAATCATGATTCAATTTTGATAGTATATCATCAAGAGAAACGAAAATGAATATGCGTGTCGAAAAGAAAAAAACAAATATATGTCAAGGTCTCTCAAAATCATATTGATCGATCGTAGATCTCTTTTTTTATATGATGAATGCACAGTAGAAATTCGGTTTTTTCGAATAAAACCAAATTAGAACAACAATATAATTTTTACAGTTCAAAAATATTCAAATAAATGACAAAGAACAATTTCATCAAGCATAAAAATATGATTTAAATACATGAAGTAAACTATAATTCATCAATACTATTCTCACTAGATTCTTTTCATTTTTTACAATTATTTAGTGAAATCGAGATTTTTTGAATATCATAATTATTATCAGACATATAATAGAGAATAGTTGGAAAAAAAGAGGCGATGCTAGTGTGCAAATTTACTATTCGTATGCCAATAGAACGAAAAAATCTTATTATATATTTTTTTCTGCTAACTTGTTAAAATATGATGAGATCCTGTGTGTGTTATTAAACGTATTTCAGCAATCAGGCATTGTTCATGAAGTAATTGCACTCATTCTCACACTGCTATCGAATAACCTTTCGTTCAAGTATGTAAGTAAAAAAAAGTAGAAATCATTTCCACACTTATAATAAGCATGTAACAAGTTAGTCTGTTCGTTGCTCGATGATTTAATTGTCACACCACTATTCATTACCGTTATTACAGCAAGAATAGTATGTGTAGTTTTGTTCTACTCATTCTCGTTCTATTAAGAAAGTGAACGTAACAACTAACAACAAGGTCTTTCATTAGAACTGCGCCGTGTCAAATATGTGAGGCCATCGCTGCTGATTGTGAAGAGACTGGCCAAAAAATTCAATTAATTTGCATGAATGAAAAAAGAGAATATGAAAGACAAGATACAAGAACGAGAGACTAAAAATTTGTCCTTAGACAAAAATATTGTTACAGCAAATATATATGATTGCATTGCTTAATTAAAATTTCTCTCTCTATCTCTTTTTCACTGTTATCATTAGCAATTTTGCTGCGCTCGATTGATCAGACCAAGAGAGCGGGAAAGTATGCACATGTAAATGTGTAGTACTGTAATCATTCACATTGAAATAGGCGTTATCTGTGTCTAAAATTTCAGCCACTCCCCCTCTAACCAAAATTGAAGGAAGCAAATTGCATAGATAATTGTATTTGAGAAAGTTAGTGTCTCAATTTTCTACTATTACCTATTGAATATTTCAACTTGTTTCTTCTTCATTCACTCACACATACTCATTACTGTACACATAAATTATTTTAATTCATAAATATTTCAAATGGGTGCTCGCAACGTTCGTATGGAAGGATCAGGACTCTCTAATTATGGTGAGAGTTATAATTCTTATGACGGTTATGGGGGAATGATGCATTCTGGTTCAAATTATCAACCAGTCGGAGGAAATCACGCGTTAAATGTGATCAATTTTGATCAGCCATTATTTGGTTCGCATTCTTCGGGTGACCTTGCTTCATATGGGAATGCCTATCAAGCAGGTTTCAACCCAACTGCTGTACCAGGTCTAGCTGGACATAAACTACGTCAAATTTGTGTGTCTAACCACGTATTAGGCGCATTCCAAAACTTACTACAGCAAGGTTCCATGGGAGGACTAAGTCTACCGCAAATGATGCCTCAAGTGTCTTTTGCGCCACCATCAATGATGCCGCAGATGATGCCTCAAATGCCGTGTGCACCACCACCAATGATGCCACAGATGCCATTTACACCACCACCGATGATGTCACAAATGATGCCTCAAATGCCATGTGCGCCACCACCAATGATGTCACAAATGATGCCTCAAATGCCATGTGCACCGCCACTGATGATGCCTCAAATGCCGATGCCACAAATGGGTTCAAACTGCTGTTCAATGTCAATGGAATTACCATCAATGGCTCCACAAATGCCTCAAATATGTAAGATTGCTTCTTTTTTAAGAATTATCATGAAGTCACTCACGTTTCTAACCCACTAATAAGCAAAACTCAACAATAAAAACAATAATATTAATAATTAAAATGAACTACATTATTTACTGTAGTAGGTGATCTATTATTAATACACTCATATAAGTTTTTAACATTCTCATGGAATAAATGGTGTATGGATTGTACTCAACACATATTAATCATTTACCATTCAATACGAATGCAAATAGTTTTCCGCTATTGTTCTTCATCACACAAAATGAATATTCGTTTCAAAAACGTTAATAATGGATGTTAATAACGTTATTAAAACTCTCATAGTGTTTTTCTTGTTTTTTAAGCATTTCCACCTCAAATGTCTATGATGCCTCACCAATCAATTTGTCCACCAGCTATGATGAATGGCTTTGAAGGATTATCATCATATCGAGGTATAAATCATTATTATAACATTCTCTAAATAGATATATTATTATGTTGAAAATAAATTTCTTCAGGTTTCGGCCAGGCAGGCTACGGAGGATTCGGTCAAGCTGGACTAGCAAGTTATGGTCAACAAGCTTTTGGAGCGCTTGGTAGCTTCCCTCAAATGCAATCGCAACTGAGTAGTCTCTACTCACAACAATCATATGGAGCATTATCACAACAACCATTCGGTATTTTTCCACAACAACCATTCGGTACTTTTCCACAACAACCATTCGGTACTTTTCCACAACAACCATTCGGTACTTTTTCACAACAACCTTTGAGCAGTTATCCTGGAGCCGGTTTCAATGTAGGAAGTGGCTTCCCGCAATTCGGTGGTTTTTCTGAACCAGCTGCTTTTCCACAAGTAGGTGGCTACTCTTCGATGGGTGCTGCACAATTAGGAGCATTTCCAGGTAGCACTGGACGAGTGACAATTGTATGTTGTGCTATTCCTCAATAAGAAAAAAGAAAAAAGAAAATAGATTTAAATTTTGAGATTCCGCTAGAAGCACTTTAGATCATTTTACAGATATTTTTTCTTTGTTTTTATTATTATAAACTTTGCTTCAAATTATTTGTTTCGTCGACAGGCACATCTACAATAATTTCCTTGAAAGTGACTTTACACTTTTATTTTTTATATGATTTCTATGAACAAAACTTTAATGTTTCAGTTATTTTTTTCCTTTCTTTATGTATATTGTTTTTTTGTTCAGACTGGAAGAATATTTCTTCTAATTATTGAACATTTCATTTTTATCATACTGTTAATTTTTATTAAATAAGAAAACAAGAATTCTTCTTTTCAAATTAACGTATGTGCATGAAAAACATATCTTTCTTTTTTTCTTCTTCAAATTCCTACATTGTGATCATGTGCTTTGTTTATTAAGCAATTTGATTAATTTTTTTAAATATAATTTCTGATATTGAATGTTTAAAATAAGAAGCAATGGCATGATGCTGTTCTATACAATAATATTGATTCTATTGAAGTTAACGATAATTGCTGTTATTGACAATACACACTTGCAAGAAATGATGAATCAACTTATTTGAACGAAAGTTTTCCAATATTAGCAGCTTCGCTTGAGTTCATTCAGTAACACGTTCGTAAGATTTGAAAAGAATGAAGGTCGATAGGTTAAATGAAATTTATTTGTCTAAAAAATTAATAGAATATTTTATCAGTCTAACTAATAAAAACTTGCAGGTATATTTTCTTTATTCTCTTCATTCTTCTTTTTTTCTCCATCCATGTGAACTGACAAGAGTCTATTTTTCTAATCTGAGCTCATTTATAATAAAAAAAGAAGAGAAAAGAGATAAGACGTATTTAATATTTTGAAAACTCATTTCATATTTCATTATTGTTCTATTTATTCACCTAGAGTGAAATTCTAGTAAGCCCAACTTACATTAAATCTAACTAAACTTCATTATGCAAATTTTTCAACCTAAAAGAATACTGATGCGAGTTTATCATGTTTCCGTTGTTTTTACATATATCAATTACATGTTTAATAATAGCATAGATACACATATCAGACACAAGAGATTGACTTATTCATTTTCCGAGTTACTAAACAAAAGTCAAGAGGGAAATCTAACTCATGCTCTGGACTATGTACGTCTTTTTTCTTCATTTCATAATATAAGTTTAGTAGAGAACAGTAAAGTAGTCATCGTCGACAATACGACCTAGTTATACAAATCATAATCTCTAAGGTTCTTTTACTTCTATAATTTATTTATTTATTTTTACTCGAAATATTAGTATCGAGTCATTCATAGAAACATGTTTGATTTAATTTTAGAATAGAATCCATTCAAAAGAAAAATGGTCAGTCTTTTCTTCTTTTCACTAGTTTTACTCAATGGTTTATGCGCGGCTTTGAACCATCATGATGCGAAGTTACATAATGATCACTTGAATCGAATCTCTCGTGCGAATGAAAACGAGCGTGTTCTTCAAAATTCTATGAAAAAGCTTCTCAATGTTGACATCAATGAAATGCGTAGTGCAGATGATGAGAAGCAGCAATACGATTCGTCAAATACAGACAAAGCGGCTGGATCAGTGTCAGCTGATTCTTTTACTCAATTTCCTGAGGATGTTGCTTGTCTTGAAGCTTGTTATGTTTGCGTCGACGATCACTCATTAATTTTGGTAAGTTTCATATTTATGTTGGTTATTGGAAAGATCTTTACGATTTTTTTTCTTTTCTCTTTTTCTAGCGCAAGAAGCGATCAATTGATGGTTGTGGTCCTATATGCGAATGTGCCAATAGCTGTTCTCGAATTTCAATTGAACAGGTAGATAAAAACACATTCTTGTTGTTTTAGTTTTTTAAAATTTTTTATTTACATTAGATTGACAAAATTTACGGCCAAGATGCCGCACGACGAGGTGATAGAGATTGCTTTTTGAGAACCTACCTTCAAATGATCGACAATGAAGTACAATTATCACATTAAATGATCGCACTGTTTCGCTGATTGCTTGTGTTCGACTTAAAATATCTTTCATCATGAACATTTAAAAAACTAAGTCTTTTTCATCAATAAGGGTTCATTCTATCTTACATTCTAATTAATAAATTCTATAAAATATAATAAAATATTTAGTATCACAATTTAAGGCACTATTATCTTTTGTAAGTGCTTTTCAATTTTCAAATACATCGATAGCTATTATCATACATAGATATGTACATAGAAGTCATGGCTTCGCTACATCTAAAGAAATATAATATTATTAATAATTTATTTTATTTATAATCTCTACCGGCTTATTCTTATAGCTAATTATTCATGAAAGAAAATAAAGATGCTTACGTTAGATGTTTATTTTCAAAAAATTGAATAGAAGAAAAGCTTTGTAGTAGACGTTCATGTCCAAACAACTATTCACGATTGTTCTCAATGATTTCATGCATGAACGAGCAGTGAAAGAACATATTGCGAACTAATTGCCTAGATGAATATTATTTTTCTAAAAATGATCACCACTAGCAGTTGCGAGTTTTGTTTTTTTTTTACAAAAAAATAATCAAGTGGTTATATCACTTTATTTATGGATGATATTTTTTTTTGTATTCGTTAGTATTCGATTCAATAGATACTAAATATCACATAATGTTATTTTTCTGTAGCTGATTTAAAGAAAATCATGGCAATCCAAGAACAGCTACTGCGGCGTATTTGCAGCAGTGTACTCGCGTTCTTTTCTTAAGAAAAAGCGTGCAACATGCTCACTATAATGAACACGTGAAAATTTCTATTCTTATTGAATGCTAATTTTAAAAATTAAAAAGGAGATAAATATTCAAGACAATGACGCTAAAGTTTAAAATCATTACTCCGTACAAAAATGTCGAACCCATACGATCATTTAAGTTGTTTTCACTGAAATTTTCTTTTGCTAAAAATTTATTTAATTAGAGACATTATTTGATGCTTTAAAAGGAAACTTTTCATTGTAGAATATTGATAATTGACAACAGAAAAAGAAAATATACGCAAGTTTCCGCCATAATTTGAAGTGAATCGGATATTGGTATATGACAATGTCTTTGCGTTCTTTGGCTCTCGTGAATATTTTAAAGATGTATTTTAAAAATAGTATCATTTTGACGAGATGACAAAATCATAAGAGGATTTCTTTCTTTGTCTTATTGTGACGGATTAAAAATCGTGTTGGAGAATAATAATGCAGCTGTTTTTAATTATTTGCAAATTGGATTAAATGACTCTAGAGCATGATGATAAATCAAATGTATTAAGAATTGTTCAATGTCCGATTGATTGATATATCGATGTTTCGAATTCATAATTACCTTTTGCATTGAGAATCAGCGTTAAAAAAAGTAATCAAAGTCGATTTTCACATGGTTCATCCCGTAGAATCATAGTTTTCTTCTCTATTTTTTACAATAAACATGTCTGACAGATCTGGCTTTATCAAAAAAGATAGAAAAATAATGTTCAAGGATAGCAATGAGAATATGAAACTTGTCCAATTCTCAAAACAGATCGTAGATCAATATAATCTTCTTACACTCCCACCTTCTTCTCTTCCTCAATGAAGCACCCACGAGTATTATGTTCTTAAGTACAAGCATCTTGTAGGTGTTTTCTACTATGATTTTCTATGTATTAAGAATTACAACAGTTTTAGTTAGTGATCCATCGTACATCATTTTTTTCTTTACATTTTACATTTTGAAAACTATTCTCTGATGATTTCCATCATTATTGTGATTCTGATCGAAGATGTTTTAATAAGCTTATTTATTCGCAATTGAAAGGATTTTAGAACTCTCATAAATATCAAAATTAGCATCTTTATTTAATATACATCATTCTGTTCTTTTGCAGCTATTTATAAGTTTCTCCCCGCGTTCATTCTAACCGACAATAATATTTCTTCCTCCAAAGAAAATATAGATTTTCGTTATGAATAAGTTACTATTTGCTTCTGGATTCTTTCGAAAATTTTGTTCTGCAATGAGTATCATTCATCAACAATTCAAAGAATTATTTTCCATAAATCCCAGATCTTCTATAACGAATTTCATAGCACATTGTGAAACGGGCAGATTTGATTATGCAGGAACTTTCTCGAATACGAGTATTTTTGGTTAGTTACATACATCGCAGTGTCCTGATAAATCCCGAGGAGGACGTCCTTTGCAAATAAGTTTTTCGCTAGAATCCTGGCAAGCGCTGCAATGTATGTTAGCTATGAAAAACAAAAATATATATTTGGTAACGGGCATATGGATGGTTTCCCTCCATCATGAACCCGCCTTGAGCAGAAACGCTAGCTTTGCCATTAAACTAGACACAAATTACTAAATAACTTCAACGGTACATGTTCCAGGCCACCGGTTGTGATCTGATACGAAGACAACTTACTCCCACTCTTGCTAATTTTATCCCACAATTTTTTATTCAAAGTGTTCTTTACTTTGGTTTATTATTAGGAATGTGCAGTGTCGGTGTACTGACCACCGACTTGCACCGACGATGTATCTAGTGGAGCACTGACTACATCGACAGTGTGCGCAGCGGAACACCATCCACACTGTCATCGGTGTCACTGAAACACTGATACACCGATATCTTTCTGATTGGCTAAAGAGTTCAGTCAATAAAAAGTTGTCGGTGTGTCAATGTTTCACTGATCATCAGTATATGAGTGATCATCAGTGCTTCAGTGAAGTTGGTGTCAGTGACAATGATTACAGTGTGGCCGGTGTTCCACTGGGCACGCCGTCAGCGCAGTCGTTGCACCACTGAGCACACTGTCAGTGGAGTTGGTGATCAGTTTTTCAGTATTTACACTGACACTGCACATGCCTATTTATTATTCGATTCAGTAAACAAGACTAATCTGTATATATATGGTGCTCTAGACAAACATGTTTGTATTATACGACAATTGAATAGAATAAGCACACACCGGCTGATGACTATACACAGAAAACGAAAATCCGACACAAACACAAACATAGTTTCAGGATAAAATATGAATAAAATAATCACAAAACATACTGTTTTTTTTGTTAGTTTTCGTTTTTACAATATCGAAAACAAAAATAATTATTGCATTGGTTAAGCAAACGTATACAGAAAAAAAAGCGATCGAAATCATCATACTCTTGAGCATTTCGACATTTGTTTTAGTTTTGGACGGAAAAAATTGATTTAAAATGTAAGAGAATAAAGAAAAGAAAACCATACGTGTGTTCTTATACTCGTCTCTATATACACTCGAATTTATATAGCATTGTTATGCTATCGAATCCCAATCGAATGCTGGCTCTTCTTCCATTACCACTGGAAGAGTGTTATTCTAAAAGCAAAACATGAAGTCCTCAATTAAAAAGATAATTATGTTATTAACTGATTCCAATGTTGCCCTATTTGATATAACCGATGGTCGAATTTGTGCAAACGATTCATCTATAAAACAGAAAAGAAAAATATAAGTATATATTGTGATTATACAACAATTGATATCGCTCATTAAAACGCAACAACTAGAGGTTTGGGAATGCTTGTGTGAACACAGAATTGTATTAACTTAATTGGCATGGATTCGTGTTGTAGTGTTCCTATTAACGAATGATTAGAGTTCATCGGATCCAAGAATTTCAAGGTACTCTTAAAATTGTTTTCAATAAGCTTGAGACTTGTCGAGTAAAATTGGCGAAAATTCATAAAATTTTCAGGGCCAGGCCCGATGGTATCTACTAAGGATACGCATCCATAAATAGACTAAGAAAAAAAAAGGTTTCACATCGGTTCTATGTGTAAAGTGCTAAACATCAGCAGAATTATGATTCTTTTTTAAATTCAACTCGACATGTTCAAATTTAGAGTTCGATTATTTCTTTATTCTATATTAAAGACACAAGCTATATCATCGCAAGATTCTTCTTACAAGATCTTACTTGGTTTTTTTGATCGTGCTAAACTTGTTATTCCAGTATAATCGAAGAAGGATGAAAGTGACGAAGCAAGATCAATCAGTTTATCTCGATCTTGTTCGTGTAATGTTGAATTCGTTAAAAAGTCATCCAGGAATTCTAGAATAAGAATATTTATTTCGAGAGAAATATTATGAAAATATTTACCACAATAAGGTTTAACATCAATATCATTCCAATTTATTTCTCCGCTTGATGCTATTTTTATACTTTGAAAGAAACTATTCGACTCACCATTAGGAAATAAATCAGAAGTCCAATCATTTCTATTATTAGAATTTATTAATGATCCATCTATTTTTATATAATGTAGTAAAATATAAAGTAAAAGCTTTTTTTTAACGTACCTAAATTTTGTCCAAATGCGGATGTTGAACTTTCTAAGATTTGCTGTTGAAAAAGACGAAACGAAGCAGTTAACTCAGCATTCAAATCATCCAATTGCATTAGAGCAGACTATTTAGAAAAAACAAACAAACATCTTTAAACTTGAGTCAATGATAATCTTAATGAAAATCGAAGTGTTTTATATAATCTTTAAAAATATAATAGTGCGAATCTTATCGACTTGAAAATCACATGCATCGCGATAGACACTTGTTTTCATTGTTCACTAAAAATGTTGCTGAGTCTTATAGGGAAAAAAACCGTCTAAAGGTTAGTGACGTTCCACAATTGAATGTTAAGCTTCTTCTGTGAACTATTCCAAAGTAGACTCGACTAAAAATCGGAAGTCAACAAACGATTCTGGCTCTTTTTGTTTTTCTTCGATAAATTACAACAATTGTTGACTTCCATTTTTATAATTCTCGATTTACAACGTCACAGGTAGTCTACAGGAAGAAGATATATTTTTATCCACAAGTACAGATATTCTTTTAAATCAACTTCCAAGTTCTGATAAACTTTAACAGAATCGTAAACGTATAATAATGATTTAAATCGAGATAAATTTAAGTTATAAAGGAAAATAATGCTATGTATTGAAAACAAAGAATCAGTTTCAAATCTTTAGAATAATTCATGTTACAAATGAATATTAATCTTACATGTGCTGTGATAGACATTCTTGAATCTGATTCATCAGTTGATGATGATTGTCCTTCAACACTACTTATATCACCACATATCATAGGATTATTGTGCGTATAGATACCAGGTGGTTGTTGAATTAAAGTAACTGGCGATGAAGGATATATTTGCGGAGATGGTTGTGTGTCTTCGGACTGACAAAGAAAACAAATGATTCATTTCCCTTCAGGACAACATTCTTTATCTTCTTTTTAATTACTTTTCTTTTTCGATGATGCATTTGATTGTTACTTTCACAAGCTTCTTCGACTGCCCAATACGAACCCTAATAAAAAAAAAAGAAAGAAACAAATACATAAATTAAAAATAATTAAAATAATAATAAATAATATATTCTACTTTTCCAGGATCATTTGTACTTCGTTGTAGTCTTTTGAAACATTTATTTAACGATAAATTATGACGAATGGAGTTCTATAATGAAACATCGTATATAGAGTAATTCATAGTTTCTATCGCTAACCTTCCATTTTGGTGGTGCGTTGCGAAAATACGGATAAGAATCAGTAATCCATTGATAAATTTCATTTAATGTCATTCGTCGTGTTCTCGTACTGAGAATGGCCTGTCGAATCAATGTAACATAACTATACGGAGGTTTAACATGAATATTTTCATGAAAAGTGCTTGTCGGTGTTTCAATTTCAGTTGCTTCAATTTTATGTTGAACAAATGTTGTCGTAGGTACTGATTGTTTAATAGGTGGTGATATTGTCGTTGCAGCTGTTGTTGCTGCTGCTGCTGATGATGATGATGAATTTTCGCCGATTTGCATATTTGGTAGCCATTCTATTGATGTTAAACTACTGTCTAATAACGAACCAGTAGATATACCAGTTGAGGATTTCTTTTTAGTCTGCGCTTTTCGCAGGAGCATATGTCGATCTAGAATAAACTCAATGTGAGTTTATCACGATAAGACATATTTTTCTATCCATTAAAATAAACAAAAAAAACATGTGACAGCCCTATCTCTTTAACATAATACATCTGAATACAAAAAATTAATAAATATAGATATTGCACTCTAATCTATTGTTGAGTTATTTCTTTATCTGTTCCATATAAACGATATTCATAAGAATAAGTTCGATAATTTCCTAAGAAATTAAAATTAAGTTTAAAATTAAAATTTTTCATTGAAATATTTACGACATTCCAAACCACATTTTGGTGATTCACAATTGGTACATGGTATAAAGCAGCCGGGACATTTTGAACGATTACAATCACATCGATCTCCTCGATCAGTTATAAGCAGACCAGATTCATCATATAATGGTTTATTTGTACTAGAATAAAAATAGATTGCTTTTAAAAATTTATATGAATCATCGGCTACTTGACCAGATCGTGATTCGAAAACTCTTGATATTTAAAATAATGCTTACTTAAGTTTTTCTTGTAAACATTTTTGTCGAGTTTTGGGACGTCTTGCTGGTACATTGGCTACATTGACTAAATTCTTTGGGCCGGGATTTTTAAAACCAAGACGTTGAAGAGTTCGCTCCTAATTTTGAATCACAAAAAAACCACATATTCATGTATGGTTAAATACGCAATTGCTTACTTTTCGTTTTTGTCTTTCAACTTCACCAGGTGATGAAGGTTGAGGCGACAATGAAGAGCCAGAATACAAACCATTACCAGCATTCATCAATGGAAGATGAGAGCGCCGACTAAAAAGCATACTATTGGATGATATAGTTGTTGGTGATTTTATTTTTCGATCATTGATGATGCTTCTTGGAAAGGATGACTACAAGTAAATATCAGATAATATATTTTATGAATAATAAAATTTAACTGACCGATTCAAGAACATCAAAAATATTTTTATTATTGTCGTCCATCTTCTTGACTACGAATAAGTAAATAAATCTAAAACGATTGAAGTATAAAAAATTCTAAGGCTTTATTTTTTAATCAAACCCGTTGATCAAATTCCGAGTCTATGTTTTTATCGCGTCAAAGATTTATTACTCATTTTGGAAAGAGTAAAATTTTAAGTAAAAAGAACTTTCATAGCGAAAAAGAATTTTTACAAGATAGGATGCCGAAAATATTTTTTGGATGGCGGAACATGACTGTTGCTATCGGACGCCTACGCTGAACAAATAGCACAAAAAAAGAAGAAAAAAATGTTGAAAGAGAAGGTAAAAAACTGAAGAATTCTTTTTCTTTCGTTCGGCCGGCGATCTCTTTTTTTGATATTCTCGATTTCCGATAGTTAAATTGATTAACCAATAAATTTAACTGCTTTAATTAAAATTGAAAATTTTCTTTAAAAATCAAATTAGTAATTGATGCAATGTAACAGTTAAGTGACGATAAACAATATATATATATATATAATATTGCAAATTAACTCAATAGTATATCAACTACAAATAAATAAAAACTATGGTAGATGTCAGTGACGTCTTTTATTTCACCTGTAATTTCAAAACCACTGTATTTGAAATTGAATTCTTTATGGTAAATAATGTGTTGATTCTAGTTAAACATAGTTTGATATTGTTCAACGCAGGCAGAACCTTTCGAAGTACACAATGATGTTGTTTTTTATACTTGATAATTTTTGTTTTTCAAAAACTCAATTCAATTCATTTCTAGAAGTATAAATACCCGCATTTTTATTTTTTATTGTTGAAGAAATTTTTTTTTAATTGACAAATTCTTGACGATTGACTTTTCATGTTATGAGCAAGAGCATTTCTTAACATGCAACGAATTCCTTTTCCTATTTCATAAATTAGTAAGGTACATTTTTCAATCCGAACTGCTTAAATATTGTTGAAGTTGAAGGCCACCGCTCACAGGTTATCATCGAGATGAAGCCTGGTTGGTGGCCGTCCGTGATATTAATGTATTGCATGAAACTTGTGTCAGACATCATGTCGACAATTGTTGGTGCTTGTGCGCGTGCATAGCGTGACGTTCTTTCATTGATAGATGAAACTGGCATCACTCAACAGCGTTTACCTTCAGATAGAGCAAGTGGCAGAACGCTGACAATATAATTTTCTTTCGACAATGCTTCACCTAGTTTTTAACGTTTTAGTAAAGAAGTAAGAACTTTTCTCAGAAGCTTTTCATCATATCATAGTTCGTTTTTTTGGATCTATTGAACTCTTGTTTCTATATGACTTTGTGTGTCTAACAGCAGAGATGTAAAACTATTTATTTTCGATCGATGTCAAACAAAAAAAGCGTATTGACCATGTACTAACACTATGATTCTATCCATTCTATTGAACTTACAGCTTCCTAATCTACATCTGAAATTCAATTTTCTTTGTAATAGAACTTGCTGAGTAATTTTGAATGAAGAAATACGACTAACTATTGAGCCATACGCCTTGTTCTCAATAATTAGCTCAGGTAATGTAAGAAAAAAAATCATTGCGTACCCCTGCTGCAATGATCGAAGAGAGGCAAAAGAAAAAAAGAAGAGAAAAATGTCAAGTTGATTGAAAACTAATGCAACGAGTTACATTAACTACTTTTCTAGTCATCTAGAAAGAAAATTGTTTTTTTTCATTCGACAGCAGACAGATAGAGAACAACGACTTTTATGTACATTAGATTTTTGTTGAGTAACGACTTTTATCTCAAAAGCATACTTGAAAATATAGCTCATTAGATAAATGTTTTTCAATTGATGATTGTTTTCGTCAGCAACGCTAGTAATGGACGATAAAAAGTAAAACATAAGCTACTTTCAGAAGCAAGCTCGATTTCAAATGACTGTTTTTGACGAGAGAAAAAAAGGTAATTTGACTCATGAGACTGGTACATCACTCTCGTAAACGAACTGGCCTTAGAGTATCATGTCAACCGTATGATGCGAGAATCTTTGAGTAGTGAAGTATACAGTCATTCTCGGTGTAAAACCTAATAAGTTGTTGAAAGTTTTTGTTTTTCATAGAGTGTCTTAGAAACTAGATAAGTATCCGTCCAATGGGACAGTTTGCGACAGAATATTTAATAGAACTCAGCGTGGGACCTATTTTTATGCAGCAGTGACGTTTGAAAACTCCAACTAACGCTGTTGAAATTACAATTACCAACTCAATAGTAAAAAGATAACATGATGATAAGAAAAAATCTTCGCCGAATTAACTTTCACAACTAGCTATTACGTCAATGAAAACCGTTATCACTATCTCGCCTTCTATCATCTTTCGACGCGTTTGAATCATAGCGTTATCGAACACGTTAACTGTCGCTAATTTATGGGAAATCATTTGACCTAGTTTTTTTCATTATGGAGTCATTCGCATCTAATAAAAAGTGATTGTCTAAATCTTTTGTTAACGAGTATCTTTGCCTAACTGTTGCATATAATTAATAATAACTAGCACCAGCGATATTACTATACATAATTCTTGATATTCTCGAGCTTTTTTTAGATTTCTAACAGTTGGTCTATATTAAAACCATTATTTTTTTTCTCATAAACTTGTTGTAAGCTGGGAATTTTCTCGTTTCTGGAACCCTCTATAATACAGCATGGAACCTTATCTAGTTAGAATCACATTTGATTTTGTTTCAGTCAAAATAGAAGATCCTGCGAGAGACATAGTTGCTTTCAATGAGAGTGTATAACTGCTGTTTAATATTAAAAAAAACGATATCATATTAAATATCTTAACGCGAATGGTTTCCTCTCTATAGAAAACTTAGTTGTCTTGAACAGTCGCATCAACTGACTATACAGTTTTATATCTGAGAAAATTCTAGTATTTTTCATGATTGTATTTATTGTTAGATTACAATTGAGTTGTTCCAGCAGTCTACTCTCAATTGTTAACTTTGAAACTAAAAAATATCAATTTTATGATAGTCGATTCATTGCATCACAAGTTTTACGTAGCTACTTATTGCATTGTCAATCTACCACGAAAATGATTTTTTATTTGAGTACATCTATCGAGGAAAAGATCAATTTTTTCGAAAGAATCAATCATATAAGAAAGTAAGGAGACAGCAAATGATTCAACGATTTCTTTCGATAGCATTTCTTTTCGCTATCTGTACGCATATCTATAATCTAGGTCAGTGATATTTGATCGATGAGAAGTAAGAACAATCTGTATATTCTCTATCTCTAAATATTTATCATTTCTAATACTAACACAAATTTCGCCTACCAGTAACATTCACATATACGCCTGAATATCAAAAACTTAGCTTTGATTCCATTGTCCATTACATGATCATTTTATCCTTACCCGAATGTATACAATTGTTTTGAAAGCCTTCGATAATACTACCAATGCTGTATTTCAATGTCATTCGTGTCGTTCTGGTTCATATAGTATTTTATATCTATATTACGATACGAACATGATAAACTGCACTAGATATTCTGCTCAATTGAGATTACTAAGGTTTCATATTATTTTCTATTGAAAACCGAACTTTGTTTTTCGTGTACCGGTGGCAAGCATGAATAAAACAATATTCACGATGTAATAGGACGCAGGTTTTTTTTTAGGGTTGAGCTGTTATTTTTACTCAATGATCTCATCGCTTTAGAATAACAAAATTCTTCATACTATTCAAAAATATCACTGAGATGCAATTCGTAGCTAATTATAAATTGACATGAGATGAAAATCTATGCTTGATCATCATTTGGAAAAGAATTATTGCATTACATTTCAGTTTGAGATTTCATAGAAATAAGTAAGATGAATTTATCGTGGGTTCAAAAGAACACCATACAGAAAATAAAAGGAGGTGAATAAGAATACGATTATACCTTAGACGCTCTAAAGGTAATAATTATATGACACCTGAATTTTCCGTTGAAATTGAATGTTCAACCTGCTCGATATAATTGCTGTACTTGATAGAATAGCACTAACCATTCAATACCTTGACTGAACATCACAATGTCTTAGTCGGATTTGATCTAATATCTTATTAAATAGATTCATCAGACTTGACTAAACAGTGAGAAAAAAATCTGAGATTTAATGACTATGAGAAATGCGTCATTAGTAGACTATTGCAATCTACATGCCGTCTATATACACTTCATATGATGAATGTATATGTTCTTTAATTACGTGAAAACGGAAATATCTAATGGACTGTGACTTTTAATTTTGACTAGATGAATAATCTCCAATAGATATTTTCAATTTCAGATTATTATTCGTTGAAAATCTCGTAGCAAGTTCACAAAAAATATACTATCCAGGAAAATTCTCAACTTCAATGATTCTTGATTCCCACTCACTTCTATCAGTATCGTTAACATGAAAAATAATGTTATTTTTTAAAGAACTTTATTTTAAAATAATATTTGAATTATCATCGAGAATCTGATTTTCATGTATATTTCATGCATAATGACTTCATAAGAGTAAACGAATGCTCTCTGTTGTGTCGAGCGAGAAAAACTCTTCATAATACAAGATAATCCTTTTCAAAATATTTTTTTTTGTTATGAGTTTTTGGTATTTTACCTACTAAAGAAAATAAACAACCCTAAAGCAGGGGCGGCGGAGCGTCATTAAGCTAGGTGAGGCTCATCATACTTTTTTGCTACCGTGGAATTTTATGAAACATCAAGTAGTAAATAAGTCTTCTTTTTATTGAACTTCAGTAAAAATAAAAATGGTCAGTAGAAAAAAAAGAAGATTGGAAAATACCGAAAACTACTTTTCTTTGCTTCTACTCTGATGCAAGAACAAAAAAATAGCAATATTCAGTACAAAAGTAAGTGAGACTGAGTCTCATATCGCGAAATCTAGGTGAGGTTGAGTCTCGTCTGCTGAAAACTAGGTGAGGCTCAAGCTTCACCTGTCTCAGTGGCTCCGCCGTCACTGCCCTAAAGAATTAGAAAGGTTAACATTTCTTCTATTTATAGCAAGTCCGCTGTGATAAGCGTCTGCATACTTCATATAAAATTTCATATGGAATTTAAGAAAATCGTGATATACTCGTGAGAAGATTTATCATTAGTAGATATTACAGCTGAAAATATTGTTAGTATTTATAGATTAAAAATCGCGTCGCAAGTATTATACTTTAATGCAGATGATGATGATTATTCTCGATGATCTAGGTTTTTACTCATCAATTTATTGGGCATTAACTGATATATTTTATTTCTTTGTGTATCGCGTTAGTCATATAAGTATACATTTATATACGCTCGTCATTGATGTCTAATTTAGAACGAAAGAAGTAACGTCGATGAAGAACAGTCCATTGTATGTCACGTTTTTCTTTCGTCGTTCGTCATTGCTATTAAACCTACGATAGATTTTTGCATATTTAAATAGAAATATTGATCGATTGATGTATGCTAGACTTTTGATAAAGGAATTGCCTAGATTCTTTTGCATTATTCCATTAGAAACAAGACACATTAAAGATTCAAATGACATGCTGTTTTCTTTTTACAGATATGTATTTTCTTTCTGCTTGCAACTAAAAAGTCGGTCACAAATTGGTGCAGAAGAATATATAAAATGAAAATAAACAGGAGATTTTTCCCGTTCTGCCCATTGTTATTCTTCTCAACTGCGTAGTAAGGCAGAACGAAGAAAGCATAGAGTACATCGGTTAGCTTCTTTTTTTGTTTTGAATATATTCTATGTCTTATATACTGACTATAACAGCGTTTTTTACATCATCGTACCCTGAAGCGTCTATTTCAAATCTATACTACTTCTGTTTTATATACACCAACAGTAACGATTTCAAGCTAAATTTAGATCATACCAAAACAAGATATTTTAATATTACTTTCTTTTCAGTAGTAATTATCATGTTTTCTCTCTATATGTATTCATGACAACGAATGTTTTGAATTTTTATCGATTATTTATATAAAAATAAATATACTATATACACGTTTATGCCTCTAATTTCATGACATGCTTCAGTGGCTAATTCGAATCGTATTCATTTTTTTATTTTCACCCCTAAGAGCTGCCATTATCGAGATGGAAACGCGTGAGAAATCAGAGAGTAATATTTTATGTTGTCTTATTTATATCATAAAGCGTAGAAATATAGAAGCAATCCGAAATAGAGTTAACATGCGAGATAATATGACGAACAAAACTATTTTCCTCGACACTCTAGGAATTTGTAATCTAAGTAGCAAGAGTGATAATAGATTTTTCCTATTACAGTTCTAATAATTCATGTAGTATAAAACTGTGATTTGTTAATACGATTAGATCAAATAGCTAATTAATTATTATGTTCGCAATGCAAACAAATTACGATCAAAGTTCAATAAAACAATCATATAGAATCAAAAGAAAACCGACGAATAAACGTTACCGATTACTCTTAACATGTGTTGTCTGCAATGGTGAAGCTCATGGTATTTGTAACATTGAAAAAAAAACAAGTTCGTTTGAATCTTAATTTTGTTTTACGATTATTTAAGGTTACAATTTCGATGCTATTTCGTGTGAATCTTGTAAAGCATTTTTTCGTCGAAATGCATTAAGACCACCGGTAATTATTTTCTCTGGTGAAAAAGAATCGTTTAAAATTTTCGCTATTTTTTGTTTCCAAGGGAAAATTAAAATGTTCAGGTAATGGTCATTGTGATATAGGATTCAATCAAAATAAACGATGTAAAAAATGCCGCCTAGAAAAATGTTTTACAGCAGGTAAGACGAATAAGAGATTGCTCTGATTGTTTCTATTTTATTTTGTTTAGGTATGCGTAAAGAATGGATACTAACAGAAGCACAGTAAGTAGAAAATACCGTATTTTTTGCTGTTAAAGAATAGATTCGATAACAAAATGGATATTTTTAGAAAACAAGAGAAACGAATGAAAATTGAACAAAATCGTCATCTAAGACAAGTTCACGATCACGATCAAAGTTATCAACAACGACGAGTAATTATTCAATGATTAATCTACAAGAAAACAGAAGTTCTGGATTATTTTTTTAGTATAAACATGATACTGATTTATCGGCAGACGTTCAAAATACACCACCAACAATTGTTGATCGAACCTGTTTGATTGATTTGGATTGGTTAAAACTTGAATCTCTACGAAATGCATATGCTGAAGCCGTTAAATTAAATCGAACAGCTGGTATTTTATCATATCCGTGTACTCAACCTATTGAATCGACATTGGAATTATTTCGCGTACCACTTTATATATCATCGATGCGTTTAATAAGTTTTTTTAAGCAAATACCTGAATTTCAACAATTCGAGAAAGATGAACAAGTCTATTTTGTTAAATTAAATACGTTAAGTATTACATTTTTGCATTCAATGTATATCTATGATTATGAGCAAGATGCTTATCATGAACCGGATACAGCTGATCCATTATTTCTTGAAAAAGATTGGTTAAAAACAATAAATAGAGAGTTTCATCGTCAAATGAAAAACATTCAAAATAATTTTTCATTCATACAAAAGCTCGATGAGAACTTAATAAAATTATTTTTCTTAATTATACTTTTTTCAAATCATCTCGATTTAAAACATCCTATAACAAATATTAATACATTACATTTATTTAAAGTACAAAATATTTACAATGAACTATTCTATAAATATTGTTTATATCATTATGGTTTTCGTAAATCATCAATATTACTTCTACAATATACAACTAATTTAATGAAAATACAAAATCTAATTGATGATCTTAAATATACAGCATGCAGTTATATGGATTTAAAACTGTTAACACCAGTAATGCGAAGTCTTCTGTAAATAATGTTCATATGTTCTTGACAAATTCCATATTCGCATCCAAGATAGACTTCTTACTTCAACTATGTTCGTCTCGTTAAGAAAACTGAACTGAACAGTTGATGATGATTACGTAGAAAAATGTTCAACAAATCGAATATATCTGTTTCGCGAGCTCCATAACATTATATCTATGTATGCAGCTCAAAGATATTTTCTGTTTTTTTTTCCGAGATTTATTTTGTCAAGAAAAAATATTTGGTATGCATGATTTATGTAGCATGCGTTATTTCCGGAAATATTCATTTTATGCAGAAAATAAAAGTTTCAGTGTTGGTTAAATGTTCAGATCTAAAAAAATGTTATTTCATCAATAAAACTATGTTTTTTTTCAATGTTCGAAAAATCATAGCTGATTAATGTTTATTCAATGAGAGATTCAAATACAGGATGTAGAAACAAATGGAAAAATTCATTTAGCTGGTTATTTTTGGATGAAAAGAAGTTTCATTATGTAAAGTTGTTGCCAACTAATATTTATGATCTCCTATGCAGACTAAGCTTTTGCTTCGAGTAAAAAGGTTACCCAGTGTGAGTATTCGGTTTTTCTTTATCGGTTTCATGTCCCGTCGTAGAGTATGAGTATGGTGACTTACGATGTTTATCTCTACAGGCTAGTTGTTAGGTTGATTTGAGCTTAAGAATAATCAATGTAGAATTTTACTTCAAGAACTTCATTTAGATGAAAATATTGAAAATTTCAATAGAAAATGTGTCGTCTTAGACGATTGTGAAATTTTTGTGGAATCACTATGAACAGAAGTTCGAATTACGTTTATTTCAATAGCTTCAGTATTGTGGATTTATGAAACTTAATAACTTTCTTTTCAAACTTGATCACAATTATCTAAAAACAAAATATCCAATACGTCATAAAGAGATCGTATTTTCAATTGACTTCATTACATTTAGTTTTTCTTTTCTTTTCGTACATTTAAATGAAAAATTACAACAGATAAGAGTAGTAAACGAAATGTGATCTATATACATTTTTCTAGATGCCGTAAATACATAAAAATCCCTTGCATCCACTATAAAAAATTTCGATGTTCATAGTGGAAATGAAAGTTGATCGTCGTTTTTTTGCATTTTGTGTCAACCAAATATATCAGTGATGATATTTGAAGAAAAAACTTTATCATATCATGGTATCTTCATTGATCTCTCAACAAATTGGCATAGATCCGAAGTACCGGAAGCTAAGTATTTGATGCTGTCTATTATGAAAATATGCTGTATAATCGTTTCCTTAATCTTCTGGTTCATTTACGTAGATGTAAAAATAATCCTTACGACTGAGATTTGCAATGAAAGGCAGCAATTGCGAAATAAAAATCTCGCAACACATTTATTTTATCTCTCTTGTGATAAATCTTCAATAAAAAGAAAATTATAAAAATATGAAAATACTTACATTTTCGAAACCATAATTCTTCATTTAACAGGATTGATAATCGATAGAAACTTATGTTTTCATTAGCAGTCATATCTGATTTTCTGCGTATAAAGTAATCTGTGTGACTTTTCAAGAATTTGAAGTGTATTATCTTTAACAGTAGATGAAAATAAAAATTGCGCTAACGATAACATCGATCATTCCGGAATAGCCACTGTTTAACAGAGATCATCTCGTATAACAAAAAAATGGAGTAAGAAATATGAAAGAGAACTCTTGTGGTTAGCGTTTTATGGATTTAGTAAAGATCACAACGATTGTGTAACTAAATGAGATAGAGCTACAATAGAAATGTCTACGGTAATGTTCTGACACAGCTATGGTATTCACAAGGACTCTTTATCAATATAGGGGACATAGTCTATCTTGCAAAATACTGGAATCGTTCAATCATTCGCTCACTTAAAGAGCCAAAACAAGTTATTATGATTACTGGCGGCCATGATTACGAGCAAGTTCCAAATCGAATCAACAATCTCGGGTTTATCTTTCGATCGTCATCGGATTTTGTTTTTTTATCAGAGATCGATCGAGTTCAATGCTTTTCTTATCAAATAGAATCGTGAAAAACTTAAATTCATTTTTTGTTCTTCTTAACTAAATGGCGATCAACAGGGAGAAGAGGGTATTCCTTTATTATTTTAACACGATTAAGCAGGTTCATATCTGATATGCGATCAAAAGTATTGTGAGTGCATTGTAAACCATCTTTCATAAGAGTCATTTTGACCAGATGATGTCACATCAGAAATATACAGTATAAAGCATACCCGTACAAATGTGTGGACTTATGAAATATCGAATCCTTATGCTATCTTGTAACATATAAAGAAAGTTTATTCTCACTGTAAATTTAAATATACTTAACGAATTTCAAAAAACCCAAGTATAAATCAATGTCCTATCTCAATAATATTCCGATTAGATAGGATATACACTCTCTGACAAATAACAGCGATTACATCTACTAGTTTTTACTCGCCTGCATTTCTCTCGCACATGAAATTAATGTTCTCCAAAGTCATCGATTTCCTTAAGAAAATTGTAGTAGACATTATTGATAAAATCTAGATACATCGGTTCTCTGAGTAACCGCAACGAGTGGGTTGAAACGAGATCAAGAGGAATAACTAAACTTCTCAATCATAACATTGATACTTGCTGAAAGTTAATGGTGAAATTTATACGATGCCATTTTTATTTAAAATAAAATTTATGCTTATGTTATATAAGATTTACGCAAATTTTTTGCAATACATACAAAGTAGTTACAGATATTGAATCTGCATAAAGAAAATCGAAATCATTTCTGTACTGGAATACCTACGAAGTGAATGCGAATTTAGTATGTATAGTTTTTTAACTACCGCAGCAAAATTCATAATCAATTGATTCTCAAAAAATTTACCAATGCTCATGCCAACCACATTGGATACTAGAAATGTCATGATTAGCATTTCGAATAAGTTAAATAATCCTGATAACAGTGAACTTTAGAAATAAAAATTCGACTCATTCTTCGAAAAATACGTTCATTTTTTATTGTATCACAATAATAATCATTATGAAAGTAGTCATAAAGCATTTTTATATATTTTCTCTTACACATAATAACTATGTCTAATTTCGTACCCTATGATCTACTTTTAGATAACAAAGAATTGTATAATATCTCACTTGAATAACAATAAGATAAACTTATCTTGTTATTTATACTTGCTTCTTGAATAATTAAAAGTCGAAATACAAGGTGACACATTAAAAATTTCTATCTAACGCACATTCATCGTTATACTACTAACCACAGATTATCAACAAGTTGCAATTTATATTTAAGAAGTGGGCCAGATAAGAACATAAAAAGTATGTAACATTACGTGCATGACATGAGCATCATAGGAAACAGATGCATATATTCGTTAACCCACAATTGTGAAATCCTATATCCGTAAAGAAGAAATTAGCTCAATTATTTTTTTCAAAGTTTGATAGTAGTAAAAACAGTTTAATAAGCATAATCATAGAGATTATAGAAAATATTTTTTCTCATCGTGTAACAATTTTATCTCAAGTGGAAAATAAATTCCATCGCAAACTTGAGTTCATTAAAATTGCTGTTACAATCTTCTTCTTTATTTCGCCTTATTATTATTATTATTATTATTATTACATTCTCACAAGAAGTAATCCCCCCTTACTTTAAAGGTCAACACTCACTTAAATAGAATAGATACGAGAATAAGAATGGAATGATTGTAAACGTGATAGAATGAAACCGAGAGAAGAAGAGAGAACATACTTATGGCAGGACAGATATCTCCTGACATAACAATTGCGCTTTAGAAAACCAAGAAAAACTCCATGTATTGACAAAAATTACAGAATTTTTTAAACTATTTAAAGTATTGTAATTTTAGTTTCATATCATTTCTGTTGGGTGTGGGTGTAGGTGTGTGGCTATGGCTGTCAAATGGAAGTCAATATCTACACCCTCGTGAATAACCTTCTACTCACCATACATCATGATTATAAAAATATGTCGAATGCTCTATGCTAGTTTTCTTTTGAAATTGACAATGAAAAATGAGCACCTGAGATTCAATTATGATCATGCTTAATAATATATGGATAGTAAATTTAAGCTTCCTAAAAACTTGTGGCACAGTATATATAAGATATTAGTATATACTGTCAAAACGTTTCCAATAATCTATCACGTACTTAAGTCATTACAAAAGTATTTTCCGAGGTCAGTGAAATTTTAATTGAACTTTATGTACCTTTGCTTATGCTAACTTGGACTAGACTACAAAGTTGTATTGTCATATCTGAATATTGGATGGCAACAAAGGTTTTCTCGCACTTCAACTAAATACCCAAACCCAAACTCAAACTTATTTGACCAAGCCCACCAAACCCAAACTGTTTGGGTTTGGTGCATGTCTACTGAGGGGTACCAGGTGAAAATGTTTTGGAAACAACAAAAATTTTCAGAAAATTTTGAAACCGGGTTACGTTGACATCGTTCTTTCTGGCGATTCCATATATATGAAATTTTTCAGTATGAGAACGGTAAATTTATAGATATCATCCACGTATAAGTTAAGAAAAGACAGATTCTGTCATAAAAGTCTACAAAAATGAACTTTCTCAACAATAAACTAAAATCTAGAAAAACCCAGTTCGTCCTTTTAAAGTATAACATCTAGTGATTTTAATGGAACATGAAATTCAGTTGTAGTTTCTTGTAGAAAAAACTAGATAGCATTACAAGATGCTTATCTGAAGTTCTGACTCCTCCACACTTGTGGTACCTGAACTATGATCATGCTATATCAGGATAACCTCATAAATGGCTATCATAGATTCCTTTTCTATGCTGAATATAAAAAACTGTATTAAATTGAAAACAAATGAAAGATATATTCTTGATCAGCTTGACACACTCTATCTAACCATATATAAAAAAACGAAAACAAAATTCTACTGTAATTTTGCATTTTCGTACCTTACTAGTATCGGTGTTTTATTCTTATTAAAGGTTAAAATTAGCCCATTGATCTACCCGGAATTCAATCATTTTTTATTTTTTCTGTGGAACTATTACGGGTCAGTTGAAAAGAGGAAGTTTGTAGAAAACTTTCCCACCCGCAAGGGCAAAATCCTTGAAGAACAGATAAATACAACTTTCCCATGTTCTCGAAATCGGTAAAAAATTGGTGATTAATCGCGATATATCGAAACGATAATCGTGCGCTGAATCGGTGATTAATCCGCGATTTTTTGCGATATTTTCAGCGATTATTGCGATAAATCACGATTTATTTACCGATTATTTTGAACATCAATCATGGCGTTATCGTTAATTTGACCCAATCCAATCGAGATTTTATTTATTTTTATCGATTAAATCTAACCTGTTCAATTTGCTTTTATTTAAAAAAAATCAAACCATTTTTTTCATCTGGTATAATAGAAATCACCAGTTATCTACGTACCACTATACATTGCGCTTCGATTAAAACAATTAACCAGTTCAAAGAAAAATAACAACAAAAAAAATCACAATTTCAACATACGAACAATCATGAAGATTTGCAATTGTAACATATCAATGACATGAAATCAAAGCGGAAGAAGTAAACCAAATTAAATGTAATATACATATACTATAAATGACGAAAACACGTAGAAAATCTCAAATACAAGTTAATCACGAAAAATACAATAAAATAATGCGAATATCATCTTTTGGAATATTTTCTCAATTGATGAGATCATTAATTCTGTTCATTTACTTCGGGAATGTTCATGTTTTGTGGTATTAATGATATCAATTGTGTTGATTGTTTTTCAAAGTCAACAATAGAACTATTCGATTGTGTTAATTGATTTTCAGAACAACCACTAAGGTCTTTGATATCTACAAGAAAATACCATCAAAGCATAGTTAGATATCCATGACGAATTAAACATACCAGATATGAGAGTACTTTTTCGATGTTTAGCTTTAATATTTCTTCTTTTTGACTTGATACATTCAAGCATCGGTATCCAAACTGTTGCTAGTTCATCACATGTTAAACCAAACTTGATTTGAACAGCATCTATAATTTAAAAAACAGACCATAATAGCTTGATGATATTGTAGCGGTTAACCTTGAATAATTGTAATTCGTTTATCTGTATTAAGACAACGTGGATCAATATCAAGAAGTTCTTGTTCATCCTTAAATATTTTATCAATAGCATTTAAAACAAATTTGTTTGGTTTCGTTCGATCAGCTGGAATTTGAATGAGATCAAGTTCTTCACCTGTGCTGAATTTGTAAACCTATAGAACAAAAGCTAGAAAGAAAGTTAATACAAATCTACTTACACAACTACCACCATTGGTAGTGTTTGTTGATGTTTGAATTCCTGTGTCGTCTGACAATATAATTGGAATCTAGGGGAAAATAAATGAATAGTTTATTTAAATCTGTGTCCTCACTTGATGATGTCGCATAGCTTTCACCATTTTCTTTTGATTGTGTAAAATTAACTCGAGTGTTTGTTTATGATGATCATATAATTGTATAAGACCACCTATTTGCTTACGAAGATGAATAAAATTATGATTCAGTTCTTTGAGAATAGAATATGATGATTGATTAACATCAGGCGTATCTTGATTAGCAGTTGGTGTCGAAATATCATGTGGTCGAAGTCGCTTTGCAGATGATCGTCGAGAGATTGTTGATAGTTTACGTTTCTTCGACTTTGTTGCTGGTTCACGATTGAGAGGAGTTATTGAATGTTGATAACCAATGATTTTATTCTTCCCTTGTAGCTCATCACAGTTTTCATCATCATCGTCGTCGTCGTCGTCGTCGTCCGATGAAACTCGAGAAACATCTACTTTAGATACGAACAATAAAATCAATATCACAGTACTTATATATTTCGGATGTGACTTTACCAGCTTTATCTAATTCGTCGAATGAACTTGTAGTTAGTGTTGTATATGTTCGATTTTCATCCAAATCTGAAATAATCAAAGTAAATAGAACTCTTCTAATCATTCAGATAGTTTGAATAATTTACCAAAAGAATGTAATTCAACCAAATTTTTATTCAAGACATCTGAAAAATTACGGTAAAGAACTAAATTAGAATCTTTTCAATTAGTGATATACATATTAATACTATTGCAATAGTAGACTGTGAACAGTCCATAAGCAAAATACATGCATTAAAATGTTTTTATACAGTAGGGAATTTTACTAAAAGATACTCGGGTAATAAATAAAACATTCTCAAATTAAAATTAACATTGTAATAATAGAAATTGAGTTATGGATTCCCCTATAGCTGATCCATTAGTAAAAAAATTTATGATGCACCACTTTTTTCCATGTCGTAAAAGAATCTTTTGGTTCATCTGGAAAGACCATCGAAAGTTTAGCGAAAGTATAAGTCTAATATACATTTTAGGTTTCAATTTATTGATAAAAAGTTAAGCTCGGAAACGAGCTGAAAAACATAGTTGATTCTTGCGAGTATAATGAAGCACAACCACAACAATTTTGAAAGTAATATCAGCATATTGAAACAATATTTTCTTATACACTGTTTGGTATCAGTGTAAACTATATCACGATTTTAATCAAAAAATAATATCTTCTAGTACTCATTAAATCATAAAGTACTTTTTAATAAGCTATTAGCCATCTTCCTATTTGGATGAATGAGTGAAATGTAACTGAAGCTAAAATGATTATCATGCGTCACATGTGAATCAATACTCAACCCCTGAACACAATAAATATTTCAGTTAAACTTACTCGTTTGGTCTTGATTTTTGTTTATCACCGATTTTTTTCGTTTAAGCCATTCTTCAGTATCAGATACAATATCAGCGTTCATTGTATAGGTAGATAATTCTTCTGTTTCCTTGGCTAGCTGTTCCATATCGACTAGTGTACCTTCAATAAAAATAGAAATGTCTGATGAACATATTTACACAGTTGGAAGTTACCAATTCGCTCTACGGTAATACGATAATTTTTGTTTTTTTCTCGAATAAAGCCTTTTCGAAACTGATCAACATCAATCAACCTTTTAACAGATACAACACTAAAACTATTCGGTTCTTCCATGTAGCTGATGAAAGCAAATTCTTCATTCTTTTGTACTCGTGGATCGGTTCTATATGCCTTTGCATATGTATTAGATGCCATCTGGAATATACAAATAATTTCTGTTTAGATTCATATTTTTTAACTATGATATAAAATAAAAGATAAAGATACAAATACAAGAAAGTCTAATCATGTTCATAATCTACACGGACTTCAGAAAGAAATACGCAATCATGGAATTTAACTTGAATACACTTATGACATATATTGACTATAGGTACAAAAGTATATGATTTGCTCAAACTTCTAAGAGGAAAAATTTCATCCAATTTAGATTTTAGCTCTGCAGGTACAGAAACGTAATCAGATATATTTTTTTCTGTGGCTTTATATTCTTGGATATAAGCATAATAACCATCATGATATTTTAAAAAGATTATAACTTGACCATATTTGATTGAAGAATCAGTAGATTTGTAAGAAATAATATAACTACAGCAACTAAACGGTAGATCATATAAAACTGTGTGATAAGTAACAAATACATCTTTAAATCGTAAAAATAAAACAATATCATTTTCGTTCTGAATAAATGTGCGTAAAATATTTAAAAAATCATTTCGATATTTATCAAAAATACGATTATTAATATTGATGCTATTAACACCCGTAGATTTCGAAAGTTCGAATGGTGGTCGAGTAACAATTGTTTCAATATTTATCCAGTCAGCAATTTGAGTACCAAGATTCCGTGTTCCGTGTGCTTTTTTTTTTAGATAACGGATAGAACTTTCAAAGCAAAAGGCTGACGTAAAACATAGTCCACCGTGTGTTAGAACTTGCTGTGGTAAATGCAAATGAGAATGAAGTGAAAATAATTCGATTGTTTCGCCATATATATGAGGTGCTGTTCGACAGTAATAATGTATAATTTTATCGGCTAAGTCAATTTCATTGTAAGACTTTGGACAGTGTAATAATTTCACAAACATTGAATACAATGCAAAATGAGATACCACAATAGGAGGCAAATGTACTAGCATATAAGGAAGACCAATAGATAATAAAAAAATTCGAAAATGTTTCGCTTTCCAATCACTACAGGAATTCAATGGGTAATTAAAATTGACACTTATATTATGAGGAAATCGTTGAGAAACTAAATTGGAATTGATTTCAGCAAGTGCTCCAGTATTTAACATTGTTAACCACCGGTGTATCAAAGTTGACATGTGGCCCAGACAGCATAAATGCATATAATCCAGAATGATTTGCTTCGGATACTCAAAAATTTGAAGTAATGGTGACGTACCTTTAATTCCATCAATACTGCTACCTTTTCTTCCACTTGAAATACGATTATCAACTTCTTGAGCGGTTGCTAAAAACTCAACATGAGTTCGTTGTCGATAACTATTTTTATTGTACGGATAAAGTACTTGTCGATTCTGGTACACACCTGCAACGGAAAAAAAACATTAGAAGCGTTCGATTCAAAACAGGAACAATTGAATGGAAGAAAATTTAATTGTATACCTTCAGTGAAACAGTTAGAGCATGCGTTGTATCCATTGTAATTTATTGTTTTCCAAAAAAGTGCTTTCGCAGGTAAGTCTGAAACAAATAGTTGAGTTTTCACTGTAATGGAAAACTGTAAATTATTAACAATTAATGAGGATGGAACTGATAGTTCCAGTAACTGTTGAATACAATCATTCATAAATATATTCACATCAGGTTTAATGCATGATGTCCATAAACATAAAACAAGAATATTCGCTTGCTTTTCTCTAACTTGTGGAGGAAGCTCAACTATCGAAGCTAAACATGGCCACAAAGCAGATTTTGTCGTACGCACCAATGGTGCGCCGTCAGTATGAACATTGAGAGTAATAGGACAAATACTATTATTATATGTATTATTCAATTGAATTGGTAATGTTGTAGATGCTTTGTACTGTGCACCAGCATTGATGTCAAAAGGTTGCATTAATTCAGTTTTCCCAATTAAAGAAATGTTTCTGGTGATTATAGATTTTAATTGTTTTTTAATATCCAACGTTACAACTTCACTAATATCACGATTGCGTAAGGATTGATTCAATAATTTACATTGATCATTACCACAAAATTTTTTCCAGTACGTATGGCACATAATTCAAAGCAAGAATTGCAATAAAATTTTGATGATGACCTAGGCATAACATCTATTGTTTTGATGATAGCACTGTATGTTGTTGGTAATAAATTGGGAGTAGGTAAAAATAATTTGAAAACTTTTAATATACGTTCAACCGCAGACTTTGGAAAATTCAATTCAATTGCCATGGACATAATGGTCGTAGCAGCAGTCTTCACTGAAACATATGAATTTTCGTATAAAGGTGAGCTTGAATCTGAAGACGAATCAGTTAAATTTTCGTTCCAATAAAAATCATCATCATCCGGTTTGTATGTGATAGTATATGAATTTGAATCATGAGAATAACAAATATCATCTTGTGTACATGTGGTGTTTTCTTCAGCTCCAATGGAACATTCATTTTCGATATCAAGAATTGAATCATTATCGGATAATATACTATAGTAATCAATATTATTTAAGATATGTGATGAAGCTTGTTTTTGGTGTCGACGTTGCTGTTGTTGCCGATTTGATCGAGGTTTATATGATATTTGAGAATTTAACATCTAAAAAGTATTGGAAAAATATGAAACTTAGAGATAGATAACCAATGATATTGGAAAAAAAGTCAGCATTGGAATCCTCAGGTAATACCAGGATCGATACTCTGCTATTTATTGGCATAACACTCTCGCTTTGAATTATTATTAGCGCTGCCAACGATATTAGATAGTATTACTCGACTCCATCAAACGAAATTTGCTTTGCAAATTTTCTGTAAGACATGATGCGATGAATGCCTAGTTTCATGAAATAAGATGAAATGATCTGTAAGTTTTACAGGATTATATTAGACGGGTAGGTTTTTTGTATCAGTTCTTTGGGATACGAAGGCGCAAGTTTTTCTTCCGATCTATTTCCATTTATGACACTATCAACTACTCATGCATGAAGAGTATTTCGTTTGAAAAATTCAATAATAAATATTATTAACTAGATCAATTATCACGCGCACTGACTTCATGTTTTCTTAGTCTTGTGAATTTAAAAATAACAAATTATTTATGTCTTAATTCATTAATAAATAATGAAGATGAATAAAAAATAAAAACTTTGAAAAATGAAATACAAGAAAATTTATTAAAGAGACTGCCAGAGATAATAAAGAAAGAAATTTGAAAAGCACGAGAAAGATACATTCATCAAACATGATCTGAAGTACATGAAAGATCCTCGATCGCTCGCAAATAATTCAATTACTTGCAATAGAAAGAATAGATATAATATCGAAATAAATATTAAAGAAAAATCCAATTAAAAGTTAATTTATAACCAGCTAGTGAATACAAAGAATGATAGAAACGTTGATCGTTGTGATGATTGTCCAACCAAATGAATGCTATGCTACTGACATCAAATAAATTAGTTTTAAACTTCCTTTTGTTCTGTAATAATTATACTACTAAAACAAGAATTTGATACATTTATAATAAATATTTGATGTGAATATATGTCAAATTATAAATTATTTAACAAAGAACTTTTATCTGAGTAAAACACAAGCTTCGATTAATCGCGATTAATCAATATGATTTTTTGGCGATTATACGATTAATCGTTCTTTTCTCCAAACATTGCGATAAAGTATGTTTTAATCATTAACTGTTCTGTAAAATATGATTAATCAGTACTTTACGCCGATTTTTTTCAAAATCACAAAAATCGCGGCGATTTTCACGACATGGGTACAATCTTGGCTGGCGAGGCAAGAAATGTCTCGCCAGGCAAGATTCTTGTGTTCTTGTATGCTTGTCTGTTTCGTGTTTTCTTGGAATTCTTACAAGATTCTTGTTTCTTGTCTTTCTGGTATGATTCTTGTTTCTTGCCATTCTGACAAGATTCTTGTAAAATAAATGAATCCGATTTATCCAACAATACAGTTGCCTCTTTCGTTACTGTTATATTCTTATTTCGAATTTCAAAAACGATACACAAAAAAGTAAAAGACAATTGCAACAAAATTTGCAATTAATTCATATCACAAACACAAAAAGAATGTTGAACAAGAAATAAAGACGAGGAACAAAAAGTAAAAACAATTTTTTCGATTTAAAAAAAGTTTATTAAAATGTGTCGTCGTTGTCCTTGTCGTCATCATCGTCGGCATGCAAAATAGATAATGTTTCAATAGTGGCTCATCCTAAAGGACAAATAAACAATACAGAGATTTTACATTAGAGTAGCTCATTTATAACAAATTATTTACAATAGGTTCAACAGGTGGAATCAGCGAAGATAATTGAGTTGGATAAGGTCTACTTTTACGATTATCACGCCACCGTCGTTGTCTCAGTGTACGAGGTGCTGGTTCTGAAAAAAATATAATATGCAAGTCGAAAATAAAGAATATTGCATAAACGTATAGATACTACCTAAATTACTAGCAACATTGGCGTATACCGACTGAAAAAAATTGTCCGAATTTTCTTGATCCATCATTCATAGGAAAAATCTATAACAAAGAAAAAAATGAGCCAATATGTTAAGAATAATGATATATATTCATTTATCACATTGGAATAAAGATAATGCTGAATATCATTATTTTAAACATCTATCTTTTAAAAATCATTCTTTTAATTTGTATAGCTCTTCTTTCTATTTCCAATCGAAAGCAATGATCAAAAGATGTGGTGCACATACCGTTGACTTCTTACAGTTACTTTTTATGTGTATGACTTTCGACGCGTCGGTTCACAATTACAAATGAGTTAGATAACGATCTAACCAACCGTCTATACGTATACGATTATATATGGACAAAAATATCACATGGACTTTTCTTTAAGATATATAGAATCGTTGAAAAGAAAAGAAAAAAGATTCTTGTCTGAATTTCAAGAAATTTGAAATATCTTGTAATTCATTCCAGATTCAGATTTTTCTGATGAATCAGACTAGATTCATATCATCTTAAACTTCAGACAAGATTCTTTGGGAGAGGAAAGAAACAAGATTCTTGTCTGAATTTTAAAAAATCTTGAATATCTTGTCATTCTTGCCTGATTCTTATTTTTCAGATGAATCAGGCAAGTTTCTGTTTTTCTTGAATAAAAGGCAAGAATCTTGTTTCTTTCCTTTCGCGAAGAATCTTGTCTGAATATGATGATTGTAAAGAATCTTGTCTGATATTCAAGAAAAACAAGAATCTGGACAGATCGAAGTCAAGATCGTCGACTAGTGAGGACTATTGACAGCATTAACTTAATTTTGTAGTAGTAGAAGCCTTCATCGTAAGAATAAAATATTTAATGATAACTGAATCAATCTAACTGAAAGCTGAGACTAAAAAAAATTATTTTTATTTTTATTTTCATTTGTAAATTTGAATATTATTAATTGAAACAGGCGAAAGATCAAAGTTTTATGCAATATTCACGAATCATTTCATTTAAATATGTTATTATTATTGATAATGATCTTATATAGATCGAAAGCTCTAATGATTAATCATCATCATCATCAGTAGAAACAAGAACCTTACCAATAACAAGAAATAAATGCTCATTGATTGTGAAATATACAAAACTTAACCTCAAGCATTACCTCTAAAAATAAAAATAAAAAATTCTTTTAGTGACAGCTTTGAATCAGATTGATTCAATTAGCATTAAATGTAACAGCATTGGAATTGATTAAACACATCTGTAGTTGAAAAGTGAATAAAACAACAACTTTCGAAATTATAATCATGAGCATGAGATGTTCTTGAAAATATGAATGCTTTTTAAAAGAATTCAAATATTCTTTTTTAGTTTATTTTTAAACATACAATAGAAATTATTTTCATTTAAAGAGAACAAAAACAAACGACGTGAATATGAGCCATAAATTTTAATGGTTGTATGTAAACTTTCCATAATATTAATCATATATTTGATTATAGTATGTATCAAATATTGAATTCATTCAATTATGATGATAAATATAGAAATTCTCGACGTCGTTGAAAATGAATATATATGACATGTAGAATGAAAAAATAAATTATCGAACAGAAAAATGATTCTTCACATAAGTAATAAATCATATAGACAACATTGTATTTGAGCAAGATGTATTTTTATATTAAATAGATAATAATTAATGAATAAAACAGCTTTAACGAAACATTTTCTTTTTTCAATAATATAATATGCTTTATCATGATGAATCAATAAACACAAAATTTGTGGCATCTTGAATTTGAATATGAAAGTATCTGTTTGAAACAATCACTTTTTTCGTCTTTTAGGCAATGGTTTTCGATTTTCTCTAAAATAAAAGTAATTAAAATATCAATTATATAATCAAATCGATTTTTTCAATTAACTTTGAAAAAATAATATCTGGATCGAGCTATTTTATATTTCTCGATATTAAATCGATTTCTTCATCATTATCAACTACGGGGAATATTGAATCATATGGTGAATTCTCAATAGGATATTATAGATCAAATTTATTTAATTCGTGTCTAGTACTGTAATATAAGTTTGTACAAGAGTGGATTTTCTTTCACTCTCAATACATGTTTACTTGTCGGTCAAAGAACGTGCTAATCAAATCAATATAAGTCGATGAAACTCGCTTGAAAAAATTAATTGTGCTAGACTACGATTAAAATTCATTCCTTTTCCAGATGAAAAATCTTTAGTTTTACTAGCCTAAGCAATAAAAGATATAGGTTGGTATGTATATTTAATATATCAAATATACATTTTGGTGTTCGTCACCAGATGATGCCCAGAAATCAATGACTAATATATCAATAGTTTATATTGAAGTCTAGAAAATATGACGTCACGGACAGAAATTTGCAAGTGCGCTAAATAAATACACTCATTAGTGCTGCTATTCGATTTATTCACATTAATGAAAATATTATTCAGTCGGTCGAGAACATGACAATATAATTTCTAACAGAAAAATTTACTTTGTAGAAAATAAATACCGATATCAATTAACTAGCGACAAGGTTATGCTGAAGTTTTGTCTCAGGTCACTTTGATTTACTGATTTCCTTTTAACTAAATAAAAGGCTGGGTTCAGTTAAAATAAATATCTTTCTGAAGTTTTAAACGCATATGTTATTCAAATCAAAAGTATAGTCTCATGCTTTTAAAAAGCGAAATAAAACATTGGTAGACGTCCTATGTGAATAATCGCAAACAAAAAACACATCTTTCTAGAAAAATATCTTTCGGTTAATATGGAATTGGGATAATGCTTACATTCAAGAACAGCTTGTGCAAATCGTCTATTCGTTTCATCGAGTAAAACTGTCATCGTTGCTTTTCTAGACAAACACATATCATTGATAAAAATAATGAACACGACCGAAAGATACATACTCTTTGATTAAAAATAAACCTTTTGTTTTTTTAGGATCTTCGCCAAGGTCACTTAACATTTGAAAGTCATTTAACACTTCTACAAATGTAAAAACAAAAGATATGATCGAAGAACATCACCTTAAAAAAATTACTTTGATAATGCTCAAGTTCGTAATTGACGTTTATTCTTTTAATTATATGTAAAACAAGTGCTTTTTTTGTTATATCATCCGTTTTATTTTTCTGGAGATAATCAATTATTGTGTTCAATTCCTAAAAAGAAACTCATAATTTATTCATTTCGCAAAAAGTCTATATCAGCATACCTTGGTGGCCTCTTGTAAATTTCTTTCATAAAGATACACGTCTAATCGAAATAAATGGTCAGAAATTGAATTGCTAGAAGGCATCTTTATTGACTATGTATATACAGCAGGCGGCTCAACTATTTATACTAAGGACATAACAAAGCTCGGCGAAATCGTTCAATGAAGTCGATAATCATACGACAGATTACTTATAAGACACCAATAAACAAGAAACAAGAAGATACAGAATGGGCAAAAAAAATAAACAAATCAGTATTGATTGCGTAACATGTCACCATCTACATTTCGACATAAAATATTTAACATATCTTTTCTGCAGACGTACCGTCATTTAGGTTGTTCATTACTCAACATAAGGAAATATTTCATCTGTTTGAAAAATTTTTTAGGTTGAAATTTGACTAATTAAAACTGAGAATATATATGGCACAGTTGACATGAGAATTTAGTTGAGATTGGAATGCATTGAGAAAATCGTATGGCTCATCTAGTAATTAATTTTTGTTTGTTTTTATTTTAAAATTTTTAATTTAAAGTGACTTCTGACTGTTGAGTTTTCTTTAAAATTTAATAAAATATTTAAAAATAAAAATTTTCTATTTAAGATTTCTTTAAAAAAAGCAATATAACCACGAATAAATAAACAATTACTTTCGTGATGGTCATAGCTATGAAACATTTAGATAAAAACTTAATTAAATGTCTGATTCTCTCATTAGTTATATATTTTGTTTTTGACATGCGATAGTTTTTAAATAAAATGAACATTTTTAATTTTTAATTACAATCTTATATTGATACATTAGCAGAAACTAAACGTAATAAATACACGATCAAAAATGAGATGTATTCAAATATTTTGAGTGTTTTGAAATCGAACGACATAAATATGGCACCTAAATTTAAGTTTTAGGTCAAAAAAGCATTTAAAATTATTGAAATTGGATCAAGTGAATTAGTCTATGATATTAAAAAAAATTTACCACTCATTACATTTGAAAACCTATATGAAAAAATAAAAGAATGTCATGTTGCTGTTGGTCACTCTGATCGAGATAAAACCTGGTCAGAGGTTAGATGATACCATCAAAAACAATTATTTTTCAATTGATAGGTTTTTAATAGGTTAAACGACGTTACGCAGGTATTCCACAACAGGCTATTGATATATGCATACGTATGTGTGATGCATGTCAAACAAGAAGATCAATACCAAAACCTGCTTGTGGAAAACCAATTCTCTCAGTTGGTTTTTTAACCAGATTACAGGTTGACCTAATAGACATGCATAGTGTTCAACACAATGGTTTCAAATTCATTATGTATGTAAAAAACCATTTCACGAAATCTAGCTGGCTATTTGCTTTACCTTCAAAAGAGGCTAATAATGTTGCTGCTCATTTACGTAACATTTTTTATACATTTGAACCACCAAAAATATTGCAGTCTGACAATGGAAAAGAGTGTGTGTAAGAGATATTTAGTAATACTATTCATCTAGTTAGGTTTTAATAGAGCAAAAATAATCTTGGAACTCAAATCAACTTAGTCAGACTTAATCATTATAAATGTGCGTCCAAGACATCCGCAAAGTCAAGGTTTAGTTGAACGAGCGAATACTGTTGTACAAAAAAGTTAGGTAAATGGCAAGAAACAAATAAAACTAATGATTGACCTAATGGTTTAGGTAGACCACATTTAAAAAAAATAATTTTTAACTTCAACATTACCTAATTTTCATGAAAATTAAGGCCCAGTGATGCTAGCTATAAATAATTGTGTATCACAAAGTACACAAAATACACCATGTGAAATGGTTTTTGGTCAATCGGTACATACTAACGATGATTTTTGGTTAGAACTGCATAAACAATACTCAAATAATTTAATTATAAATGAAGAAAAATTACCTGAATTTATTTGTCAAATTTTGTCTTTAAATCATGGAGACGTAAATTTCGCATAGTCGAGTCTATAAATAAATTCGTATTTTAGTTGACAACTAAAGATTCAAGTAATACTACTGATGATTTTCCTATACCATTACTATCATCAGATACATGTTTGACAAATACAACTGAGTATTTTTAAATTAAAAAAAAATTAAATATTACATTTTTTTAATACATCATAGTAATACAACACAATCATCAGATAAAAGAATTCGTGATGAAGCTGAAAAATGCTACATTCTTACAGCTGGTAATTTGCTAAAATTCAAGAAAACTAACTACATAGTTTAATAAATAAGAGAGAAATTGTTATAGTGTAATTGTTTTTATGACTCATACTGGATTACGCTATTGTCCTTTCTCCTTCTGATTTTGTCCATTGCCATCGGGTTCTTTTTTGTATGCATTTTATAATACTATGTTACGACTTCAAATGACTCAGTAATTTGTATGTTCTTGATTGATTATACATTTCCCCTTTTTTTTTACCCCTGGTCTTTTATCATTTTTTTTAACTTACCGTAGCTGCTCTTTCGAAAACGAATGAACGATTTCTACGTGATGACTTAAAGATCATAGTTATCATAAAATGTCAGGAAATTTAAAAACTATGGGAAAAAAGTCGAAATGTAAGAGTGATTTGTGTTTATTTTATCAAAATTTAAATTTTTTAATGGGATGATTATAGATTAAATTCTCTAAAAAGTTATATACATATATATAAACGATATTGAATTCTTCTATTATTATTGAAATGCATTTGTATAACTTGGTTCTATAAAAGTATTTTATTATAAGATTTAAAAACAATAATGCATACTAAGAAAACAAATGTTTTGAGAAATTATCTTTAAAAAAAATTAGCTTTAATAAGCGTTTAAAGAATTTCATTATTGTGTTTTCCGATCAAAATTTGAAAAATAAATATTAAATAAATTATTAAATTGCAAATAAAAATTTTTAATTGATAAATAATTACATTTTAAAATAAAAATAATTTTGATTGGGAAAAAAATGTCTTTTTAAAGAAAAGTAGTTAAATTTATTAAATACATGTATTTAGAACTTTCTTAACTAAACATTAAAGTATAGAACTTGCTTATATATATATATATAAATATATATATATGTATTTTATATAGAAATAAGGATTTAATATTTTGATAAATAAATAATATTTCAAAGTTAATGGGAATAATAGATATGATATCACACTTAATGTTTGTTGTGATATGCAGGTGCTTCAGTATTTGCATCTTTATTATTTTAAATAACAATTTTGTTAATTTTATTATTCTTTTGAAAAAAAAATATAAAAACTTTTTTTTATAAATCATAGAACGACAGTATAAGAGTTATCACGTTTCTGTCAAAAAACAAAAAAAAATTTCAAATTAATGATATAGTAGGCCTAAAAATATCAGAAGTTGAGCGCACAAATACTTCACCATCCATATTACCATGCAAAATAGTAGATGTATTAACGAAAGAAGATTCATCTTGTTTACAATATAAACTAGCCACGTTAGATGAAATAATAAATGATTGGTTTTCATCAGTAGACATAATTGATTTATCAGAAACATTATCTGCTGAATTAAGACAATTAGATACTAAAAAATTCTCGAATGTAGCTTTTATTCAGGTAAGTCAAATATCTACAAATTTTAAATCAAGAGATACTTGTAAATGTACTGGTTCTTGTGAGACTAATCGTTGTCCATGTAAAAAGAGATCGATTTTATGCTGTAGTAAATGTCATCGTGGTAAATGTTCTGATTGTAAAAAGGGGAAATGTATAATCAATCAAGAACATACAAATTACTGAGTCATTTGAAGTCGTAACATAGTATTATAAAATGCATACAAAAAAGAACCCGATGGCAATGGACAAAATCAGAAGNATATGTTACAGGGTGTCCAAGAAGTCCACCACCGAAAAGCAACTAGAATAACTGCACTTTTTTCCGATCGAAGTGGCTGATTATTTTCTTCGGTGATAGAGGTAAACTCAAGGTTTTTTCTTGTGTGGAAGAAAGTTTATGAGTACTATTTGAACTAGTACCATTGACTGAAATACAGACAAAAACAGAACTTTAACCTTTAAGAAAATGGTGTAAAGGGTATTTTGAAAATATTTTTCATTCGAGTTCAACTTTCAATCTAACCAATCGATAGAGAAAATTGTTCTCTTTCGATCTGTGTAAAGTTGACGTCTCCAGTTTGCTCCGTTCAGCCACTATAACCATTGTCACAAGGGTCTCCAAACTCGTTCACACAATGTCTGGCCATCCTGAAATGGATCAAGATTAGAGTAACCGTCCATACTAAGTTCAGTGGTGGTATTTGTTTCGAGTTTTAGCGCAATCCAAGGTCGCCAAGTCGAGATTTTCATACTTCTAGCATTCTGTCGAGACCTGTTTTTTTAAAATTCGACTAAGTCGCTAGAGGTGGCTTTAGAACGTAAAAAAGATATCACCACTGAACGTAGCATGGACGGTTACCCTAATCTTGATCCATTTCAGGATGGTCACACATTGTGTGAGCGAGTTTGGAGACCCTTGGGAAAATGGTTATAGCGGCTGAGTGGGCAAACTGGAGACCTCAACTTTACACTGATCGAAAGAGAACAATTTTCTCTATCGATTGGTTAGATTGGAAGTCGAACTCGAATGAAAAATATTTTCAAAATACCCTTTTCACCATTTTCTTAAAGGTTAAAGTTCTGTTTTTTCTGTATTTCAGTCAATGGTAATAGTTCAAATAGTATTCATAAACTTTCTACCGCACAAGAAAAAACCTTGAGTTTACCTCTATCAGCGAAGAAAATAATCAGCCAATTCGATCGAAAAAAAGTGGAGATCTTCAAGTTTCTTTTCGGTGGTGGAGTTCTGGGACACCCTGTAGATAAACGAACAGATTTCGCAGTAACAATACGTCGCATTTTTTTCGGCTGCGATCGGCTGGGTTATGTTCACCACTTTCTTGTGAACGTTCGACCACATATAAGTCTTTGAATTACACTTTTCTTTTAAGTTATTTCCTTTTCTGAAAGAAAGGGTTATACGCAGCTTAAATATCTTTAAAGTTTGGATGTTTGTTTGCCAAAGCAATCAGATTTCAGTATCCACTGAACGAATGAAAAATTCAGCGCCCGCTTTTCGAAAGAGATCTACCGAAGATAGTCGGGGTCGGGGAATCTGAATCAGAGGTCAAATTTTTAGAATTTTTTTTCTAATTTTTTCGGACCTTGGAGTAGTTTTCTACGAAAAAAAATTAATTTGTACAAAGTTTGACGGAAAGTAATGGGGGTCAGGAGTCGGTCGGTTGCATACTTCTGGGTGTTTTTATGAGAGTGTGAGTATCGGTGTTGATAGCACATCTAGCCGCAGCGATATTCACACATTGGCACAGCCTCAAGATAGCTATGTGTGGAGCGTACTCGAATTTAACATGATCACGTGTTGTCCTAAATAAAACAGGAAATTTGGCATTTTCGCTTTAATGACGGGTGGCCCAGAATAAATTAGAGCGCTAGTGTTTTTATAATTTCCCCTCTATCACCCCCATGATGGAGACACGGTTTTTATCAAGAGATAGCGCTTGAATTTCTCTACCAAATTATATATGACTAGGCGAAAAAAATTGTTTAGAGATATTTGAAAAAAGATGAAAAGTAACGACACGTAAAAAGCTGTGAAAGATGATGGGTTGGATATAATGAATTACCGCGTTAGCATCTCATTTTTCTATCACTTACTTCATCCTATTAGAAAAGCAAAATATATCAAGATATGCAGCCTGAGATGCTCTACAATTTACCAAGAAAAATTATAAAAAGACGGAATAAGAAAAGACACGAATTCATCTTCTACCAAAAATTACATTATTTTCGCAGGATTGAAATTTGACCGCCCAAAATTTTGTCCATTTTCAAAACAAAAAGTGTGACTATAAAAAAAGCAGTCATGTGGATTATAGAGCTTTTCACGCTGCATCTATTGGTATATTTTTTTTTCCTAATAGGGGGAAGTAAGTGATAGAAAAATGAGACGCAAATGCGGTCATTCATAATGTCCAACCCGTCATTTTTTACGGCTTTTTATATGCCGTTACTTTTCATCTTTTTTCAAATATATGTAAAACAATTTTGTGGGCCTAGTAGCATACAATTTTGTAGAAAATTTCAAGCGCTATCTCTTGATAAAAAAACGTGCCTCCCTCATATGGATAATAGAGGAGAAATTATAAAAAATACTAACAGTCTAATTTATTCTGGGCCACCCGTTATGTCGTTTTATCTGCTTTAACTAGGACTATAACAGTTCAGCTCAGCTCAAATAACTGGTAAGAGCTATCCTATAGGATACCTTTATGATCTCGAGGGTGTGGCTGTGGCTGTGGCTGTGGGTTTGGGTTTGGGTGTGGCTGCGGCTGTGGGTTTGGGTGTGACTGCGGGTCCTCTCTTAAGCGACGCTGACACTTACCCACACCCACACCCTAAATAGAGACTGAATACAGCAATATTCGCCATTGCATTCGGGAAACTAATTTCACGTCATCTCTATGTGCTACATCAATCTCTCAACTCAACTATCAGTATTATCAAGACGCTTTATTGCTTTCTAATAGGCATTGACATTGTATTACTTCGTTTTTTTATTTGAGATCTTACTTACTGGTCATATTCTTAATCTATAGTAAGCAGCATACATTCGTATACGTAAGTATAATCTTGAATAATATGCAAACCGATCCATTGTGGACGCCGAGCCTTTTTGACACCTTTTCTTGAAACATTCTTTTTACTTTTATACAAGAAACCAACTAGGTACCGTTTCTACGTTTTCTTTATTTTTTTAATTTCATAATTATCTATTCAGCATAACCGTCAGACAATAGTCAACTAATGGCATATATCAAAAGCAGATGAGAATAGATTTTCATTTCTGTTAAAAAAAAGATTGCGTTTTTTTCTTATGTATAGAGCAGAATCTGAATGTGATGAGACTTATCCAAAATTTATGAAATTATAGAGAAATTTGAATCTCATTTTTCATTGATACATAATATTCGGTGATGAGAGTGCTTCAACACACCTCGTTTCACTTTAGTCATGTGAATGAGAGTTTTTTTCGATAGTACTGAAAGAAAATGTCTTGTATCAACTTGTTTAAAAAAAACTGAGTTATAATGCTTTTTTCGTTAAAGTAGAAGAGTATTGATTAAAGCGTGATCTTTTTTGAGCTTCTTTCACCTATATTTAAGTTGATAGTTTTACTCGAATTTGATTTCAGTACATTAAGATATGGAATGTAGATTAGTCTTGAACAATCGCACTGATGGTGAAATAACTAACAATGATATGAGCGGTAGATTCCATCAACAATTGAAATATTATAAGTTTCGTCACGTTCCATCAAAGAGTGGGCAAGACATATTTTATCTTTTCTTTCGGAAAGAAGAAGAAACATATGCTGCTTTTCGAACAGCAAAATCAATAAAAGAAATATCAGTTGATAGATATTATACATCTGATCCTATTGATTCACAATCTGTGTTTCGACCATTTCCACCGAAACAAATTATTGATACCTGTCGCTATGCATCTAGAAATCGTCTTCGTAATTTTGATAATGTGGCATGAAAGTTTATTTTTATGAGTGTTGAATATTTTACCCTTATACGTATGAATTTTTCAAAACATTCATTCGCCGTCTTTCTGAACAAATAATGGCTCAAAATAAAACAACAGATGAGAAGATGTTATCTTCGCTTTTCATGACTGCTTCTAAATTATATTTCCGATTGTTCTTACGATAGTACACGAGCGAATTGAACATTTGAAAACTTGGTGGTGGTTGAATAGCCAGTTTTTAGTCAAAAACTATTGCTGTGTACAAAAGCTTTTGGGCGTTTATTTTGGTTAGAATGCTTTTTTTTATGTGTAATTAATATTTTTTCTTGTATTATTGAATTAAGATTCATTATTGTTTGCCACTAACAAATTCTCAGTTCATTCTTCCTACCTGTGTTGTTGATGAGCTACTGTTTTTCTTTGTAGATGATTTTTCATTCATGAATAAAGTATTATCCTGTCGTTACTGCAAATATTTTCTCATAGTGATACAGTAGATAATAATTGATTTGTTTTCACGTTTTTATATCAATGAGAATGGTGAACACTGAGTTGTTGCTGTTAGTGTCGACAAATGTGACTTTATGGCGCTAACTTATGTTCAGAACATATATATATATATATTCTTATCCTTCCTATTGAATATATATCACTCTAAAAAAAATAGGTTTTTCACGGAACCTTAAAAGTTCCACACTTTTGCACCGAACCTTTTAAAGTTCTGCGGAGTGCAAATGGATTCGTGGTTCCCTTTCTGAACCTTTTTAAGTTCAGCAGATTTTACAGGGTTCGGCCAATTTGCGACGGAGTTTTTTGCAAGTCCCGTGAGGTGCTTTGTGGTTTCGTAGATCATGTACTGAACCTCTCAGAGTTTCGTGAAATGACCTAAGGTTTCGTACATCATCCACCGAACCTAACATAGTCTCCTAAAATGAACTAAGGCTTCGTAATATGCCGACAGAGCCATTGTTGACTTCGTTTATCAAAAAAGTAGTTCCGCCTTTTTGATACGGAGCCACCGATAATTTCGTTAATAATCCGAAGGTTTCGTGTTTTTTGCGCGGAACTACTCGACAGTTTCTGTATGCCTATGTGGTTTGGTCCATTTTACACGAAACCACGGGTAGTATCGTTGAGCATGCGTAGGATCTGTATTTTTTGGCAGGAACTCTTCTAATTTTCTGGTCGGCTACACGATTTAGTGCATTTCGAACGAAACGCTTCATAGGCTCCAACGTTATTTGAAGGTTTCGTACGTTTCCTACTGAATCACAATGGTTCCGTTAAATTTTTTCATATATTTCCCATAAAAACACGAAAGAGTATATGGTTCTGCGCCATACCGATAGTGGTCCTCCTTTCTTTCAATCATGGCGAGTTCAGTATTCGCGTCGGGATGGGTCTGATTAAGTCCACTACAAAGAGGCTCCCACCAAAAACATTAAAAGATTCCAACATTTCCATGCACCGAAGTCAAAACAATGTATCGTAGTGGCTACCTTACTTTAAGAGCTTTCTCTCCTTTCACGACACTTTCATTTAGGTTATCGAGGTCCAGCAACCCGAGTATGTACTCAGTTTTCCCCGTCCAGTTCCCATTGGTCAGAAAATCGGTCCCTCCCAGAGCCAAAAGCTGCAGAAGTAGCTTGAGCGTGCGGGTGTTGGTTTGTCGGTGTGAAATTTAGTTTTGTCTTTATCCACACCCACACCCATTTACGGTGGGAAACGGCAGTATACGACCGTTTCTGGTAGCCGTAATGCTCGACCTGGGCACACTCACACCCATATCTTATAAATTGCATGACGGAAAGACAGATTCAGTCATATATAGCTTCATTTTTTATTTGTACGAAAAATAGGTGGATAATCTCGACAATCGTTATTGAAAAAAATTAAGCTTTCACTTTGAACTTGTTGAGCCGATGTGCTCGATCCAAATAGTTGATTGTTGCATTGTACGCGGCACGGCCAATCGCATAGCCTAGTTTGTTGATTCCACCATAAATCGTATGGAACATTGTTAGCACGAGGGCAACGAAAATCAATTCTGGAGCCCGATACACATCGATGGAAGATATTGCAGTATTGACTGGACAAATATGCACCATTGGTCTGACCATTACAACTGACGTTCGAGTCGACAATTAAAAAGTCTTAAATTGAGATAAAGAAAGTATATGGATCGAGTTCTTTCACCTATATGCAAAACAGAGCAAACGTTTTAGCCTACCGACTCAGTCTCATTCATCCTGTTCAATGTGCTCGAAAACATTACTGACATGTACGTTTTATTTATTCATACATCAGAGGACGCACTGCTTTCAAGTAGACCACCAATATGTTGATATCAAAAACAATCTATGTCTACAAAAATCATACCACTGTAACAAAAGGAAAGAAATCAATGAGAAAATATAAAATAAATACTATCGAAATGCTATTTCAATATCTAAACGATCAATAAGCCTCGCTGCATGCTAATATCACAATCAGATGAAGATAAAACAACAAAAGACAGAGATCATCAAACATGAAAAGTTAGTCAATGCCTGGTCCAAGATGGGACAATAAATGCTACCAAAGAAGTTATTTTTTGATTTAACTCAACTAAAATCCTACTAGGATATTCTAAAAGAGCATTTCTCGAATTGCTATATTAATCGTGACAATCAGGGTGACCATGGAGTTTCATTCGCGACCATCGTCGTTACTCATGGTCCATGAATTATTGAAGTTTTCAGTGGTTATAGATTACTATGAAATATCTGAACATGCATCGTGTAGCACAAGTCAAGATAGCGGTACGATATTAGTTAGTGCACTTTATCTAAGGATGAAATACACGAAGCTTACGGAATTCGAATGAAAATGGGCAGGTTTGAATGTATCACTTGGAGATTGACACTAATCATATAGACAAAGGAAGCATAAAAACGCATTAATCAAGAAAATGAACAATTATCAAAGAAGATGCTAGCTAAAATTTCTATTCCAATGATTATTTTCACTAGAATTTGCTTTCTTTCAATTTTTATTGTTTAAATCAGAGCTCGGACGAGTACAAGTAAAAGTACGTTTATTCAAGTACAAAAAAAGTACTTGTAGTTGCTGATGTACTTGTACCGAAAAAAATATACTTGTACGTGTACATCTACTTGTGTTTGTACTTATGGTTTCAAAGTTATATTGGTATATTTTTAGTTGTTGGGCACGTATGCTTGCTTCTATATTTGTGTTTCATAACGAAAAAGTTATTACTTTTGTATTCTAACTTGATGCATAAATGCATAGTATATTGTGCATAATGGTGTCTACCCAAGATGAGAAAGTATATTCTACATTTTTATGTACTTCTATATATGTCCAACGTATCTTCAAGTATTCTTAGGTATTTCTAAGCATTTCCATCTATTTCAAAGCGACAGAAATTCATGACAGATGCTTACAAATATCCAGAAATAGTTGAAAATACTTCTGGAATACAATGAAGTTATATAGAAATGCATGGAAATATAGAAAAACGCATTTTCTATACAGTTTGCTGATATGTAAGAAACCTTGGAGAAGCACTATAATATCATCTGCTCAAAATTCAAAAAGAAATAACAGTATTGAAAAGCAACCTTCCATCCTCCATTGCGAAATGCGTGGAAAAATTGTCCATTTCTGTCATTCTAGTTTCTTCAAAATGAGCTATTATATTCATAAACGACGATGATACTATAGGTCAATTTCATATATTAGCAAAATTATCGATAATATTCAGAAAAAAATTATGCCTATTCATATTCAAGATCCACAACACAAATACATAATGCCGTAATGAACTTTCAAACAGTTGGCATGAAACTTGTTAAATATGGATTCTTAGAGTTTTAAAAAGGAGATTCGCAAAGACAGATTTTTGAATATGAATATATAAATACATATATATATATATGGAGTCGGTCAATCTGATCGGGTATCCCAATTCTTTTTATTATCAAAATGCATCTATAATATATCAGATAATAGTGGTTTTTTTACTAGTTATAATACCTGTGTAGTGCCAACGAGCTATCGAGTATAGGAGGTCTATGACATGTTCAATACCAGAATAATCAAGCGTCTTCAGGAAATATGTTCATTAATATCAACAGATTTTCTGAAAATATTTGATTGTTTTGATTTCGAACATGTTATGGACCTATTGTGCTTGATAGATTGTTAGCACTACACAAGTATTATAACTGGTAAAAAAAATCACTATTATCTTATATATTATAGATGTACTTTGATAATAAAAAGAATTAGGGTACCCGGCCGACTGGCCAACCTCATATATATATACATATATTTGCCATTTCTTCGAAAATAGAGTCAACATCACTAATTATTCCAATGAAATATTGAATGTACATAAACAGGTCATCTGATCTATCTTAATATTTGACTAAAAAATTTTAAAACATTTCACACATTGAAATAAATATTCGATGATACAACGGTGCTTTTATTTTGAGTATATGTAAAAGAATTAAAATCATTTTCATTTAGCGATTGATTAGAATAAAAAATATACTACAACAAGGCTTAACATACTTATGCGCCATCTGTACCAGTTTCACTTAGAGTATCATGAAGAGTTGAAAATTATTACTTTAAACTTTTGAGTAAAGTTTCAATTTCAGACAAATTAAAAAATACATGGAATAAAAGAAATTATTTCCTATTTTGAGCAAATTATATAAAGTAGCCTTTTGCAGATAAGTGTAATTCCATAGCTATTTGCCTCGCATAAAAATATATCTGATTAATACTTTTTTCAAGTATAAGTACAAGTATAAGTATATGCACAAGTACAAGTACTAACGCAACTACCAAGTACTTGTACTTGCATTTCGTCATAAGTACTTCGTACTTATACGTGTACTCGAAAAAGTACGAGTACAAATACTTTCGTTCGAGCTCTAGCTTAAATAGGTATATTTACTTCTTATTATACACGCAAACGATGAATTCCTTGTCAACGTAGCGATTTTTCTGAAATCAAAAGCAGTAGTGTATACTTACTCCAGATAATATATTCAGTTAGGAAAACTTCTGACATCGATAGCTTCGTATGACTGAACTTGTTGTCACAATCACACATGTAACTCTTCTGGTGATGCTCACTTAGAAGTGCTGCCCATATTCTAGCGAGTAAATTTCTTGTTAGATCAATGTTCGTTGTTATTAGATTGTCCTTATCTCTACCAGTCAAATCAGCAAATGAGAACGAAAGCGAGTAATCTTAGGAAAACAATCGATTATTAGAACGGACGGATGACCACAGAGTGGTGCAGAGATGTTTACCATGCTACAGTATTTACTCGAAGCAATGACTTTGAGATGGTCAGTTACCTTTTGGTAATGATCACTGACCACCTTTAGTATGGGAGCTCATTGTCTCTCTACTAGTTTCTTTACGAAAATGGGTCTTAGGCAAGTAATTTCAATTTTCAAAGTTTCGAAAGCAAGATTGTGTTTCTCATTCATTGTGATAATGGTGCAGTAGTGACAGAATTTTGCTCGACCCAATCTGGCAGCAGTTCGATTGATAAATCTGACAAGGTGGATATTCCTACATTAGCGTGATGATTGGGTACATTACCACTCAGTAAAACAGTGCTCAAATAAATTAGAGCAGACGGTATTGTACGAATGATTCTGTATAGACTCGATGAAAGAGAACCTGAAGACATGAAGAATGGTCTGAAATAAATTGCATGCATGTATTAGACACAGAAAAGCAAAGAGATCCGTTCTGTAAAAGAAGGATGATTCTTGTTTAGTACTGATTCCGACACCGTGACCAGCATAAACATCGAGTTTTACTGACGAAAAATAACTGAATGAAAGCTTCCTAGAAAATTAGTCTGATAATTAAAACGATGTTCATAATCGAATGAATTTTCTATAATTGACCATTGTGAAGCTCTTTGTCGAAACGTCAGAAACAGTATGTTTGAAAATTTCTCAGACAGGCAGAAAAGGCTAAGCGTCGTTCCAACATGCAAAAAGCTTCCTTCATCAAAAATTTCGAATTTCTCAAAATAGTCGCTCAGTCGAATCATCACTCTATGGCTTCAACAAGGGAATAGATAGTTTGAATCTTGAAGAAACACTTTCACGTAGTGTTTTTATTCTTCAAGTGAAATGCTTTCATCCAAACAATCTGTCTCTGAACGCAGGATTCGCAATAAAACATCGGCCGATCAGTTTCATTTTATGACAGTCTGTCATGCGAAAGGTATTTGCTCTTATATTCGACAGAGCTACAGATTGGAAATATCATCAAAGCAACGATGGAACACATTTCACCAGCTACTACTAGTGTAGAATAGTTTCTGGTGACTTTAACCAAAATCAAGTTTTGAAACGAACAGAAACTATCACGAATACTAGAGCTTGCTCTGTTTACTAGGGCAGCTATACGATTCTCATGGTTGTACAAAGATTTTCTACTGCTCGTAGAGAGCTTGATGCAGAAAAGTAAGTACACTTCATAATCTTTGAAGTTGAAGCAAATAGATTTTGTTTGATTTACTTTTTGCGCCAGGTTGTCGTCCGGGTAATGCTGGTACAGTCGCGATCGAAGTATAATAATCATTTGTTTCACAGACACCCGTCTTATTGAAGGCAAAGTCGCATCTATATAAAGATGAGTAAATGTTTATCAAATCTGTTATTGAATGACACGAATAATTTTCAGGGTACATAGTATTAGTTATTTAGGCAGGAGACGGGTCTATCATCTTGCTAAACGTCTATCAAGCGCATATTTATTTTGATAGACTAGGGTGATCCTGCCACGACATTCACATCCTCAGAATGTGAAGTACGATAAATCCGTACTGTCAGACAGTTGAACCTTTAATCTCCTCTAGTATTGCAGGCGTCGACTGGGCACACAATCACAGGAATATATCCTGTGAGACGCGAACTATAGAGCTAGGATCGATGATCACCATTGTCTGCCGCATCATTGAATCCTATTCAGTCTATCTGTCTGCAATATTATGTGATGATGATTTATAATTAGCAAGTATTAAACTAAGAATTAATCAATATTTTGCCAGTCACCTTCAATGGAACAGATGACGATCGGTGCTGAATCGAATTTTTTCGCTGTATATTTGCAATATTCATTTTCAATCGTGTTTCACAAAATAGAGTTGAATGGAAGTACAAATTCAGATTCATCTGTTCGAAACGTATTAGTAAATTTTTTGACGAGTACTTCTTCAATAGTGATAGTATGTGTGGCAAGGGTCAAAGCCAAAAATTCGTAGATCGGAACTTACATTTGAGCTTTCTCATCGAAATAGAATTTTTCTCCAAATTGTGGACATCCGTATGATCGCTTATGTTCACCGGCAATGCACGCATGAAACACATCGCAGTACCTCAAATCACGCCAAAATCCATCAAGACGGCCTTTGCATTCGAATGGAATATTGGTTAGAACATGCTGATTTAGAGTTGGAGATGCAAAGATGAATACTAATGCTAAACAAAAAAATGGAGCATTGTTTTCTAGTGACAGACAAAAAAGACAAAACTTACCGATAAAGAAATTTTGTCTCATAGTAATGACAAACTTCTCTTTTTCTGAAGTACGTATAAAGTTACGAAATGCACACTAGATTTGAAAGGGTTATTTTTCCTTTCAACACGGCGTCACTACTGAATTATTTTCTTTTTCAATGATGAAAAACTGATGTGATATGCAACACCTTTATATCTTTTCTCTTTGACATTTTCAAGTCTTTCCTTTCTGCATCGCTATATGTTGATCTATAATCAGCTGACGCTTTTTTTTCTATTTCGTATTGTTTTAGTATTGCGATGATCGTTCTTCAACAATGCTACTAAAGGTTGCTTCTACGTAGATGTGAAAACCGATTAACAAAGAGAGAAAGCAGAGAAGAAGCATTACGACAAGCAAAGAATGAGGATTATGTTAAAGATCAGGGCTTTCGACGGTTTATTTTTTCAGCGACGCAGAATGACAATCGGTTTGTTAATGCTTCTTTAAAGTTCAATTTAAAAAACGGTACAATTTGAAATACAAATTTGGCTTTGTTGTGATACTTTCATGGCCATCTTGTGTCGGATTGATAAATGAACGACTCATTCTCTCTTTCGAGAACTAATGTCGCAAAATGAGAAATAAACATAAAAGAAGCGGAATTTCGTCAGTCGTATTCTATGATTTACAAAAGTATCTTAAAGTCACACGAAACTTTGAATGTGAGTGTGTGAGTGCTGATATGAGAGGAAAGAATAATAACATCCACACCAGGGGTCGCAACGTGCTGGGTGGGTCACGTATTTCTTCGGTCTACCTGGACCGGCTTGTTCTATTTTTTTCTTATGCATCAAAAATAACTGATGCGTCAGAATAATTGTCGGTTTCAATATTTCTTCAATAGTCCTTTCAGCTGTCATAGTTTCGGACTGACTTTTTGTACCAAAATATTCAGCCTTGAATGCTCTACAAAACCGCAAAAAAGTGAATCACACGGAGATAGAAACAAAGCAATTATTGTAGTAATACTTCTTCTAGCAAACATCGATATCAACTTTCAAAGAACTTGTATTCAAATTAATTTGCGCTTTTTCTTGCTAGTAAAACACTTTTAGAAAGCTTCACAGTAATATTTCTGATGCAATTATGAGCGCACTATATAATGAAACATGCGAAGGCATATTTCAACTAAAAAATATTGACAAAAGCATACAGTTTTTGGTCAACTAGTCTGCCTCTGGCATATTTCGGCTTTTTATTTGAATTTAGTCGATACGAAGTAATATTTCTGCAGAATTAATGTATAACTCCATGATATTCCATAGTATCAGCCAGTACCTTTAAAAAAAACAGAAGGTTTTCACCAAAAAAATAGTACTTGGTGGAGTAGCATGAATTTTTCAAGAAAACGAAAATTTACTGGAAAAAACGCGTTTTTTTAGAAAATTTAAAGAAAAAATAATACTTATTTTATCCAACATGTTTTGATTATGGAAGTTTTCAGTATACTAATAAGATAGAGCTTTTGAAGCCCTACAAAATTGGCAGTTAAATTTGTCTCATAGCTCGATATGAGAACGCATAAATACAGGAAGTTGTAGTTCGCGCTCGAAATTTGTTGATGTTACTTGTTTTGTGCATTACTACAATCGCTTTTTTGTTTCTATCTCTATGTGGTTCACTTTTTTAATGGTTTTGTAGAGCATTCACGGCTGAATCTTTTGGTAAAAAAGTCAGTTCAAAACTATAAAAGCTGAAAGGAATATTGAAGAAATGCTGAGACCGCCATTTATTCTGACGCATCCGTTACTTGTGATACTTTTTGCTCTCATATGAATTAGGAGATCTTTTGAAATTTATTAAGAAATCAAAGTCATACTGTGTACGTGTAGGAAACATTTTCTAAATGGTGCATTAAGTTTCTATCTTATCAATCTCAAGTATGATTAAAAGATAGTTCATCGGATTATGCCGGTCCGAGCGGGCGCGTCTAACTGACGGGTCGCAACGGGTCGGGTCGGTCCATGAAAAGTTGACCCGTTGCGACCCCTGGTGTTTATCTTCCATAGTTGACTCGATTTGGTGCGTATTTTGGTTATAAAGTGTGTGACACATACGCTTTGAATCGATAGTACAGAGGAATCGTTCGAACTATTCTGCCTACAGGAAGTCTTGTTGGATTCCGATGTTTGACTCCAGGATGGACTATGATTAAAGGCGATGTGGACAGTTGAAGAAGGGTGAAGAGAAGACTTCACTCAGTTACCCACATCTTTACCGTTATAGAAGATCGTGCACATTCAAACGAATAAAACGAGTTTTTGAAGTAACGACTATATGATCCGATACGAAATTATCATACAGACTGCGAAGATTGCTTGAAATACATCAGAGTCTGTTACCTATACAGAAATTTCTCAGCGTTCACCTATTTTTATTTTGCATTGCTCTTTTTAAAGATTACTTTCGTGGTTTATTCATACATCCACATCAAAGCAGTTTCACGAGCAACTGACATAAGCCCAATCTTCACATATTACAACGAAAACATTGCCTCAAGAACATATAGAAGACTAAAAGTGAACTTTCAGAATTCTTTTTTGTGATGTTTTCTTGTCTTTTTTAGTAGAAACTGTACTCATAGGAAATAGAGTTAATTTTTCTGGATTGTCTCGAAAGTTAACGGTCATTTAAAATGTTAATTTGTTTAAAATGATTAATGTAGTTCTGTGTTGAGAAAAACTGTACGATTATTCTCACTATTGGCAAACACTTTTTTGCTTGTTAATATAAATGGTTTGTACGAAGATGGCAGATTTTTCGTTTTATCAATAGGCATATAGGTTTCTGTTGATGGATTGTAGAACTCAGCAGTATTTGTAATATGATACTCATCACTGACTCCACCAACAACTAATACGTTTCCATTAATTAATACTGATGCTGTGTGAAAAAATCGTCCAAAATGCATGCTACCCAGTCAGACAAACTATTTAAAAAAACGTGTAAAAACGCGTCGAAATTTCAACGAAAAAAAAATCGTAAAAAGCGCACATTTCTACGCGTTCGTAACGCGTTAAAGTTACTAAACGAACATTACTTCGTTCAAAAAATGAACNAAAACGCGTTCGAGAAATCGTTAAAACGGCGTTTTAATGATTGGTTACCGTTAAAACGCTGTTTTAACGAAATTTAAACTGGTTTTAACGCGTTATTTTCAAAGGTTTGTCTGACTGGGTACTATCGGTTGTCCACATGTTTGTTGATGGATCGTACAATTCAGAAGTATTTAGAGGGCCAACACAAGCATCCTCTCCACCAGTAACTAACACTATTCTATCCAGTAATACAGATACGGCTTGCAAAAATCGTATATCATTCATACTATTAACAATTGTCCACGTTCCTGACAATGGATCATGCAATTCAGTACTATTTAGAATACCACGGTTATTAGCTCCACCAATCATTAAAACTTTTCCATTTGTTAGCACGGCTGATATCGATTCATATCGTTCGATATGCATACTACTAGTATCAGACCATCCTAAATAGAAATAATTATGCCTATGTATTCTTTTTAAATAGACTGTGTTCAGATCTAACAATCAGATAAGATAATCCAATCTTCTATAATCATAAAAGATCTTATTTACTTTTTTTTATCCGACATATTGCTGTCTTTCTAGATTGTTATGATGATAGTGTGATATAAAAAGAAGTTTAAAGCGAACGAAAGTGATTACGATTTGAAATTAACGTTTTTATACATTGTTTATACACAAAATGTTGCTTTTCTCATTGGTATGGCCCTCGTCCTGAAGATAGGTGGAGGTTAAAAAGCGTTATACTAATGCTTGCTTGACTGCTGAATTTTCGACGACGTTTCTACCGTGGCGATATGTGTTTTTTCAAACTTTTTCGATGTGACAATGACAAGTATTAATACCAAGATGAGAGTACCTATAAAATTTATTAAGATGATAAAAAGACTGCAAAATAACTGCAGTTTAACAACAATATCCCCATCAAGACTTGACTTTGATGCGTATGCTACTCTACCCTAGGTCTTCGTAACGATAGTATGACAAAGTTGTTACAACCGAAGTGTTCCCCTTCGATCGTAAGACGGAACAGACGAATAATACACGCTCCTTTCTAGTATAGTGGTAGTACATTGTAAAAAAAAGGGTTTATGAAAGTGCAACGTGTCACATACCTTTTTTCCGTTTTGAAAAATCTGATAAACCCTTTTCCCAAGTCATAAACCTAAAGACCGTTTATTATCTTCGTCATATACGGAAAAAAAGGGTTTATGATACGTTGCACTTTCATAAACCCTTTTTTTGTAAAATACCCTATCAAAAACGTTTTTTCCGTTTATTATTCTGCGGATTATTTTTACAGTGTACAGCTGCCCGGAAAGCAGAAGACGTAGGTTCGACTCCAGCGGAGGGAGATTATCGTTTTTTTCCGTTCTGTTGTCATACCATCACGTTCTGTCTCGCTGATAACTGAGTATAATAATGTGAGCGAAAAGAAGACATAACAAAAGTGTTGAAAAACGCATCGGCATCGTTGCATTCTTAATATGTTGTATAATCTCCAGTTACATGCTTATTGAACATATGTTTGTTATACATATTATGTTTCACACGAAAGTCGAATTGAAAAAAGAACAAACTGCTGATCGAAACTATAGTACTTTATATTTACGTATCACTCAGAGGAGTAACAAATGTAAGCAATATTATCTCTTGAGTAAGAGGCATTGTCATACTCTTATCTTTATAGAATAAATATCACCTGTCAGTATGATAGCTTAAAAAGTGAGCATCATTCAATCAGAAAGAGGATACCAATAATTATATAAATAATATCGACGGGTGTGGGGTGTAGGTGAGGGGTGTGGGTGTGGGTATAGGTGTGGATGTGGGTAGGGAAGTCTTCTTCTAAACTCACACAGCCACACACCCACACCCTCAAGAATTGGTTTACCATAGACGGAGTGATTTTTCGGCAAGGAATATGCATGTCATCAGATGTACACCTAAAATGAAAGTATAATTGAAATTGTGATGTGCGCACGGATTGAACCGTGTTAGTTTCAGTGTCTTACTACTAGCAACTGGAGAATTTATTTGTGCCCGACAATCTAGTACTAGCAGATCATTTGAAGGAAGCACCCTGATGTTAGCCTACCAAGCATAATTGAAGCGAATCTTTGAAAGATAATCAAATCATCATCTAATAGAACAAGTTGTGCGTTCATTGCGAAATCAATGTTCAGTTGTGGTAGTTCTTGCTTTATACTCTATGTTTAAGTGTTACAAAGTATTTAGAATTAATAAGAATAGAATTGGGGCAATGCAAAAGCAAGGCACCTGATGAGGACAATGGAGAAGAGCCAAACTGAATATGAGACCGATATATAACATCGCTATATCATCGAAATAATACTAAATCATGTTCAAAACTCATTGCATGTTTTGAATCTGTAAAGTGCATTGGGATTAAAAGAGTACAAGGGAAACTTATCTTGTTTATCTATACAATAAATTGATTGTAACCTATGGGAACGATCTAATCGGTTGCTGCTTTTTCTTGTAGATTAAAACATTTCATCTTTAAATATTATGTCTGCACCTGTCATCATCAAAAAAGAGCTCATATACGAGCATATGGAAACGGAGCAAGGTAAATAAGACTCATTTTGATTGCATAAATCTACGCTAAAACTTAATATTGTCTACTTTTCTTGCAGATGTTATGGTGAAAAAGAGCAAAAACCTGAAGAGACGGCGTTCCCGACGATGACAACGACAACAGCTTAAATGTGTGCTATTGGAGCTCGCTGAAATGCGACAGGATATTCAGCAATTACGTGCCACGGAGGAGAGACATAACGGCTCAATAAAAACGTTGTTCCTCAGTCTCGGTGATACTGAGTTCGTGGCACAAAAGTTACAAGTGAAGATGGAACAACAGTCGACTATGTTGAGCGTGTATCAACAAACATGTAGTACCGTCCTCGCCGGGTTTTCAGAGGCACTGAAAAACATCAGCACTCTGTGCTATACAAAAAAATTAATTTTTGTTCTTGCAAACGTTGTGTGTGTCATATTGGGTGTTAACCCTTTCTGCCAATTCCTTTCTGCCAATTCAAAAATTGGCAGAGTGTCACAAAATTTCTGCCAATTGGCAAAAGTGTGTTGTAATTGGCAGAAATGCCTATGAAACTATAAACTCGAATTTCTAAATTAACTTAAAAATATATTTTCGACTAAA